ATTTTTGTTTTGTTCTCCATCATGCTGAATTCATTTTAATCTAGCTTAACGTACGGTATTTTCATGGAGAGTCTAAACAAAACTCTCTTTAATGAGGAATTTGATGACATGTTATTAATAAAAACCACGAGGCACCTGGTCCCATTTTTTGCGAAACATTGAAGCGTATGTCTGGGCTTAGGCTTAAGCTTATATTAGCTAAGACTTAGGCTTAGCTTAGCTTAGGCTTATGGTTATGCTTAGAGTTAGGCCTAGACTTAGCTTAGGTTTGGCTTAGGCTCAGGCTTAGGTTTGGCTTAGGCTTGGCTTGGGTTTCGGCTTAGCTTAGGCTTGGGCTTAGCTTAGCTTAGGCTTGGCTTAGGCTTGATTTGGGCTTGGCTTAGGACTACCAAGAATATCGTCTGAAGAATGTTGCCTTGTACGTCCCTTTAAAGGGGCTGCGAAATCTGGTCCACGGCCCCCTGCTGTGATTCCTGGCAAATAGCCAGATGCGGTCGCAACGCAACCGCGCCGCATGATCTTTTGCTCCTGTTTGGACGCAAAAAAGCTTGAATTTAAGAATTCTGATACTATTTTTGGAATCCTCAACGAATTTTGATCATTCCAGGCTTTTAAATTATGAAAATTGGCCAGAGAATCACGGGGGTCGAGAAATTGGGGCCTTACACGGCATTACGGCATGGAATCACCGCGCACTCACAATGTCGTTTTCGCCCACAAAAGAATTCGGTTTTCCTCAAACTTTTTACGTTTTTTCGCAATCAAATCATTTTTAGCACTTTTCGGCAGTGACCCTTTCGTTTTTTGACCCGTAGGTTCAATCCCCGCACCCACGAATTTTGACTTCTGAGCCCCTTTAAACTACCTTCCGCCGTAGAAGTCTGTATACATTCCAGTCCTTCTCTACAATAGATAGTTCCGCAAATTTTTCGACTGGTTTTCCGCCCGAAACATTTATTTTTGCCTAAATTCTTTTGTAAGGTCAATTAATTTTTGATTTTTATTTGTTACTGCGGAATTATTGCGACTGGCGCACTGTCCAAATCGTGAGCTCTCTAAAGGAATTTTTGCCTTATTTTCTCCAAACATTTCTTTTTACGGAAAATTCATTTGTATTCTCAATTTTTTTTTATTTTATTTTGTATTCTTTTATTTCCATATTACATACATTTTTAACCAAAAATTATCGCTAATTTTAGCGCCTATGCGACGACGAGGCCGGGAATTGACATGAGACGTCTGTTGTTCGCCCTGCTGCTAGCTTTGAATGGAAATCAAGCCGGTGCGTTTTGAGCTTATTTTAAAGGTGCAGGAAAGCGCCAAAATCGATCCCTAAAATGGACTTGGTCTCGACACTTACGTTACAGACCTAAGCCCGTTTTAAGTAAAAATCAAACCGTAGCTTTCGGTAGTTTTGACATAAATTAGCCATAGATTTTCTCGGATTTTCCCGAAAATTCGAAGCGCATGTCTCTAAATTCCATAGCGTAATCGATTACGACATTTATCTATCGACAGCTGTAAGGCGGTGCAAATATTGAGGCCTATCGAAAAACCGTAGGAAATCCAGAACCAAAAAAAGCTATATATTTGCCCTGCCAGTTCCTCTAAATCCGTCTTTGCAGCGACTTCGTATAGAAATCCATAACTGTCGAGACCTAGTCACGAGCAGGGGTAGATTCTTGACTTCACGGGCCCTTTAAAGCCAAAAATAGTGAGTTTTTAGTGACCCGCTCTCAACTGCCAACCGGTGCCTTCCAAGTTGTGCCCCTATTCGATTCACCAGCTCAAGGAGATGGCCAAAGATTTGATGCGATTGTTGGTCAAAAGGTGAGAGAATGAGACAGAGAGAGAGAGAGAGAGAGAGAGAGAGAGAGAGAGAAAGAGAGAGGAGAGAGCGAGCTAGAGAGAGAGAAAGCGATAGAGATAGAAAGAGCGAGAGAGAGAGAGAGAAAGAGAGAGAGATAGAAAGAGAGAGACAGAGAGAGAGAGAGAGAGAGAGAGAGAGAGAGAGAGAGCGAGACATGCTTTGGAAATGGCTGGCTATGCATCCCTCTAACTTTTGCCTGCTGCCTATAAAGAAAAATAAGTTTCAAGAAAAAATATTGTGAGACCATCGCAGTAGAACATAATCTCCCTTTTTCCTGGATATGATACCAAATTTCGAATTACCCCCAATAAAAGTGTATATACCCCCTGTAAATCATCTATGACCCAATAGATCAATTAGACGAAAATTCCGTGAGTTTGAACTTTTTATTCTAAAATGCTTATTCGCCAAGCAAAAAATCCGAAATACGATGTTTCGGTGAGAAGAAAGTCTCCTCTATCCGAGTAAGCAGACTCTATCTTCTTTTGAAATTTTGGCATTGTTTTTGTTTTTTTTTTGAATAATTTATTATCAATTCCCGCTATAATTAAATGTGCATTACTTTGCGTTTTAAGAGGCAGATTTCGAAGCAATAAAAATTCAGGTGGATGCGATAACGACGACGACATCAAAGCCCCGTTCATCGAGCCCAATCCCGGGCGTCGATTTCCACGGTCCTCTCTGGCTTCCGCGTAGCTACAAAGTGACGTGTTGTCGTGGGGGAGTGCCACAACCTGAGAATATCGAGGTGAGGCCAACTAGCAGAGGTTTTTTGCGGATAACTGCGAATTCGTCTTTTATTGATTCTTCTAGCGTTATAACATCAGAAAATATGGATAATTTGCTAACAATTATTTTTGTTTTGGCCTTTTTTGATGGGCAGGCTAGCAGAGGATCTTTGCGGAAAATAGAGGGTTGAAAATTAACATTTTCTAAGCAGCTAATTTCAACTGTATGGCTACGCTACGCTAAAAAATCATCTTAAAATCGAAGTACTAAAAACGTATTTTTGCCGGGCAGGCTAGCAGAGATCCTTTGTGGAATCTTTCAAATCGTTGTGTTTCAGCTAATCACGAATTGGACGCAGACCGCCTCCGATTATGCGATTGATGAGAGCGGGGCACAACCGGCTGAGGTTCGGCTTTTTAATGACGTAATCGGTCTTAAATTAATGATTCTAAAAAATTTTTATCGTCCCCAGAAAGTGAAACAACTTTATTCAAAAAAATTGTGGTTGAATTTTAACGGTAGCATGAAGTCTGAGCTCTCTTTCTCTCTCTCTCTCTCTCTCTCTGTCTCTCTCTCTCTCTCTCTCTCTCTCTCTCTCTCTCTAACCCTCTCCGTTCAGAGTTGTCGTGTGTACGAGGGTGAATTCCTGCTGGCCGCCTATGCCCTCTTCAACCTCAATTCGTATACCGGTTATGGGGTACGGTGCAAATGTTCTCAAGGTATGTGTCGAGAGTAAATTCACGTCATGATCATTGTATTAAAAATACCGTAATTTTTATAGGTTTTTCTTCAAAAATCCTACTATATATAAAAAAATAGTGTTTGTGTGTGTGTGTGTGCCACTTTGCATCCGCTTCCGTCTGTCTGTCCGGAGGATATCTCGATAGGGAATGAAGTTACGGGTATGTTTGATACGTCATTAGGTGCGCAATGGTCTTGAGATGACTGCACCCATATCAAATTTTACAAAATCAGCCATTTTCGACATTAAATTTAAGTTTTTGTGAGAGCTCCTTTGTTAGGAAATAATTGCATAGACCGGAAGTGGTGATTCGGCTATATAAAGGCACAGAAGAAGTTACTTTTCATTTTTGTCATCTGAATTCAGGACAATTATGCAAAGTGAAAGATAAAATGGGGTTAGACGGGGCCAGGGTTGAAAAGTCGCGAAGCGGCTTTTCAACCCTGGTATGTTTTATAAACTACTGTAGCCTGGAAAATGGCAAATAAAATTTTGTCATTAGAAAAGTACCGTAACCCGGAGAGTACGGTAAATTGCAATTCCTTTGGAAAATCGCGTACTTGTTATATTACAGGTACAGATTACTGGGCTACGGTAGCGTACAAATGACGGAATTTGGGTTTGAGCGCTCAATTACGGTAATCCACAAAATTTAGCGATTTTAAAGTACCCCCTGAATCTCGTAACTTGCCCCCATCTTACAGGACACTCCTGTTTACGGCTACCGTATTTTCCCAATTTTAGCCCTCCAAAGTACAGTTTTCCGGGCTACGGTAAGTACTACTTACGCAATTACTACCAAAACTAAATTTCAAAACTTACGGTCAATTTAATTGAAAATAACAAGTTACAGTATTTGCAAATGACGGTAACAGAGTACGCGACCTTCCGGTTTACGTCATGGGGAGAACGAGGATTACGGTAGCCGAAATATTACATTGGCTGTCAAATTACAGTTTCCCGGGCTCCGCTACTTTCCTGATTACGTCTTTCGTAACTATTGTAGCGCAAATTAACGAATTTTCTGGGGTACGGTAGCCTTCAAAGGACGGAGGTGATGACATTGCTACTCACCATCCCGAATTACGGTACTTTTCGGATTACCGTATCGTGGTATATCTTAAAACATCATTCTTTCCAGCGGATTCGTCGGCAGTAGATGCACATTGCCGTCCCCTGCCCCCGTGTCTTCATGGTGGTCGCCGTTCATTGTCGTACGGCGGAAAATGCGTCTGCCCCGATCCGTATTTTGGCGAGAATTGCGAAAAGATTTGCGATCAGGGCCAGAAATTGAAAGGTGGGTCCGGTGGTCAAGTGGTTCAAGGTCGTGCTGCCAGTCGCAAGGTCCGGGTTCGACACCCTGCCAAGGCGGATTTTTTGGTTTTTGGTTTTTAGGCCAATTTTAAACGGATTTTCCGAGTGTTTAAGTTCTGTTTTGCCGGTCGTAAGGCCCGGGTTCGAACCTTTCCCGGCATAAACTTTTTGCTTTTTGCTCTTGGATGAATTTTTATATAATTAAATGAAGAGTAGGTGGATGGTAAGGTGCTGATCTGTCAGGTTTAGGGCCCAGGTTCGACACCCGGCCGCGGCAAAATTTTTTGCTGTTTGGTTTTTAAGATGATTTTAACGGTATTAAGCAAAATTGCATGCTTTTTAGGCATGGACGGGCGTGAGTACTGCTCTTGCGTACCGTTCTACCAGGGCGAAGAATGCCGAGAGATGTTGTGTCTTAATGGAGGCGTCGAGACGGATAGAAAGTATGCATTTTTGTGTACATATTACAAGGTCTTAAACTACTAAAGCATCTTTAATAAATTTCACTTTTGCGTAACTTTAATGCACCTGTAGTTTTTTAACTTTAATTTCTAAAACTCGTAGTAATAGAAAACCAAAGCTTAAAAATCACTTTTTAGACGTTTTTATTAAAACCCGAGGTTTTTCAAAAGCGTGTTTCGTTATTTCTAGTGGTTAAAAATCTCTTCGAACTGCTCGATATGCTAGCGCTTTTGCCGATAGAAGCTCACACGTTCCTTTCATATCCCTGCAATTAGAGGTTTTTTAGTCAATTATAAGCGCAAGAACATGGGTTTCATACTTTTTTAAATAGAACTTTTAATTGGCTTATTAATTACACGTCGTGTTTGCTTCACCTGAACGATTGCAAAAATGGTGTTTATTCAAGAAATTATTAAAATAAATATTGCATCGCAGATCGGTTCTAGTTATCGTTTTTCATCAAAAACATGGATTTAAAAAATAGTTAATAGATTTCAATTTGTTTCAGTCAGTTCTAAAGCTAGAAAAATGTGTTTCATAAATTTTCAAATCTAGTCTTTTAATTGTCTTATTAGTTTCAGGAAGTGTACTTTTCATCAGCTGACAGATTCTAAAAAGAGTGTTTATTCAAGAAATTAAATTAATTTATTGATTTTTATTCAAGAAATTATTAAATTATGCGCCGAAGATCGGTTTTACTTCCATTTTTCAGGAAAATACAAATTTAAAAAATCTTGAATAGATGCCAATGCCCGCCCTCATTCCTCGGATATCACTGCGAAATTGACGCAAACCGGACGACGCATGGCAATCGATATGGACGATTTGGGGACAGTCAGGTAACGGAATTTGGAGCTACGTGGACGCCCGGGTTTTTGTGAAAATCAGAATTTTTAAGTTAAAACAAAGTTGGAATTAATTAGAACGGAGATGAACAGCCTAGAAATTTCGTAATTATTAAGTTACAGTGGCCTGAAAAAACTTAATTTAAAAACTACCGTATTATTACCGTGGAAATTTAGATAATTGAACTTTACCGCACGTTGGCGAGTTTTTTGGATAGTATAAGCTACAGTAATTCGCTAAATTTCGATTTCCTGGGCCTAAAGTAAGTTGTAAAGTACCGTATTCTTTAAAGTACCGTATTTTTGAAAGGACAGAATATTAATAATATATATCTGAAAAATCAAGCTTACCTTACTATTTACGCTCCCGTAATCTGAAAAATCTGAAAACCGGAAGTACAGTACTCAAAAAAAATCGATTTTCGAAAAAAAACCGTAATTTGGCAATTTTTGTGCTTGGTTATCTCGTTAAACTTTGAGAAATTTAATCAAAATTTTCTACCCTCAAAAATTAGAATATTTTAGAGCTACAGCAACCTCAACATCTATTTTTTTTCAGCACGACGGCGAGCTGTTCTCGCGTGACATCTCGGGCACCGTGTTCAGCATGGTGATGATCATTGTGTTGATCGTGTCGATGTATTTATTGATGAAGCATAGGATGCACGCACAGGTATCGTATTTCCCGCCTAAAAGTGAAGACCTTTCCAAAATCAAGTTTCAGGAAAAATTGGGATTCTGAGACTTCAGTATAGTTTTAGTTTTTCGTCCATATGACTATCGTCGCAGTTTGGTGAAATTTTCAGCGGGGGGGGGGGGAACTAATTTTTCTCCTGGTGGTCCCGGGTGACCTAGTAATCAAATATAAAGTGTTTTCGAATTGTTTTTAGTAAGTTTTAACTCGATTTAAAGCAGAATAACTTTCAGAAAAATTAGATAAATGTTTTATGTTTAGATAAATGTTTGAAAAAGTCGAAAATTTGGTCATTTCGGGTCTCTTCCCCCTCCCCGCGAATCCTAAAGGTTCTATAGGATTGTTCGACCAAATTTTTATTTTTCAAATTTTTTTTTGGTTAAAATGTGTGTAGTTTTTATACTCAGGAATAGCTAAAAACAATTTAGAAACGCATCCGCAATTTATAAAAAAAAATCCAGTCTTGTGCCGAAAAAAATTTGGTTCCCTCCCCCCCCCCCCCCCCCGGGATCCTAAAGAACCATTATTTATTTAAAATTAAAACACGATTTGAAAACAAAAAGTTTCAAAAATGAATGTGATTTTGAGGGTGCAGTAGCGTTGCAGATGTGGCAATTTTGGCGGAATTTTCAATTGTCCCCATTTTTTAAAATTTAAAATTCAATTCAAATAAATTGACTGTAGATACCGGTTAAAACGATTGGATTGTTACAACAAAAAGTTTCAAGAAAAAAAGATAATTTTGTGAGGGCAGTAGCCTCTAATTACCCTTTTGAAACAGCACGGCCGGATTTCTTGGATTTTGCGAAATTCTCTTTTCCTGGAAAATCACATTTAAATTAAATATAAGCTAATTTAAAGCAGATACCGTAGAGCACGTTTTGCCTATCAAAACAAAAGATTTTCAAGAATAAATGCTATTTATGGCCCCAGTTAGACCTTAATTTCTTGACCTACCCTTTTTTGAAAGATTCCTACGTTTTTTAACCAAATGTTCAGCATTTTCCAGCCCCTTTAAAGTTAAATATATAAAAAAAATAAATGCATACAAATATAAATAAATCAAAAGTGAGCACCAGATATAACGATTCTAATTTGAAATATAAGTTTCAAGGGAAATTGTCCTTCGACCATTATAGTCGCCTATAATCTCATCGTAAAGATTCCTCCTTTAATACTTTCTTAGGTTTTCCACAAACATGCAAACCATTTAAAGGGGCTCCGAAATTTGGTCCACGGGCCCCTGCTGTGATTCCTGGCAAATAGCCCGATGCGGCCGCAACGCGACCGCGCCGCATGATCTTTTGCTCCTGTTTGGACGCGAAAACGCCTGAATTTAACAATTCTGATACTACTTTTGGAATCCCCAACGAATTTTGGTCATTGCAGACTTTTAAATTATGAATATTGGCCAGAGAATCACGGGGGTCGAGAGATTGGGTTCCTTACAAGGCATTACGACATGTAATCGCCGCGCACTCAAAAAGTCGTTTTCGCCCCGAGAACATTTCGGTTTTACTCAAATATTTGACGTTTTTTCGCAACGAAAACAGTTTTGTTGTCCTCCGCCGCAGTGACTCTTTCGTTGTTTTGCCCAGTAGGTTCAATCCCCGGACGCACGAATTTTGACTTCCGAGCCCCTTTAAGGAGCCAGGCAAGGCAAGGCTAGATGGATCTCAAGAGCTTTGGCATTATCGGCGGCGGCTTTTACCAAATTTCCTACGGTTTTAGATCGTTTTTCCACTTTAAATCTGGTATTTTTAAATAAGACTAAAAAATAATTTGGCGTTACTATGAATTTATTGTCTGATAAAAAATAATCCCCCGATAACGGAAAAGAACCTGAAGCCCTTGCCGCGCCCTTTAATTCCCTAAATTCCGTCAAAAACGTTCAAAAATAAAATTGCCGTTTTTCAAAACTGTGTTTCGTCAATAAAAGAGGAGAAAAATTGAAGATACCCTTCAATCGCTTTCATTCCTCGGTAAACACACACAAGATTAAATCACAGGACTTTAAAAATACATTTAGAATATTAATTGTAAATTGTTTAAATTTTGATAAATCTGTAGTACCAACAACAATCGTCCCGGGAACGTCGCGACGCACTCGGGTCGATTTTTGGGCCGCGGAGCGGGCAGAATGAGGGCCAACCAGGTGGGTGGGGTGGCAGGGATTATTGAGGAACTTGGGGGAAATGTAGGCAGGCTAGCAGAGAAAATTTGGGAAACGAGGTGGGCAAGCTAGCAACGATTTTTGAGGAATTTGAAGCACGGCAAGGCAGGCTATCATTTTGTTTGGGAAAACTACAGGGTGTCCCATAAAAAAGCACCCCTCCGGCATTTCGCTTACATCCGATCGGTCCAAAATTTGGACGAGAGGTGTATTGGATCCTAAATAACCACAATCCTGAGTTATAGCCCGCCAGCTCCAGTAGTTTTCGAGATACAGCAAAAATAAACTTTATTATCCGTTTTTCATAAGGTTTTCGGAGGAATCGACCATTCGAATATTAAGTGAAAAATGAAGCGGCAGGCGTTCTTTACCCTTAGAAATTTTTCCCGATGAAAATTCATCAAATAACCGTTGATTTCAACAATTTTTGTAACCCAAAGAAACACCCGATATTAAGCGAAATTAGGGATTCGCAGCCGGAAGTCGATGCAAATCGATGCAAAGTCCAAAAAGATAGCCGAAAAAACTGTTAAGAATCGCGTAAAAAATAGGATTTTGGCAATAACTTGAAAACTACTGTAGCGATCCGGCTATAACTCAGGATTGTGGTTATTTATGGTCTGATACACCCTTATGCAAAGTATGGGACCGATTGGATGTAAGGCGGCGAAATGCCGGAGGGGTGCTTTTTTTTGGGACACCCTGTAGTAGGGGTCAGCTATCAAAGAGGACTTGGGAAGGCAGACTAGCAGAGATTTTTGAGGAAACGAAGGGTAGGTTCCGGTAAAAATCTGCCAAAAAGGATGGCAAGCTAGCAGAGAAAATTTGAGGAAAAGAAGGGCAAGCTAGCAGAGGTTCTTTCAAAAAAATTGACAAGGCTAGCTAGCAAAAATTCTTTTGGAAAAATGGCACACGCTAGCAAAGATCATTTATTCCATTTCCAGGCTCCAGCGAGCCCCTATCCACGATGCATTTTGTAGCGATGGGCATCGAAGGGCCCCCACCGTATTCCACACAAACCAGAGGTATTGATTTTGGCTTCACTGACCCTTTAAAAAGCGAATATTTCGTGAAGTAAATTTACGATGTTTCAAATAAATACATTGCAAAACCTTAGGAATATCTATTAATGCGTCCCGGCAATGCGGTAGCTCAAAATTCTCACCTTGGCCTGGGGCCCCGGATATTACACTTGTTTTCAGCAAAAAAAACATTATTTTTTAGCGTACCGTACCCGCGACTCGGCCCTTCCCCCATTGCCGAGTTATGAAGATGCAACGAAATTGGCGCCGCTCAGGTAGGGGGTCTATAGGAGTGTAGTGTACATCTCAATACTATCAACAGGCGGGCGTTCATTTTTTGGAAGATTAAAATTATTTGTGTAAAGTAGCTAAATATCGAATAATATCAATATCGAAAAACAGATTTTCGAAAACCAAAATTCCGATTTATAACTCCTTTTGAGCTTTTGCGACTCGCTGTTGAGTGCAAATTTTGGAAATTACGATCTTTGAAAGATAAAATACCGACAGCTATGATGCCGACAAGCAAAATCCCGACATTCAAGATAGCTGCCAAAAGGAAGTCAAGATTTTAAAGGATTTAAAACTAGCGTCAAGAATACGTCAGGATTTTGGCTGTCGGTATTTCGATCGTCGGTATTTTGGCTGGCAATCTTGTCGAAAACGCGTTTTTCGGAATCTTTCGAAATGCTTTCGAAAAACATTGATTTTTCGAAACCGCATACAGAGCTAAAATATTTGAAAACTAAACTACAACTAAACTAAACTAAAAACTAAAAATCCTTTAGACAACTGGGAAGACTGGATCGACAAAGACCGACTCGACCAATTACAATGTATGAGAGAGGCGCTAATGATGAAACACCAATCACAACGGCTGGGTCATCTTCCAGGTTAGCAACAAGCTTTTCAATCCAGAACTAGCAGAGATTCTTTCGGAACGGGGCAGGCTAGCAGTGATCCTTTGCGAAAACCATGGGCAAACCAGCAGAGTTTCTCTGGGAACTAGGAGAGCGCACTAGCGGTGACCCTTCAGGATAAAAACCGTTTACCCGGCAAAAATAGAAATTGACCCCGGCGAACTTCCGCTTTCGCTGAAACTCATCTTTGCTTCGAAATTTAGGATTTTTTTGTCGCGAGATTTTACCAACCCATACTGCGTTAAAAATCAAAGTTTCACAAAAAATCGCTGCTCGTTATCTTGCCAAATTGGCTAGTACCGCTCCCCTGTAGGTCGAATTCTCCACAAAAATTTTTTCGATAAGATGTAAGATTTGTAGATGGTTTTTTGCCTCGTATTTCTGAATTTTGCTACAAAAAGCTATTAAAAACCATTTAGAAAAACTATTTGGTTACGAGGCTTTACAGAAAAAAATTCATACCCCTCGATATTGACAAAGTACCATATAAATGTAAGAAAACATACCTTTCCAGAGCACCACCGGTGGAAGAGCGACGATCCCCGAGCCCTGAACATGCAGACGATGATGATCATCCCCTTGCTCCCCATTTCTCACGCTCAAACCATTTGAGGCGCAGTGTCTGAAAACACTGCTATTGCGCTCCATTTAAAGTACACTCTGGTATACTGTATACCTTATTATTGTATTTTTCTCGCTTGTTACCAGCTCGCCGCAAACGGGTCCACGCTTCTTTGGTTCTCAAATTATGAATTTTAACGATTTCTAAGTTTGTACGTATCTTACTGATGACGCTCGATTCAGGCTTGTATATTTCATTTCGTTATACCTTTATGTCTTTCACTCATATCAATGGCTTTCATCAAATTTTTTTTGATATGATAGTTATCGCCGTTTAGTTAAAGGGATTTGGAGGGCAAAATATAGCGGATTTTTAACTTCAAAATCCCTTTAAATAGTATGCCAGTTTGTTTCTTGCTCACTTTACCACTACAGTATTTTCGGCAATCGAATTTGCACGGGACTACGGAATTTTTGTGTTTCCTTTGCGTTTTGCAGTGAATAAATGATATTTCCATATTTTTCTGGGCACCTTGCAGAGGATCTTTGAGAAAACAAGGCGGTATAGCAGCTTTTTGCCAAATCCAACTGGATTGTGAGAACCGCGTTGAAAAAGCATAAAAAAACTTCAAAACACAGGGCGGGTTAGCAAAGGTCCTTTACAACGAACGCTCGGAGCTGCCAGCGTCGAGTTAGCAGAGTCCGTTTGCGGAAAGATCGCTCGAAAACTCATAATCTACATGAAAAAGGATTAAGCTTTTATTTCGACTGATCACAAACCCATGGAACGACAACAAAATTCAACAAAACTAATTTCAGCGCAGGAATAAATATCTATGAAGCAATAAATTGAGCAATTCTATCGATGGTCAACAATCAAAAAAGGGGGCAAAAAGGCGGCAATTTAATCGATTAAAGCGAAAACGATCGGGTTGTTCATCTCCGGGCTTCGGCGTCTCCTCTAGGCGATCTCGCACGTCGCGCCGACCTTCTCGAGGGCGGCCTTCAGCTCGTCGGCTTCCGCTTTGCCCATATCTTCTTTCACCGTCACCGGGGCCGTCTCCACGAATTTCTTCGCCTGCACGAGGTTCAGCCCTGAAAAACAAAGAGTATTTTAAATTAAAAACAACTATCCTCATAACAAGTTGCCATATTCTAAAAAAAAAACCAAAAACGTCCTTTTCCACTTTATGAGCAAAATTTTAGGAACTATCGCATTACCGGCGGCGGAAAGAAACTCTTTTTTAGTGCTTCCTAGGTTTGGTTTTATCTATTGTTTTCCACAATTTCGAGACATAGAAAACACGCCAAATTTGTGTGTGAAACGATAAAATACCGGTTTAGAAGGAAATTAGAAATTCCGAAACTTGCAAACCTATTTTTTTTGACAAGATTTGGCTCCAAACACAGCTAAATTGGTACTAGAATCTCGATGAAAACGTTTTTGCTTTATTCCTAGCCATGGCTCTATCGAAAAAAATCTGGTTGCCCCGCCGAGGATGCAAAAACGCCACATTTTAGCCCAAAAACAGCAATATTCTACCTGGAACAATCGTGCGAATCTCCTTGATGAGCGCAATCTTTTGCGCATCGTTGAACTTGGTCAGCTTGACGGCGAACGTCATCTTCTGCGGCGCGTCCGAGGCGGCTGTCTCCTCGGCGGCGGCTGGGGTGCTCGCGGCTGGCATGGCGAAAGCCTGGAAAGCTGCATTTTAAAAATAAAAATAATTTTTAGACATTTAGCCTCGGAAGCCCCCTTTCCCCGGTAACAATTTTCAAAAGGGGATACGGGACATATGAGATAATGAACAAAAACAAGGTTGGAAAGGACTTTTTCCACCGAAAATGATGGATTAATTACTTTGATTAAAACCTCGGCAACGCTCTAAAAGTCTAAAACTCGCTTTTTCTGGCCCAAAAAAACCATAATTCAACCTTCCAGCTCTTTTGATAGCATCCTAACGCCTTTTAAAGACTAAGAATAAGTTTGCAACACTGTGAAACTCAAAATAACCTTTTTGGAAATTCCTAAATGAACCGAGAAACCACCAAAACATCTACCAATAAAAGCGTAGCACTCTCTAACGACCTTCAAAAACCAAAATTAATGCCAAAAAACGCTACCTGCATACCACCCATCGGTACATCGGGCAGATTGAGACGCTTCTTGAGTGCCCAATTCAGATCGGCCACCTCGATCACCGTCAACTGGGCAATGTCTTCTACGAGCGCGCCGACCTTCGCCGAAATGTCCCGTTCCGATTGATGGGGTAGAGCGGATGATGGTCCATTCGAGAGGGGAAGTGTGGGCTCGGTTGAGGTGGCGGAGGCCGAGACGAATCGACGAGCCAGCGCCCCGCACATCCGACGACCGGCCAGCATTTTCCTGTAAAAAGGGTATATTATTGTGGAGGAAACGTCAGGAAACTGAAAAAGGATAAGAACCGCTAGAACCTTTATCTAAGCAAAATAAAGCAAAAACCGGTGCTGAAAATGCTTCAAAATTTAGTTTAGGAGATAGAACGAAAAAAAAACAGAAAAAAGAACTCTAATTTTTTAGATATAAATATATAAGCTTTCAGTCATAGTTTTCCAAACCAAAAATACAATAAGAGAATAAAAAATAAAAGGAGAATAAGTTGCAAAATTCACGTCGCCATCAAAAATTAAAAATCGAGTTGTCGTGTATGGCTACGCAACGCTCCGATAGACGGGGAAGCGTAATGAGTACAACTCCGTAAAACCGAAAAAGGACGGAATTTGTGGACTTCCCCCCCGCGGGGTTTCAGCCCTGGCCCCCCCCCCCCCCCAATTTTTTTTTGGAATTTTTTTGCCAAATTTTGGCTGAATTCCCGGTCGGGCGTACGGACATTAGAAATTTATATATAGTAGATAGTAGATTTGTTCTCGTTTTTACGAAAAAAAAAACTAAAAAACAAAACGAATCGTGAAAAAGCAAATTCCCAAGTTGAGGACTGGAAATACGCATACTGGAAACTCGGGATAGACCAAGTCCATATTCTGCAGAATTTTCGCCTGAATTTAGCTTCAGAATCTTCAGAATTCTCATAGTCAACTTTACAAAGTTACTCGCATTTTAAGGGGCTTTGCGTTAAAATTTGCAAATCATAAAATCCTTCCTTCCTAAAATCATAATGTACCAAATCTGCAAAAGCCGTCATGCTGCTGTGTCAAGAAACGGGCTTTCTTTTTAGATCAAGTTTCTTGTAGACGGCGTTTTAGAGAGCTCTTAGGGCCACTGACTTTTACATCTATTGCTTTTAGGGAAGATTTATAGGTCATCTCTGTACCCTAGAAGATATACGCGTAGATATCCCCATCGCCCCTCGTTTCCAATATACCCTCTATTCGGATCAAGTGGCCGAATGGTGAATAGGAAAGTAGTGGACACAATACCCGAAGAGAGAGAGAGAGAGAGAGAGAGAGAGAGAGAGACAGGAGCCCCGGGCCCCTCTCCCCACCACACCCAAAATATTTGGCCCAATATTTGCACGAGGATTTGCGATTTCGGGTTCCCGTCTCTTCCATTGGCTTTGCTGGCCCGCGCTACCTCACTTCCCCCCTCACCCATACCAAAAGCTACCCAACCGTGTCAAATCGGTACTTCAAGCCGGAAGGAAGCGGAATTTAAAATTTTTGTTTATTTTAGCTAATTTTCGCGATATACATCTCTGTTTCACTGGTACTCATCTAATAACGGGGCAAGGAAATCCAAAACTGGACGGTTAGCAGGGGGGGCTACGCTCGCTCTCTCTCTCTCTCTCTCTCTCTCTCTCTATCTAACATCACCTTAAGAATTTTGATAGTGGTATGCGATAGTGGTGGTGTAGAAGGAGAAGCCAGAGGGGTTGCGTACGATATTTGCCTAGGCTATTTGCCCGTCCATTGATCGAGAAACCGCCCCCGGAACGGATATCTGATATCCCTCACCCCACCCACAACCACTACCTGCTTACAAACCTATTCTCCCATACACCTATCGACGCTACGCACACGCACAATCCTGCAGCAAATCTTGGTACTGAGTTATTAGCGGGGGCGGAAAAGTTATCTTTTTTTTGCGTCTTAGAGTCTATTTTTGTACTTTCTATATTTAAAAGCGGCCCAGAAAGCTGCATAAATTGTTTTTAATTCATTTATGTTACAAATTATTCCATCCTAAAACGTTCTATTCCGCAAATAATTTCTGCACGTTAGCATCAACACAAGAAAAAATTCCACAGAAAATCTCTGCACGATACCTTCAGTCGAATTGCCCGATTCCCGTAAAATCTTGCAGAATCTCTGCACGTTATCGAAAAAAAATCGACGAATCCGTTTCCGCAAGGAATCTCTGCTCGTTCCTAATCTCCAGAAAGTTGAAATAAATCAAAACATTTTAAAGTAGCAAATAAAAAAAACTTTGCTTTTTTAAAAGAGCTAGGAATTAACAATTTAAATCGTTTAAAGAATTTAAATTAGCGAGAAGCTAGCCCCGAATTGCATCTTCTCGTTATTTTTTGGGCAACGTGCCAAACTCGATTTCCCAAATGTTCTCCGCTAGCCTACCCCCTTCACATCTTTGTGGGCATCAAAAAACAGCCATTCCCCGGCGATACCCTAAACCATGAAGCCAGATATCGTTTCAAAACGTCTCAAATTTCCGTGCACAACTGCTGTTTTGGCTGATCAAAGCACGACGATACCTTAAAAGAGCCCCAGCTTCCTCATGCTCACTCCAAAACCTTAACTCATGTAAAAACCAGATCCATTTACAGGAATCGCAAAATGTTGGTGCTCCTCCCCGCTTTCCTGCTCCTTTTCGAGCAAACCGACGCTCAAACTATGCAGAGTAAGCCCGTTAATAATTTATACCTACGCCGCGCCCTACTTTCAGGCAAATGCTACAGCTGTGCGACGCCGAATTTGAAAAATGTAGGTTATCTAGAAAATGTTTCACGCATAATTTTTTAGCCCTTTTTGATTACCAAAAAAAAATATTTAAAAAAATTCATATGTAATGTTTGACCCTTTTTCGGGCCATTTTTCCTAGATTCTGACTTTTGAAATCGAATGGTGGTACGTTGAAGAATTTAGGAAAAACGACTATAAATACTGGCAATTGAGCTGTTAAAGTGCACGTTCAGGCACGTTGAACGTATATTGCCTATTGACACCTGCGTCTCCTTCGTTTCCCAGTCTCTCGGCGTCAATAGGCAATATACGTTCAATATAAATATACGTCCCTGAACGTGCGCTTTAAGCCAAATAGAAAAACATTAATTCCTAGAATTTTCTCACAACCGAACGCGGTCCCGGCCCAAAAATCGCCGAGCCGCGCATCTACGACTCGTACTGTGGCGGCGATACGTGGATTCTCAAGGTATATTTTTATTACTAAAAGTTCCGGTTTTTTTGCATTATCGGGGGGGGGGGGACGAAACTGTTATTTAATCCTAAAGAAAAAACTTACAATTTTTAATCAAAACACGTTAAAGAAATCGATTTCTTGACCAAAAATGGCCGTCTTCGAGGAAAAATTCCTGAAGCTGTTTATTTTGAAATTTTTTTTGATGGTTTTTCAATACTTTATCTAGTTGAAATCTTATTATATTCTACGAAAAACACTATTAAGCTTATTATTACGCTGCTAGGGACTTCTAGATTTATACAAAAAAAAAATTAATTGCCCCCCCCCCCGGATAATGCGAAAGAACCGTCCTTCCACGAAAGCATACGTGCCGAAACTAAGCAAAAAAATACCCTTGTCGATGGCGTTTAGCTATTTTTAATAGAAATCGTTCCTTGATTGTAAAAGTTTTTAGCTATTATCGCGCCCAAAAATTTACAAAATCGATCTAACCTCCTTAAAAAAATAATTTGTTTACTGTAGAAAAGTGATACCGCGGCGAAATTAACGAAAAAAAAAACCATACTACTAGACGAATTTATCTGTAACTCACTTTTTCCACTTACTGCTTACTATAAAAAAACGATTCCAGGAGCGTGCCACGGTGAATTGTGATGGCTATTGCTTCAAATGGACACAAACACTCAACAATTCCGGTAGGTATCTAAAATGATTAAACTTATTAAATCAAGGCACCTTTTCGTCAATGACCTTCCGCGGTTGCTACCGCCAAATGTTCGACCTCAACAATCAGAATGTACCCCGAGAACCGACGCACAGCTTTTGCACCTTTTCCGAGGTAAGCAATAGTAGATAAAACGCATTAAAGAGCCTTATTACCGCCAAATCATCGAAATTTATTTAATCTAACAAAAAATAGAAAAATTTTAGGTTCTTTCGCATTATCGGGGGTCCCATTTTTTGTAAAAGATGGGAAATGTCTAGCAACTTTATTGGAACCTATTTAGTGTGTTTTTTTGTAAAATATAACTGATAACTCGAGTTCAACTATAAAAACTATCCAAATTCTTTTGAAAAACTCGAAATTTGGTCAAAAACGGCGATTTTTTGGTCGAATCGATATTTTGAATTTCTTAATCCGATTTTGTAAGGTTTTCACGTTCAAGAATAGTAAAACCCCGTTAGAAACACTTCCGCTATTTTTATTTGAAAAATCGGATCCTAAGAAAAAATTGAGTCCCCTCGATAACGCAAATAACCCATTTTTATAGTGTTTTCAGCAGCCGAAAAGTGTCAATAAAATAGTTAAATGGGCATTATTCGGCGTCTACGTCATAGGGAAAAGTCTCTCCCCCCACCGCTAATGAACCAGCCCCAAGTAAAAAGCTTTAGAAACCCGTGCCGTGCCTATCCGATTCGTCGGTCGTCGAAAGCTCATGCTGGTGCCAGGGCGATCATTGTAATGTCACAACCACGCCCACGCTCAATTTATTTATTCTCATTGCCACGTTGGGAGCCTCTTTCTACTTTGGAAAATTGTGATACAGCCCTCCCTCCCTCCAACTACAACAACCATACGGGTCTACCTATTTGACACACTTTTCCTTCAAAGCGAAAATAAATTTTGAACAAATGCTATATACAAAAGACAAACACAAAACTCACAAGCAGAGGTTTTTTGGGTGCGCACGGGCTTTGGAGACAGCACCAAGCCTATCCTGTGCATAATTTTTTGCCAATCAAAACCTACTTTTCAAGAATTGTGAAACGCCCACATTTGCAAAGTTACTCAGCTTTCAAGCGTGAAAAATGCGCAAAACAGTCCACTTTGTGTGTATCTCGCCCGTTAAAGCTGCATAACCTTCGTCTTCTGGTCCTTTCGCACATTCTGAAAACCGGTTTTGCGCCAAATTCTGCACAAAATAAGCCTGGCCACACTTTGAAACTCACGCGGGCACTAAAAGATGTCTCTTTGTCAACCTAAAAAACTAATTTACATTTTCTGGAGCGTTGAATATTGAGCATGAATGCAAATTAACAGATTTGTCACCCGAAACAGCACAATTCGATTAACACCCGCCCCCCCACGTGGATTGACATGACTTTCCTGGCTGATGGTCTCGTTGAAGAGGTAAGGAAATTAGGGTATTGTACTGTTAGCGGGGGGGACGACTAAAACGAAAAAATATAGACCATTTTTATAGAATTCTAGACAATTTTTACGATATAAATAGCTCTGAAAAACGAAACGTTCCAAAATCTGGATTGGATTTTCAAGTTATTTTTTAACTTTCTAGCGATCAAAAACTACTAAAAACTCCCCCCTGCCAACAGTCCAGTACCAGAATTCTGGAGAATAGGAAGAGCTACTTTTTTTTCAGCTGAAGCGCGCCTTCCAGTCCGTCGGCAATCGAATGCTGAAGGCCGGCGCCGCCGAATACGCGGCCTTCTTCAAGAAGCTCGAAGAGACTCGACACGAGCTGTGTCGCATGGAGCAAGTGGTTCTCGGTGAGTATCATCTCTAAATCGAAATTTGGTGCCGTTTCTAGACTCGATGAGCAATACAGACGCCTACAACGTGCACACGCCATCGATTCCCGCCGAAATGGCCAGCTCGCTCGACTCGACCCAAATCGCCACCTCGCGCGTCGCCTCGGCCAAGCCCATCTGGAAATGGCCCGAAATCGAGAAGGCCGAGCAACATGTCGAAGAGCCGCCGCCAGAGTCGCCGAAGCCTGTCATCAAGTATTTTGGGGTATGTGTGCCTGAAATCGCGGAACTGGACTGTTAGCAGGGGGGGGGGCTAGTTTTTCCCACCAATCCTGTACGGTCCAATAAGAAATATAAGCAATTTTTGGAAAATTTTACACAGTTTTCAGAAATAAAGAGCTCAGAAAACCAATAAGTTGTTTTTGAATTTGTCGGAAAATGTATGAAAAATGAACAAAGAGGTCGAAGTTTGCTGATTTTCAAAATTATAAAGCTTTCTAGCAATTACAAACTCTAATCAAAACATTAAAATACACTATTTGTGATTAACAGGTAGGTATAAACAGGAAAAGAAAGATTAGTCCCCCCGCTAACAGCCCAGTACCAAGAATAAATCGGTAAACCGAAGATGTACCTGAAAAGTCGGCTAGTAAACAAGAACCACCTTCCAAAAATTCGCAACTTTTCAGTCGCCCCTGAACCACCCTCATCACGGCCTCACCGAAGACTACTTTGCCGTCGATGAACTTCCGGCACATCCCGTGTTCATGGGTTCTGGCGACAACGGGCAAGAGGACGACGAGGAGAACAGCTTCAAGCTCTTGCCGCGACCCATCCAATTTGCGCTCATCTTCGGCCAGTTGATGCTGCAGTACGAGTTCTACCGGGGCGCCGTTTACCAAGTCCAAATGGTGAACCTGGTGTCGCCACTCGAATTCTACGTGACGCTCAAGGCGGATATAAGGTGAGCGCGAGATTTCTGGCTGCAAATTGGGTTCTTTCGCATTATCGGGGAGACTCAGTTTTTTGTCCAAGCATCGAATTTTTCTAAATAAATAAAGTTCTCTCCTTTCTAAGCCCTTTTTTTACTATCGCTAACCGTCGAAACTTTATGAATTTTGATGAAAAAAATTACGAAAAATAGGATTTTTCGACCAAAATTCACTTAAAAATGTTTTTATGTTTTTATATTCAATTGAAATATAGCTGCATTTTACTAAAAACTATTAAAACACTTACTGTTACGTCCCTAGGCATTTCTAGATCCTTAGAAAAACAGCCTCCCGATATTGCAAAAGCACCGAGAAGTGATTAGATCACGCGACTCGCTGGAAGCGATGCTGATGCACTGCGAAGAGGAGCTGATGGCCGACGAACGCGTCATTCCGGTGCCGGGACCTGGCGAAGATTACCCCGCCGATATGCCGTGTCTCGCATGGGTCAACGATCGACTGTTCCGGGCCATCATCCGCTACTCTGGGCTCAATGAAGCACAGGTAGGCGCTCTAAAAATAGTATCAACAATCCGCCGCTTCAGGTGTTCCTGATCGACTACGGAAGCTCACATCTCGTCCCCTGCGATGCGCTCTACTACATGCCCCTCGGCGCGGCTCGTTTCGCGCCCGGTTTCGCGTATTTTTGCACGCTAGAAAGTAGGCTGAATCCACTAAAAAATTCCAACCCCTCCTCTAGGCGCCGATAGCCGCACGCTGAGCGCGATGAGCTGGAAGTGCTTCCTCGACACGTTCACCGAGGACCGCGAGGCGACAATCATCGCCTGCGGGTTCAAGCGCAGCACCCACGGCCAGCTCGTGCACATCATCGACGCCGACTCGGGCCGACCGCTCTCCTTCGACGAGGGGTCCCCGAATTTCAGGCAGTACATCAAGGGCCGCAACGGTGTATTGGTGAGTCCCAGCTATCGGGGTTAAGCTTCTTGCTTCCAGCACTTCAAGCCTCCCGCCAACGAGCCCACACCCTCACTTCCTTCATCGTCATCCGCTGATGATGATGATGATACGATCTCGGATTTGGACATTGGTGACGCGGCTGATTGGGATCTTTCACCAGCTTCCGGCCGCTCAATCTCGACAAAAGCCAGCCTTGACCGTGTCGCATCGCTCTTCTCTTGGCCTAAATGATCTCTCAAGCCCCTCCCCTTAAAATGTATTAAAAAAATGGGTTCATTTCTTAATTCCATGCATTTGTCTATGCCACACCCGGTTGCGAATAAAACTTGTTGTCGAAACAGTTTTGTGTCATATCGTATCATAACGTGTCGGTGCCTTTTGTATGTTTTTATTACAACAAAAAAAATACGCGCAAACTGGAATTTAGAGTAGTCAGGAGTAGTAGGGTAGTATAAACCGGGAAGGGGGGCTAATAAGTGATACATAAAAAACAGATCTATCAGTGAGATCAAGTGAAAAGTGGGCAATGTGTACAAACTGTATGCGGGTGTAACAGAGCGAGACTAGCGAGCAATGGGATACTAGAAGTTATTGCGAAGGGTTGAGCTCATCGTCGAGCGCCGATTTGAGATCGATCCTGGAAAGTCTACTTATTTTTAAAGCAAATTTTATTCTTACCTAACAATGTGGCCCTTGTCACCGACGGCAGCCATAAATCTGCCGTAGGGCTCGAAGCAAATCTGGCGCATCTGGTCGTCCTTTGATTGCCGGCCGGTGCTGACCGATTTCACCCTAAACAGAAAAATAAAGAATTAGCAGACAAAATCGGCACTTACGCGTTTTTGTTGAAGATATTTTCGCCGTCGATGTTGAAGATGTGGACGCTGCCCTCGATCCCGCAGGCGAGCCACTAAAAAGAGCAATTTCCTCAACATAAGTAATTCCCACAATTACCTTGAAACTCGGGTCGATGTCAAACTTGTTGAACCACCAGTTATTTTCGGGGATGACGAGCTGCGCCAGGAAGGAGGACGTGTTTTCCGTCTATAAAGCGTTGAAAGAAAATTGTCTAAAAAAACCTTGATCACGTGTTCGAGGCCCGCAACTCCATCCTCGAACGTGCCAAACTTCCAGATCATAATCGCGTCCTGGTAGACAGACTAAAAACAAAGATGTTCAGAAAGTTCTTTCCCAAAAGGGGGGAGAGGGGAGTACCAAATTTCTTGGTTATAAGAACCGAGTAGTGTTTTAACAGCTTTTGATAGCCCTTAACCAATTTCAAGTGGAAAAACAATAAAAAAACTTGGAACCTTTTTTCATTGAGATTTTGGTCGCAAAATAATATATTTCATTGTCTTTCAAAGAAAATTTATAACTTTTTTACATCTAGGAACGGAAAAAACTGTAGAAACACGTCCACTATTAATATTTTAAAAATGGGATCCTCAGAAAAACGTTACTTGCACCTGATCTTTCGAAAGAGCCTAGAAAAGCCCGAAAAAAATACCTTTGAAAAGCAGAATCCCTTGACGACCCGTAAACAGTCAATGTAGTTCCAGTGGAAATCGTTGGACTTGGCGCACGGCTCGTTGATCATCAACATGTCTTCGTAGGTTTTCTCGAGCCGTATTTTCTTCAGCACAGCCTCGTCGGTTGTTTTCGGGAAGTCCTCCCGGAGTACCTCGTGCGCGTCGAATTTCTGAAAGAAAAGGTTTTTAGATGGATTTGGTCAAAATTACCTCGCCGGTCATCGAGCATCGGATCTTCTTCATATAAAACCCCTTCAACGACCAGCACATCACTTGGTGATCCATGCTGGCCGTGATGACGAACTCGCCGCATTCGGACCAGTCCTAAATTAAAAATATCTTTGAAAAAATGGATTCTCACCAGCGATAATACTTGATTACGATGGCCCCGGTAGCCGCCGAGCCGAATCAGGGGCATGTGTTGGTTGACGTTCCAGATGATGGCCGAGAGGTCTTCAGACGAGGTGGCGATGATGCCGCGAAGCGATGGGTGATGTCGGATGTCGCACAGGCTCTGTCCGTGCCCGTGTAGTAGCTGAAAAGATTTATTGCTTGCCTGTTCCGATTTTTTTTTGCTAGACTGATCACAAGCACATTTCAGACAGTTTGGCCTAGAATAAGCAACTCGAAGTTAAAATCGTTATGCTTATTATGAACCAATTGGATGTCGTTTAAGGCTTCAAAAGATTAGAAACGTATAGAAAGATTGTCTTGATTTACCCGAGAAAAAAACCGACCCTCGCCGTCGTTCCCGCCTCGGTGTCGATCACGCGAATCACCCCGAGCTGGCCGCCGACGCACAGCGCCATGCGCCCCTCCTTCAGATACGCCCAGCACACGACGTAGAGCGCCTCTTTCGTCTAAAACTCGATGAGATCACGGGAAAAACTCTTTCTTACGTTTTCATCCTCGTACGAGATCAGCTGGTCGAACTTCTTGCTTTTGACGCGGAACTTGTAGATCGTCGCCTAAAGCAAAAATAAAATTAAGACGATTTTTCCATACCGCGTTGCCGCCCACTGTGGCGAGAAGTTGATCATCGTTTTTGCGGCAGTAGGGGTTGAAGGCGGCCCCATACAGCGCTGGCCTCGCGGCTACGGGCTAAAATAAAGGTTGTGATAGGATACGGCGCTCACCTTTCTCGTCTCGCTGACGGCCCAGTCGGAGTTTGAGCTCGACGGCTTAGCCATTCTGAAACGAAAAGTTATATTCTTATTGTGCAAGGAAAGAGTGCAAAAATGAAATAAAAAGAACGCAGAGGTAGAACAGTTATATTAATAAAATAGTACCTAAATATGCCTTAAATAAAGTATTTTTCTCATGGAAGGGACTAAAGTATAAACATAAAGCACGGCTAGATTAGTTTATGGACACCTGCCAGTCCGTTTTTTTTCACGATAAAGTTCACGATCGCAAGGTAAAATACTACTTATAGTTTTTTAGCCTAATAAAAAGGTTACTTTCTAACTTTTTTACTAACTAAGACTCATCTAACCGAGAGGTCCACCGGTCTCCTTATATGAATTGACTTTTCTAGCCTTTAGAAAACTAGTATTAGTGCTAGTATACTACATTCAAATGAGCGAAGGAGCGGTTTACGACCCCAAACACACCGCGCCTAACCCCGCTGGCGCCAAAAGCGGTGCTTTGAAGAACGCAGGAATTTTTTGCTTTTCCCCCCAAGGACTGCGATAAAACTCAAGGGTCAGCCATCGCAAAGTCACGATAAGTTTTTACTTTTTGATCAGTTTGGTTTGAGCAGGCTGCAGGAAAATTATGCTATCTTCCATAGCTCGAGCGGTTTATACAATCAAAAAACTTTTTCGTTTTTGGAAATTAAACAAAACAACTTTTACATTACAAAACAATTTTTACCAAAGTAATTCAAAAAAGTAGAAGATTTCCAGAAAAAAATCACGGCTTATACAGCTCGCTACAATCCACCGCTCAAATTTGTGGAGTGAACGACACTGTACAAATTCCGGACTTGCCCCGCGCGGTCCCCCAGCGGCTACAGGATTTTTCATTTATAGACATTTTGAACAACTTCGGGTTTTCGGTTTACCCAAATTCGGTGTTTTCCATTTCTATTCTTTTTTTCTTTTCTATTTTTGATTAACTTTATTGTTTTATAGACTGATGAGTTCGGAAGGAAGGAAGTCCTGGACCATCAAGGACTTCGAGATCGGACGCCCACTCGGGAAAGGCCGCGTATGTTTCGTTCTCGCGATTCCCAATTGCCTTTTTTAGTTCGGCTCGGTGTACCTCTGCCGTGAGGGCAATTCGAAGTACGTGGTCGCGATGAAGGTGCTATTCAAGAAACAGCTCGTTCGGCACAACGTCGCTCACCAACTCCGACGGGAAGTCGAGATCCAGTACAACCTGCGCCACCCCAACATCTTGCGCCTCTTCGGATACTTCCACGACACCGACCGCGTCTTCATCGTCTTGGAGTTTTGCCGAGGCGGCGATCTCTATGGGAAGCTGAAGCAACAAATCAAGCTGGATCAACCCACTACCGCCAAGTAACATTTAGTCTATTTTCCAGCCATCTTTATTTTAGATATGTAGCGCAACTATCCAGCGCGCTCGACTTCTGTCATGAGCGGAATGTCATCCACCGGGATGTCAAACCTGAAAACGTGCTCATCGATGGCGACGACAATATAAAACTTTCGGACTTCGGGTACATTTTTATTCTGCTTCTTGGTAATCTGCCTTCATTTAGATGGGCCGTGATGCACTCTGAGGGCACACAACGCGTCACCGTGTGTGGAACCCTCGACTACCTCGCCCCAGAGATGATCACGAACAAGCCGCACGATAAGAAGGTTTGGTTTTAGACATGGAATTTATTTTCTTTTTACAGGTTGACACATGGGCCGTGGGCATCCTTCTCTATGAGTGTTTGGTCGGCAAGCCACCATTCGAGGATCGCACGCAGAGCGACACCATCGCCAAAATCCGGCGCTGCAACATCAAGGTATGGTTGTTTTTGGTTTGCGTTCAGAACATTTTGCTTTTAGTTCCCGCCCAGCTTCCCCGAACAAGCAAAGCAGCTGGCTTCGAAGATCCTTATGGTGGATGCCAAAAACCGAATCGAGCTGCAGGAGGTCATCAAGCATCCATTTTGTGCTGAATTTGCTAAATAATGTACTGAATATTTACTTGCTGTAATTTTGTCTGTGAAATAAATACTTTTCATATTTGATAAGGAAAAATGCGCTTCAAGTTTTGACATGGTAATATATATTCACTCGCACGGCATGATGGGGTAATAGCGGCTCTGTTCAGAATGAGACTTGCGCCTGCCCTCCGTTCGTTGGCTCGGTTTGCCGCCGTGCCCCGTCGTTCGCTTGCCCAGCACCAAGGACTGCAGATCCGCTGCCTGCACTCCTCGACTCAGTTCTTCTCAAGTGCCGCTTCGCAGCTCGTCGAATGTCTGGAGGGAGAGATACGCGCTGAAAAGGAACTGGAAAGCCAAAGCCTTTCCCAGGCGTCGTTCCCTGGTTTCAATGTCACGACGAATGGCGCTGAAGTTCGGCTGACTAAGAAGCACGGGAACGAAGACATTCTTGTGATCTTCAACGTCAACCACTCGGTGGACGTAAACGAGGATGCGGAAGGCGAGGCACCTGATGCCGCCCCAGTGCCGGTAGCTCTGCCGCCGTTCCAAGTTGAGATCACGAAGGGCCCGGAACGCCTCTGTTTCCACCTGGAGGTTTGCGAGGGCGCCAATCAGCAGTACGATTTCGCCGTCGAGGAATTTTATATCGCCAATGCTGCAAAGGGCAACGAGGAGGATGTGGCCAGCCATGTTTACGCATCCAGCGGCCAATACATCGACTCGAACCTGCACGATCTGCTCTTCGTCCGCTACCTAGAAGAGCGTGGACTTGATACCCACTTCTGCAACACGCTCGTCCAATATGCCACGCACTATGAACACTCGCAATACGTCGGCCTGCTCAACAAAATCAAAGAATTCGTGACCAAATAGATTTTGATAGTCTTTAGAACCTTCTGATAGTAGTTCGCTATATTTTTCGGTTATCGATTAGTTGTTACCGAAATTTGTTTGAAAATAATTCTGGTTATTAAAATAGTTTACCCTGGTTGTTTGACGTGTCTGCCTTTATTCAGCAATAAACTTTTTTAATGTGACTTTTGGCTTAATAGTTCATCGAGCGGAGTAAGTACTCTCGGCATATCTGGATTAGTCGGTTTCTCATGCGGTTGTTGCGCCTTTTGGCCCGTGGGAATAGCTGGGTATTATTAAAGGTCTGACAGCGGAGGCTTTCTTTGCGAAGCAGCTATGTCCTTTTCAAAGAAGGGGTTTGGGATTCCCGGGGCCGTCTGCTTGTCTTTTGGTTCGCTACGTGCCTGGTGCGTCCCCGATTCTTACGCGATGTATTAGTTTTTAAGTGTTGGATTCGAAAAGATACGGTCCGTCCGTTAGTGCGAACGAAAATTTTGGCGCTTTCAAAGTAATATACACTACCTAGGGGCGATTTGGCAATGAAAACCGGTACCAGGGGGTCAGCAAATTGAGCTGCGTAGCTTTACGGCGAAAAGTAGAAGTTTTTTTCGAAAGATTGGCTTCCAGAATTCTAGTTTTCTGACTGAGTATTTCTCGAGCTTGCACCAAAATAATTTTTTAGCGATCGAATAGTCAACAACTATTTATTGCAAGCGAACTATGGAAACTCTCGCTGACACCAGTCTCGAGAGTCCAAAGGTGGCTGCAAAATTGCGTTTTGAAAATTTTCTGGTTTAGCCTGAGGAGCCGAATGATCCATCACAAGATGGCGAAATTCTCGTGCAAGTTGAGGGGCCAACGGTTGAAGGTGAAGAGACTGCTGCAATGGCTGACCCCGGTCAACAAGACGATGAGGCTGCAGAAGTGCCGAAAGTGGTGTCGGAACCCAGCACCTCACAACCAGTGAGTAGACATTTTCCGTTGCATCGCCTTCAGGTGCCGACCGATGAGTCGACTTCATCTGGTGAGCCAGTCGAAACCACTGCCCCGAAGGAACCAAAGAAGCCTCCAGAAGATATCTCCTCTGCGGTTAAGACGGTAGCACGAGTTCGGTCGAATTGACTAAGTCTTTTTAGGTCCTCTATTCAATTGACGAACTGCCGTTAGATTCTAATGCAAAGTATGGCCTTGACTTGGTTGACAAGGAGGGCAAGCCGTGGCTCATTCAGGTTCATTTGAGCAGACGCCCTCATCCTTTCTTTAGGTGCGATTCGAGGAGATGAAGAAGGTATTGCGCATCAAGAAGATGCGCATTTACCCTGAACGGCCAGGGTTCGAGGTAATTTTAGGTCAACGTCGAGCATTATTTCGATATTTTAGAACTTGAACCCGGGCTGTGTTGCCATTGCTCCCGATGTTGGCGAATTGCAGCAGCGGCAAATTATCCGCGAGGCACTACAAGAATACGTGGCTTATTTGACCAAGTATGCTGAAGAAGAAGGTATTTAAATTGCGGCTAGGTAATTTTGAGCATTTTTTAGTGGAAGACAAACATTTGCTTGTCAACCAGTCTACTGTCAAAGTCCTCGAACGCGAGCACGTTGCCACTCTGGACCGTAGCTACCATCACTCCCAGTTTAAAGATGCCCTCTTTTTGTGCGGAATTTGTAAATTTCACCTGTTCCACCCGAGCAGCGCATTGGAGCATTGTATCGGTCCTGAACATCGCGGCAACATGGAGGTCGGGTTTTATTACACAAAGTCGATATTTTGTTTTCAGAAAATCGAGATTCATGAGCGATTGTACAAGCTACCTCAACTGGAAAGCCAACATTACTCGGCCATCGATGCTGAGATTCGACGGTACTTTTTTGCATTGAAAGTTACTTCGCTGCGCATATCCCTGATGAGGTGCTATCGGAATGTCGAAAACCACTTTTTGAAATTTCAATTTATCAAAACTGACTAGAAGACCTACCAGTTTGGCGGCTGAAAACTGGTGACGCCGTTGTTGTAATCTTGAGAAAATGATTGAGCCCTCCCTGGTCGCTAATAGCCTATTTTAGCCTTTCTGCACCGTCGTCATTGCTCGCTGAATTCACCGCCAACGCCGATCGCGCCCACAAATTTATTGAGGAATGTCTCCGGGAGCTGACGGCAGATAGTAAGGTTGTCCTTTTAATTACATTATACTTTTAGGCGCTTTTACCTGGAATCTGACCCATTACGGCAGCTCAGCGACTGGCCTCGCGGCAGTCGGTGGCAAGGTGACCTCGGACGTTAATCTGCACCTGATGGTCCACGATGTCAAGGAGTCCATCATCTGGGAATTGATGAACAAGCTCCATAGGCATCTTGAGGCTATCTCTAAAGGTGAATGGAATATAATAAACGACCCTTTGTTTAGCCAACACTGCCTCCATCACTGTGACGTATATGAAGAAGCCAAATGTGATGACACTCCATTATGAATCAGTACAGGTGGTGCTCCGGGCCAACGACTACCGCAGAACTATTTTTTCCAAGTAACCCTACGCTGAATATTTCAATTTTCTTTAGCGCTATTTCTCAATGGGCTGCTGTTCGCTCCAACCTCGTGCCTTTCCTCCGTTGGATCCGCCGTTGGGCGATGGTAAGCATATATTTTTATCGAGGATCTGACTAGCTTGTCATAGGAATAAAGAAAACTCTAGGAAATAAACCCGGTTGATTGGTTGAATTTTAGATATCGGATCTCGTGGAGCGAACGCAAGACATGCACCCGGGCCTACCTACGTACGTCGTCGACATGTTTGCCATTCATTTTCTGCTCCGTGCCGGACTCATACCACCAGTCTTCAATGTATTTTTCTCATTTTTTTTTGCGGATTTCTTTGATTCTAGAAAGATACGCAGGCAGTCGAGATCAATGAACCAACGACTTATGAGCTGCTATCGGATGTGGAAATCAAGGTTTCGCTGTGCCATTTGTCTCCTAAGTTTTTTTTGTTTCAGGAATTGGCTGGGACGGATACGTCTGATGGATGGTGCCTAGGAAAACTATTCCATGATTTCCTTGAATACTATTCAAAGAAGGTAAATTCTTCGCTAAGAACAAGCGCGTGTTCTCTGACTTGCCAGGCCTGACTGTCAGTTAATTGAGGAGCCGTTAGTGGCTTTTTGAGGCTGTTTAATTAGTTTTTATAAATGATAGAAGATTACACTATTGACAACATCTACGCAAGATATACTTCTTTTTAGCATTCTCAAGCGCTTCGTATCCAAGTCGTGAGCGCGGATATACCAATGTTGCGCATCGGGACCAGCCGCCGATTTTTCATCTCAGGTAGCTGAACTCGCTCTCTTTTTCGCATTGGAAGTGTGGTTTTTAGATCCCGCCGGGCTATCAACATCCTTGTCACAGACGGTGGCCACCCATCTGTACAACGTGGTGCTGCATTCTTACTGCTATCTACGGGTCCCAGATTTCATGGACAGCGAGAAATCCCCGTTGCGGCTGGTTATGGATGTGAGTGGTTTCGTTTCTAGTTTTAAATTGCATTTAGCCACGCGAACGCGAGGGCCGTAAGGATGGCAAGAATCATGACCATGGTAAAGCCACTCCTCAAAAGGTCTGTTTGAGATTACTAAACCGCATTAGTCTTTGGCTGTATTGCTACGATCTACGTTCACGTGACAAGCACTGTAATTTGTTTTGCAGGTTCCCGCTGTCCCTGCCGCCATAACGGATTCGGACATTGACCCATCAGTGAGCTATTTGTTTGTTGCTTTTCAATCTTTGCTTTAGACAAACTGGGTGTACAACGCCAAGGATCTGGACGAAGAGGGTCTCCTCGTCGAGTTCGCTGACCAACAACAACTCCAGTACACTCCAATGGCGCTCCTACAAATTCTTTCGAACGATCCGAATCAACATTGCTACGCGGTAGCTCAGAGTGGCTTGGATTGAAGTTGCATCATTTAGGGTCAACTTCCGGAGCTGGAGAAACTCTACTCTGCTGATGAGGAGCGCTACTACAGCATTTTTCAAATCTTCGATAGCCCCACAAACATCACGCAGCGTATCGAGACCGTACTACGGCTTCACTACGCGAGTCGACGCTACCGGATGCTTGCCCCCAACGACCCGAACCTCTGTGCGCCGGCGATCGAAATGGAGGAAATGGACGGCGGAAACAAGCACTGCCCGGTGGATCGTCTTTACGCCTGGAAGCCAGAGCCTGTGGTGCAGGAGCCGTCTGTTAACATCAACGGTGGCCTTCCTTTCCAATCTCACAAGTGTGTCTATGGTTTTTATGAAAAAGAAGGGGGCAACAATTTAACGTTTTGCAAACTCTTTATCTTTCCCGCCGTATTTTGTTCGGAATGTTGTTGCTGAAAACGATTTTTTGGGGATTATAAGGAACGGTGATTTACTCGAAATTTCCGTAGGATGGCATCCAAATGCTCCATCACTGGTTATAAATTATCTGCCTTGGAAATTTCGAGATGGTGATAGCAAGGCACTTTTAGCGTCACGCGCGACTCTGAGGCTGAGGCCGGTGGTTGGAGCGATACTGAAGCGGAGGTGAAGATCGACTATGGCAAGTCAAATGCATCGACCAGCGAGGCACCCGGTAAATCAAGTCAAATAAGCTTTGAAGTTTTTTTTAGATCCAACCGTTACCGTGTTCCCGGTCGTCGCTGGCAACGCTGATTTGGTTGGCGGTCTCAAGCTCCTTTCGCTGGCATCCAATGAGGTTGGCTTAACGCTTTAACTAATTTCTCGCATAGAAAATGAGCACGGATGAGTTGCGGGTGCAATTTGCCAACGAGAAGCTGAATTTCGACGAGCTCGCTGCGCGCAGTTGCGACTACGACTTTGGGGCCGCGTTGAATTTCACTGGTGGCTATGTAAGATCCCAAATTCCTTGAATTCCTTCTATTTTAGATCATCGATCGTCGTTGTGCTGCCTGTAACGATCCGACGCATACAAAGGATTATTGTCCGTTCCTTGAGGTAAACGACTGTTTTATATAATCAGCGTTCTCTTTTCTGGACAGGGCAAACAATTATTTTGGCGTTATATGTTCAATTCATTGAAGCTGGTGTTCTTTTAGGTGCCAAAGTACAGCAAGCTCAAACTTCCTGGTGATCCGGTGATCAGACAACTGGATTGCGTCATTGGACGTTTGTACAGTATGCAATTGTCCGGCTATATTTTATTTTTGTTTTTAGATTTGGAAGCCGTCACCGAGGAGCAGTCGGAAGAAGTGCAAACACGGGTCAACCAACTACAGCAGCGTATAAACACTTCGAATTTTGGCAAACAGATGGGCCCTATTACCCTGAAGGTGCGTGCAAATCATGAAATGCGGAACAGATTTGATGGATGGTGACAATTTTGTGTTCCAGGTCTTTGGATCATACTGTAACACCATTGGCGGCCGAGCTTCGGACGTGGACATTTGCTTGACCTTCGACGAAAGCCCTGAAGAACCTCCACGCAAAGTAAGCTTTTTTTCGCTTTTCCAGGCTTGGTTTTAGCACAGCACGAAGAGCGTTATGCAACGCCTGGAGAGTGCACTACGCTATTGCCAGTTCACCGACAACATTGTGCTGGTGGCCAGAGCGAAGGTATGGCCTTTGTTTATTTTGGCTCGGAAAACAATGGAGGTTGCTAATGATGGATTTTAGGTTCCAATCGTCCAGTTTTCGCTCTTCTTCGATTCGAAGAAGGGGAAGTTCTCCAAATACAACAATTTGTTGCAACACCAGGATTACCGACGTTTGGATGCGGAGTTGGGTTTTCCGGTGTAGCATTTAACTGTTTTTAGCATATCCTACTACAACCTGCTGGCCATGCACAATTCGAGGCTCATCTCTACGTACTGCGATATCTGGCCGCCGTTGAGATCGCTGGGCATTTTCGTCAAGCTCTGGGCGAAGAACAACCAAATTGGTAAGACATTACGGAAATTAGCAACTATAGCATGCCTCTTTGGTAAAAAAAGCTTTTTCGCGTCGTATTGCTTATAATTAATAAGTTGCGAAAAGCCGTGCGGCATTTGCTCACTGTCCTCATTAGCGTGACTTTTGCATGACCACTTTGTTTAGGAGACGCGGCGTGCGGGTCTATCTCTTCCTACGGGCACATGCTGTTGTTGATCCACTTCCTGCAGCAGGCGGATATCCTACCCGTGCTCAGCGAGGCGCCCTGGACTGACGGCCTGGAGAAACAATTTTGCGAAGGCTTCGACGTCACCTTTGCTTCTGATGTCGAGTCTATCAAGGTAAAACATCAATTCTTTGTGGTTGAATCTATTTTAGCAACGCTGGCAGCCAACAAACACGTCTTTGGGTCAAACCTTCATGGAGTACCTCGACTTTTACTGCCAATATGACTTTGAGAACAATGTATATTTATTTATCTGTATGATGGTCTCCAGGTTGTTCAAATTCGACGCAAGGCAATGCTGACTATCGAGGAGAAGCGCAATGAGGATTTGAAGGTTTATTTTTTTTATATAAATTGTCAACATGAATTTTCGTTTTTAGGTCCAAAAAATGATCCAGTGGAGTACGGAGCGCGGAATCTACATCGAAGACCCGTTCGATCGAACGCACAACCTGCCATCGGGAATCAAAGACAGAAGTATGCATTTTTCCAACAGTTAGTGCTTTTCCATTTTTTTAGTGCTCGCCTACGTGCGTCGTTGCTTTGATGCCTCACGTGTCAAGCTCTACAGCTCTGAGGATCTCGGCATCACGCTCAAAGAGTTTGTACCCGCTTCATTCCCCCACAATTTGTTTAGCGGCAAGAAGCGCAAGCTGAAGCTTAGCCCGGACGTGTTGGAAAAGCAAATAGTTGACTTGATGGTAACCCTTCTTTTCTCGATTTTCACTCTTTTTACAGCGCGCACTGCAATTCGCGGAAGTTGTCCCTGAGGCCAATGCGCGTTGCGTGCACTGCAAGAAAGTCGGGCACTTTGTTCGAAACTGTCCGGTGAAACAAACGTATGCTTTCGGTATTTGAATAAAATTGTTTTTGTTTAGGCACCATCCCTTCACAAAGAAGACACCGGTGAAAAATTTGGACCGTACGCCTGTGAAGGTTTGCTGCATTTGTTAATGTTAATTGAACTTGTTTTGCAGTCAGGCGCCCAACACGGTCCCGCAAAGCCTCGGCTGGGCCCCGGTTTTCCCAACATGACGGCGACAACGCGGCCCGCTCAAGCAACCCAACCAGCCGGGCCGAGCCGCAGCAACAAGTACAGCGCCCCGGCCCCTGCCAAGCAGCAATCAAAGGTTAGGACCGTCCCTTCTGCACCCATTTTTGTTTCCAAGGGGGGCACACACACCACTGTTCCACTCGCACCCTCACCGCTTCTTGACCACCAACCGTCGACACCCTCCAGCGATCTGCCAGCCGTGCCACAACAATTCGAGGATGTCGAAGAGGAATCGCTGGATTCGGAGGTTGACGCCGAGATGGTGGAAGACATACGAGCGTTCTCGGAACCGGACGGATTGATTGTTTCACCATCCTCGGCTACTGTTTCCCCACTAACTGTGAAGCGGCAAGGCCTCAACATAGTTACTCACCGGCGCCGGGACCCGCTCGATGGCGATGGCGAGGTTACTTCAGATCCGGAAAGCCCCGACGAGGACATGGCACTGGAGATGTTGGCCCAAAATTCGCACATGAGGCAGGGCATCATTCAAATAATGAAACGGGACTCTCACGTGCAAGTGGATGACGTTTTGCCCCTGCCCAATGCCGTGCAAGAGGACCTCAACTCGGTGCCTTCAGCCGTTGAAGCGGATCAAGAGGAGTCAAAAAATGCTGATGAGGACCGTACTCTCGATGAAACGAATGACACGGAAACCGGCTCTACTGTAACCGTTGTTCTGCCTCATCCCTTACCGCCAATCGCGCCACGGCCTCGATTCCGACCCCCAAGGGAGCGTGGGATTTTCCGCGTGCCTCCTCCTCTGACCCTTCCGACACCGGAAATCCGTGATGGTCATAGAGATGGTGAGCTCACTGATCCATCACAGGCCTCTGTGACTGTAGAGGACGTCACCGTTGATGAAAGTGAGCCCGCTTTCACAGCGCTGCCTGAAGCAATGATTGAAAGCCTGAAACGTTTGACGCCGGAGCAAACGCAGCAATTGCTACACATCCTATCCCCCAATTCGAGTTCCTTCGAGAATTTTGCGGGGCCAGTGTCGGATGAGAGCAATAAGCCAGTTGGGCAAGACTATCATCGCGCAACTGCGACTGAACGACAAGCGGCTGGTCGAGATTGGTGGTTAGCGCAACAACCTGGAACTGTCCACGGGAGCACAGATGAGTCTCTTGCCGCGCAACTCATAAGAGAAGATATTGAAAGATCTGGACAGGACGTTGCTCACCATCATCAACATTTGCTTGGACACTTGTCATTGGACGAGTTCGAGGAGCAACAGGCTCGCTGGCTTGAAGCGGAACTTGGACTACCGGTGGCCTCGTATGCCAATGTTGACAACACCTGGGACCGGCCATCTACTTCCCGTGAACCCGATGAAGGATTTCCGATTCCCGGCACTTTCCGTGATCTGGGAGGTACGACCGTGGACGAATGGGCCAGACTACAAGATGAGCATTATCCGCAAGAGCCCAGGACCGAGCCACAACCAAAGCCAAAATCCAAGCGCAGCAAGTTGCGCCCCGCCGAAGCATCAATGTTTGCTAATGCCAAGATCGAAGAACCGCTCCCAGGCCCATCGCAGCCGGTGGAAGATGTTGTGCTGGGTACTTTCCACCAAATTGGAGGCACCACGGTGGAAGAGTGGGCCAAATTGCAAGATGAAGTTTATCCGGGCCTGCGAAGACCGCAAGAGCCGAAAAAAAGGCGAAATTTATGCCAAAACGCCCGGCTGCTACGCCTACCGGCAGGCCGGCCGCCGATCGGGAAAAACCTGCACCGGGGGCTTCAACCTCGAAAATCACCTATCAGACTTCCTGGGCCGGGCGGCCGATGATGCTGTGCAACGATTTTGAAGGATACGAGGAGGCCGTGGAGAATGGTTACCTCGGAGGGCCGATGGAAGCACCTCGTGAATCACAATTTGTCTGGAACTCCCCGAATGCGAGTCCGCACAATAGCAATTTGGAGCCGGAGTGGCTGGCGGATCCGCTAGTTGATCACCGTCCGGATCGGCTCTACTTTGACCGGCGCTTCCACGTCGAGGTGAGGGTGCGCAAGGGAAAGAAGGTGTGTGTGCACCGGGGAAAAAGCCTTTTATTGTCCTTTGGGTAATTTCGATGGAAACCTGCTGATATTTGGATAGTATAATTTTTAGACAAACATCGAGAATAACGAATTCGTAAAAATTGAGAAATACGAAAAATGGACGCATAGTAATCACAAACTGGTGCTTTCGCATTTTCGGGGAGCGGCATGTTTCCTTAGGATCTATTTTTCAAACATAGACATTTGAAATGTTTTTAAATGGTTTTTTGTTATTCCTAGACGTAAAAACTACAAAATTTTCATAAAAAATGTCAAAATATCGATTTGGGTGCTAATGCAGTTAGGGGGGGGGGGCAGTCCAAAATTGGTAGTAAGGGGTTACGAGGTGCTCCGCTTAAGCTACTTGGTTTTTGGCTTAAGCCTAGGCATAACTTAGGTTTAACTAAGCCTAACTGAGGCTTAGGCTTAAGCCTAAGCCCAAGCTAAGCTTATCTTGAACTTCAAATTGACTTACGGGGTTAAGATGGGGTCATTTATGGGTTAGCTTAGAACTAAGCTTAGCTTGACTCAAGCTAAGCTCAGGCTTCGTTTGTTTGAAGCTAAGCCTAGGCTTAGGCTTAGCTTAGCTTTTCCAGAGGCTTCGAGTTTAAAAAACGGCATTTGGAGCGTCTCGTAGTCAAAATCCAGACTGCCCCCCCCCCCCAAGTGCATTAGCACCTCGATTTGTAACCAAAATTTCCTCCCAAAACGTTTTGAGATGGTTTTTCTAGTTCTCGTTTCTAGTAATGCGATAGAACCAATTTTTTAGGCGAATTCCGTTTATTATCCGTAGAAAACGACGAAGTGCAGAAATGCGTAAAATGAACGTCCTCACTTTCACCGACCAGCCACGCATTCTTACGGTCCTTGTGACATACTATTTTCTAATCAGCAGGTTTCCTTGGCCATTACGTTCAGACCGTAACTACCCGTTCCACTTAGTCCCTCCGCTTTTCAGGATATCACCAAGGCCAAGGTTGGAGAGCGCGGTGTGTTGCCGATGCCGCGCGAGATCGTCAACTCAAACTTCCAGGCCAAGGTATGAGTGGTTTTTTTAGTTTCATGCCATTTTATTTTTTAGGGATTCGCGGACAACTGCCAATGGGAGAAGATTGACGTGAGCGCCAAGTCCAAAGACACTCCTCCGCCCAAGGATAAGAAAAGAAAAACAAAGGTTTGCCCGCTTTCGTCGCCAAATAATGCTTTTTTACTTTTTCAGGCGCCGGGCAACTCGCGCAACCAACCGACCGCCGCCAATCCATAAAGTCTTTTTGTTGATTTATTGTTGAATTTTAGGCTTTTATTGTTACGATTAACCATAATGCGGGTAATTTTGCTTTTGCACTCATATTGAAACATTACTTTGTTTAATTTGTGATTTGGAGCCTTTTTAAAATTTTTATCTGCTACAAATGCATTTGGTTTTGGATATTTCCGTTAAGCTTATATAAACATGTGCAATACCGCATCAGTTGTGTTACTGCTTCGAATTTTGGTAATTGGAAAATGGCGATTTCTCGAGCTAGATTTTTGAGCCATTACTGCGCGGATGGGGTAGTTGGACAAGAACATCAAGCATTTTATAAAGATTTATTAAAGCACACATTGAATTGCACGTATCACATCATATTACTGTCATTAATTATTATTAGCACAAACCTAAAAGTAAGTAAAGTCAATTGCCGGCCTGGCGGAAGGCGAAGCACGTGATCCCGTTGCGCTCAGTCTCGCAGTACAGCTCCGTGTTGACGATGTACGAGAAGGTCCCCATCGAGCAGATCACATCGATGCGGCCTGCGAAAAGGGAGTTTTGATTCGGATTGAATGAATTTATTTTGTTTAGTTAAGGAGATTTTTACGTTTAGTCGAAAGGATGAGGCCATTTTTCTCGCAGCTTGAAAAGCCTTGAATGCGTTTTGCAAGTATCAAAAATAGCGGAAAATTAATTTTTTAACTCGCGTAAGTTTTTAAGATTTAGCCATCGTTTTTTGGCTAAGAAAACGGCATGGCTGAACTTTTCTGAGCTGAAATTAGTTAATTAGTATAATTTGTAACGGCCTATCGACTGAAATTAGCGAATTAAATAAAATTTTTAAAAATATCATGAATTTTTAGTTTGTAGGCCCATTTTTTCAATTTCTCAGCACTTACCGCCCATCGCGTCGACGGCGGCCTTCTGAATCTTACGTTTCGACGCGGCCGTGGATTGTTGGATGTTCTAAAGCGATAGATTTGAAGTTCTCCTCTGTTTTTCGATTTTTTAGCTAAAAAACCCGTGATTTTTTGGGACCCACATCCAAAATGGCTCTCCTCAGCGACTCCGAATTGCATTTCGGGTCGAACGAGGTGGTGGCCGTCTCGAGGATGGCTTGATTCGGCTGCAAAGTCAGCTTTTCCTTGGCGGCTTCAACTTGTGGGGTGACCACCTCGGCCAGCTCGGTGAGGGTCGCCTTTTTGAGGGGGGCACGGCGGAGAACCTGCAAAAATAGACTAAAAATCTTTGGCTTGTAACAATCGTCAAAAATTCGTAAAAACTGCATTACTCGGGTTCGCTAGCGCCTCCTTTTTCGACAAACGCTCTCCGCTAGTCGGCCTTTTACGTTTCCTCAAGGATCAATGCTAGCTTCCCGCGAATAGGGATTTTGGTCTTTATTCCCGATTCCTAAAGATCTTTGCTAGTTTGCCTGAAAAATCAGGCAATCCCCACGCATATTTTTGCGCAGATTTTTCAAGAAGAATTCTGCTAGTCTGCCTTTTTCTCTTTATATTTTCCCAAAAGAACATTGCTAGATTGCCACCTAATCAGGATTTTTAACGTAATTTCGTCTCCTAATTTACTAGCCTAGCCCAAATTTCCTAAAGAACCGCTGCTAGCTTGCCATTAGAATTTTTTGGACGGGTGTATTCGATGCCTAAATGATCTCGGCTAGTATGCCCTGATTTTCATGGGCTAATATCTTTTCTAAGGTTCAAAAATACCTTCATTCTGACGGCCTTTTTGACGGCCTTTGCAATCGTGCCGTACTCGCCGGTCTTTTCCGTTCCAGCCGGCGTCGATGGTCCGGCTCCACCCAGATCGTCGTATTGAGCCTGAAAATCAGGAATATAAATCGTTGCTATTATTAGTATTAAAAATTAAAAATTAGAAGTTATGCGACGAAAACTTGGGGTTCTGGTCCGTTTGCGTGGGGTTATGGTTTGATAGCATTTTTCGGAGTTTTGTGCTAAAAATTATAAAAACAACTTTTAAAAGTCCAGTAAACCCCAAAACTTTCGAAAACATGAAGTAAAAAGTAAAGTAAAAAGTACCAGTAAAGAACTTACAATTAGTCCCCCCCCCGCAAACGGACCAGTACCTAACTGACACCACCCAAAAGAAACACCAAAACCTCTAGTGAACCATAGCTTCGCCCAATGACCCCCTAACCTCCAAAATCTGGGCCAGCTCAAAGTTGGCCTGTCGCTTGGCCACCGCGTCGTCATACTAAAAATTGTAAAACGGGTTCTTCCGCATTTTCAGGGGGCGTATTTTTCTTATAAATGCCTTGCGACGTAATAATAAATGTCTAATAGAGTTTCTCGTCAAATTTAGCATAATTTCGAGCCGAAAACTATCTAAAAACCTTAGAAAAATTCGAAATTTTGGCTGAAAATCGCTTTTGAGTCGAAAAATCGATCTTTTGGTATTTTCTGGGCAAATTTTTTTTACGTTTTTACGTTTAGAAAAGATGTTATAGAGTAACCGGAATATAATAGTATTAAATCCGCTAACCTGGGGCTGAACTTCAGTAGGTGCAGGTAGAGGGGTTTGCTGGGGAGGGGCAGCCGGGCCCTCGTCTTCTACCTCATTTCGACCCTCATCGTAGCTGCGGGCAGGCTAGAAAACGTCATTTTAAAACAGAAAAAATCCAAACCTGTTCCTGAGCGGGTTGAGCGGCCACGGGGGATTGGTTTTGGAACTGAAAAAGGATATTAAAGGTGCGTCGCGGGTCGCCGTCCCCTTCCCTATTTACCACCCCCCGGCCCCCACCCCCAACACCCCCGCGAAGCACCAAAATTCGGCCCAAATCCATGCGCTTGCCGCGTTTGTTGCGCCCCGCGCGCCGTGCCTTGTCGCCGAGAATTGCCGTTCTCGCGTTTTCTAGCGCATTTAAAACATGTGAAAAAGCATCTGGAAATTTTTTGGATAATTTTACATCAGCGCGCAGAAGCGTTTTGCTTTCTAAAACGTGACCAACTTTTCTAAACCCTTTTGAGCAGTCGTCCGACTTTTGCTTTTTGGCGGAAAAAAACCCATAAAAATAATTTCTTTAGGAATTCACTAAAATCTGTAACTACTTAATTTAATTCTTTAATCAATTATACCTGAATTGGTCCCTCGATTTGTGGCGGGGCGGGTGCTTGAACGGAGATGGCAATCTCGTTCACGATCGGTGATTGAGGGGGTCCGGCTGAAACATGAATAAAAACGATGATCTCTCGAGATTTCAGCTGGTGAGGTGCAAAACTTGCTGAATAGGTTTGAAACTTCGGCGATGGTTCGTTAGGGGGGGCTCAACGAACTGCCTTCTTTTCAGCCTAATATCTATAACAATAAAAAAGATGAACTTGTTTTATATAGTTTTTATATTATAATAGTTTCTCATTATTAAAAAAGCCATATAAATTATAATTTTTGAAATTTTGATAAAATGAAAGTTTTGTTTACTTGTCGCTTTTTATGCTTAAAAAGTGCTAAAAAGATCGATAAATGCTTAGTGTTTTAGCACGGGTGTAATAAGTCAAAGTTCGGGCTCCATCTTCGCTAAATCCCCTCCCCCCGCTAATAATCCAGTACCAAAAAGTTCTCACCCGCATAAACGGGGCTTGGCGGTGGGGGTAGAGCCGGTAGAAATGAAGGAGATTGAGGCAGCAATGGTCCGCTGGCACCTCCACATGGCTGTTGAGCTGGAGCTGATGAGCCACAGCCGCAGCCGCCATCACCACCGCCCAGCAGGCATGCCTAAAACGGAAATTTAAGGGTTGCTTGCAACCCTCTCATCCCAGTGCTTGCAACTTTTCACCCTTTTTCCGAATTGTTTCCGGGAGCCGATCGAGCAGAGCATCGACCAGCTGACCAGCCGTGAGATAATTGGAGGAGGGTGTTTGCGCAACAACCGTGTTTCGGGGATTGGACCTCGAAGCAGGGACAAAAAGTGCCACGAGCTTGCAACATTTTCTTGATCTTTATTCCTGAGTCGGAAGCTATGGAGAAGGTCATCCACATAAGGTACGCTAGCAGAGACCATTTGCTATTTCTGGCTCGGTGAAACCAAGTATTTGGCTCCCGGAAAGGGGAGAAAACGCGGTGCGTACTTGTATTTTCTGATTTTCGGGTTGAGCGATCCGGGCCTCTAAATTCACCCTCGGCAACTAATAAGAATTGATCCATTTTATTTGTGTTCTAATAAGGCGATCTAAAATACGTAGCATAAGCTAGCAGGGATGATTAGAGATTTCCAGAGCCTTTCAATCAGATATCGGGCACTCGAGCCCTGCCAAAATCCCTTTCAAGCGTGTAAAATTTTGGTTTTATCATTATTTTTGAGGCTTGATTTATTCAAATAGATTTTAAAATGGGGATCGGGAGCTTTTTAGAATGCCGAAAGATGCCTGAAAATTTCTGGTCATCTCGAGCTGGAAGGCACAGATTTCGAGCTCGTCAATCTCACCGCCCAACAGCAACTTCTTGGCCGAAAACCTTAGAAAATCAAGAAATCCAACTCTAACGCGGGAATGGTGATTATTCAATGAAATTCTATTATAAATACAGAAGCATAATAAAAGAACGCAAGCAATACGTAAGCAAAGCTTGCAAACATACCCTGCGATTTTTGGCTAGACTAACCCAGATATTAGGTGCTCTAGCAAGGGGGAAACGCCGTGCGAATTTGGAACATTCTCGTTTTCCCTGATTTTCAGACCGAAGTTATTCCGATTTTGGACTGACGCCCAGCCGCTAATCAGGTTTTATCCATTTTATCCTACTATATATAAAAAAATAGTGTCTGTGTGTGTGTGTGTGTGTGTGCATTTGCATGCAACTTCCGTCACCGTGTTCCAGTAGTATCTAGAAGAGAAGTACTTAGGGGTATGTTCGATACGTCATTAGGTGCGTAATGGGCTGGAGATGACTGCACACATATTAGATTTTACGAAATATGATGTTTTGGACATTAAAATTAAGTTTTTCATGGAAAATCGGACACCCCAATTTGTTAGGATCAAATTAGCATGCATCGGAAGTCGCGGTAGCCTATATAAAGGGACGGCAAGTGCATTTTTCATTTTTCGTCATCTGATTCCGGGAAAATTATGCAAAGAGAAGAATATCATTGGAGAAAGACGGGGCCAGGGTTGAAAAGCCGCGAAGCGGTTTTTCAACCCTGGTTTACCATCTAAAAAACTATCCAAATGCATAGGGTCAGCTAGCAGGGATCACTTGCGATTTCTAGGAAAGCACAAGGGTATTAGTAAGTTCTCCAAAAAACGTTGCAAGCCGTGGAATTTTGTAACATACTTATTTTATCAGATTTTTTACGCGCGGTATTTCGGCTTCTAAATTGACGGTCCACCGCTAGTGAAAATGCTGACAAAATTATTTTTATCAATTCTCCCAGCTCCAATAAAATGAAAAATACGAGCCATTTTCAACTCGTTTTCTCTTCGCAATTTTTCAGTGGCAAAACATTCCCAATCCAAAAACTTACTTTAGAAAATTTATGACTAATTCAAATACGTTAAAAGGTACCAAAAAGCAGGGATCTGTTGCTCACCTGGGCCACCTGGGCAATCAGCAGCGCGGGTAGCAGCCGATAAACCATCTTCTTCCCTTTTTATTCTTGTTCTTCTGCTGCTGATCCCTCAATCGCAAGCAGGAAATAGAGATGGATCCGAGATTCGGGGAGCACGAGCGATCTACGAGAATACTAAAATGAGGCTCGTGCTCCCCACAAGCGGGGGTTGGAAGCCCATGCTCACGCCTCAATTTCGGTCCATTCACACACAGCTCTTTTTGCATGTGGCTCCTCCTCGTACCGGCAATGGGGGGTTGATTCGCATCGCCGAATCCGGGGGCGGGGGATTTTCAGGTGGCAGCCAGCGTCTTGGAGAAGACCGGCTAGGCGGTGTTTTTTTGGCCGGGGGAACCGGGTATTAGCCGGAGAACGCCGAGATCATGCTCGATGGCGCTTTGTGATTATCGGGGGTGGCCAGGCGTACCTAAACGTACGACGATTACGACGTGCGATTCAGCTATAGTATCCCGCGGCAATCTTTCCGATCCATAAATTTAGAGGTTCTTTTGTATTATCGGGGGGCCGAATTTTCCTTAGAAATCCAGAAACGCCCCGTAACTTCATAGTAAGTGTATCCATCGAGTTCAATGAAAAACAATACAAAAACTAGCAAAAATTTTTTGAACTTGAAAAACTTGAAATTTTGGTAAAAAGTCCATCTGGTCAAAACACTGGATAATTTTTGTATTTTGAAATAAAATTCGTAGTTTTTAGGTTAGGTTTTCTTAGGAATGGTAAAAAAAGTTTGGAAACGCTTCCTTTTTTCCATTAGAAAAAAGTTGCCCCCCCCCCGATAATGCGAAAGAACCATTTCGGAAGCAACAAATCGGCGTTGATAGATTTATTTACACTGATCTCAAAATATCACCAGCTTTAATTGCTAAATTTGACAAATTTAACTTTCAAAACCTATAAAATTCATTGGCTCTAAAATACCTTGGCCAAGATTTCTCACGCAGCTTTAGTAGCATCTCACGTTGTAGCTTTTCGGCGTATCCTGTATATAACTCTCGCTAAAATCGTAATAAACCGTTTATATTCAGCGTAACCGTAATAGCGATGGGCAAAAAGTGAGCGGGTGGGTGGCAGGAAAATGAGTTCAAAGTATCACAACATCAACAGTTTGAAAGGGAAAATTTGAGACCTGGAAAGGAGCTTCGCAGAGATTTTCAGCGGGAGTATCGTCGTTTGTTCACACGCGGATCATAGATGGATCTAGAAAAGGTTGATTAAAAAAAGTACATTAAGGAGGGTACATTACGAAAACTGATTTAGGTTAGTTGGATATATTGTTAAAACTATTTACTAAACTAGAAAAATATTTTCTGGAAATTTTGGTCGAAAGATCGAAACTTTTGTGTATTATGGTTCTTTCGCATTATCGGGGGAGGGGATTTTTCTAAGAATCCAATTTTTCTAATATAAATAATGGAGGTGTTTCTGCACTGTTTTTTTACTATTTAATCGTACGAACTACAAGAAAAATACGAATTTTCGACCAAAATCTTGACTAAAGAAGTTTCGTTATAGTTTTTGATTGTTTCCTTGAAAAATGGCAAAAATTTCTAAAAACGCTATTAAAATACTTATTACATATAACAATACTAGGGATTTCTGGACTAAAAGTAGAAACCCGGTAAGGCGAAAGAATATATATTTTTCATGAAAAACAATGAAATGAAAGACAAAACGTACCTTAATAAATACAGGCACACAATCAGAGCAGCCGAACGTGGCCCTGCTCGAGGGCGGGCAATATCGGGTTGATGGGCAAGAGAAAGGTGGCCCCGCGATTCAGCCCGATCAGCACGTCCGAGCCCGGATCATCTCCATCCGGCACGGCCACATCGTCCAGCCCATCGGCCAGCACGTTGATGAACACCTAAAATACCAAGGCTTGAAATCTACAAGAGCTGGTTACCTTTTCCGAGTCGTTTGTCGTCACTGGCCGCATGAGTCTATTCAGCGAGGCGGGCAAATGGCGTAGGACGGTCTGGCTGAACACGGCCGATTCCGCCTCGGCAAATCGACGCGCGTAGATGAGCTCGTCGTCGGAGAGTAGTGGCTTCTGCTCGGTTCGTACTCGTTCTTGGTGTTGTTGGATGGCGAGCAGGGGGTTGTCTTCAATTTTTTGTAGTCTGCGCCTGGAAAATTCGTCTTTAGACTTTTTACTTCGCATTCATTTCTTCTAAATAAATCATCTATTAATATAGTTTTGACTTTCCTATGAATGTAAAAACTCTACAAGCTTTGAATAACGAAACTAAAACATCGATTTTTCAAACGTAAATAGCCCATTTCGACGAAAAATTAAGGTTTTTACCATTTTTCTGAGTTTTATAGAATACTTCACGCCTCAAAATATAGCTAAATTTGCTCTAAAGACCGGTTTATTCAGCTTTGACAGTTCTAAAATGTAATAACTTCAGAAACTTTGATTAAATATACAAAAACGTCCATTTTTCAAACTAAAATGGTCAATTTCGGCCAAATTTACAATTTTCATCGTTATTTTAGGCTTATCGACGGTTTTTCCACTTAAATAAAGCTAAATAAACCAAAAAGACTGATTTCACGACATTCAGAACAAAAGTCACAACGCTACTCACCTAATATAACTGTTGACAACAAAGGTGATCCGTTGCAGCTCCAACCGATGCAACGAGATCTTGATATGGCCCCGATCGACACATCGCATCAGATTCTCCTCCATCGATTCGATTTGGTCGACGAGACAATGGACGAGCTCGGAACGGTCGGGCAGAAGAAGCGGGGAGACAGTCTCTGATTGCCACACTTGTCGCATTTCTGCGAGGACCATGGCTGAGGTCACGGCATCTTCATCGTCTTCGTCTTGTGTTTCTGGGGGGCGTTCAGCTTCTTCCTCTTCTTCGTCATCTTGTTCTTCTGATACATTGTCACCAGCGGAGTTTAACTAAATGAAAAAACGATCCGTAAGCACCAACATTCTAACGAAAGGAATTCATTAGCGGTTTCGAGGATATCAGGTTTCTTGCCATTATCGGGAACCTGTTTTTTCTTACGTTTCTCGTTTTTCTCCCCGTTTCACGAATAGAAATAACGAAAGTGTTTCTAATCGGTTTTTTACAATGCCTAAACGTAAAAACGCTACAAATTTTCATTAAAATTACAAAGAGTATCGACATTTCGACCAAAAACGGCCATTTTTATCAAAATGTCGATTCCCCTTTAGAAAAATTATCTTCTACTTTTAGCTAGCAAATACCAACCCTCAAATCCTCTACATTTCCCTCATCCGACTCGTTTTCGTAGGTATCCGGAATTTCCGTATGGTCCAAATCCTCCTCGTCATATTCCCGGTCGTCCATCGAAAACGCCTAAAAACAAACATAATTTCTGTCTCGATCGCCCCCAGTTCCGTAATCCGGGCTCGCTTTTTTGCAACCACAATCTCGAGCCCGATCTTTCCGCGCGCTAGCGGTTTTTGGTTCGAAAATACGGGCGGTGAGATCCCATAAGAAAAGAACACGAAAACCCAAAAAAACGAAAGGATATTTGGGGGTCGGAACCGCAACTCTAGTGGAATTTATTGACGCGATACGAGGCAAATAAAAATAGACATTTATTCATCACGGCACATAACAATTGGGTTTAGAAATGTGGTAATCGCGCGCGCGCAGTTGAACATCGTTTAAACGGAGGCGGGGATAAGCACATGGCGAAATATATAATTTCTTGGATGGGGGTTAAAGCGTTGGGGGTGTAGATGATGAGAAAACGGGGAGCATTAGGGGGAGATCTAGAATGGGAGAAAGTAAGGAACTGAAATAAAGATCAACAAATGGGGGAGCGGATTTAGACGACGAAAAAGTTAGTGCTTTCAGAATTCTTTGATTTTCGGTATTACGGTACCAGTATCATCGTTTTTACCTTCACGAACTACTAGGGAAACTGTACTTGTCTGTTAACAGGGGGATACTAGCCGATCCTTCAGCATCTTCAAGTATATTTCACCGTTTTTAATCGTTTTTAGCTACTAGAAATCATAAAAATATTTTTAAAAATGAAAAATTTCAATTTTTGGTAAAAAATCAAACATTTTACATTTATTAGCGACTTTTCATACTCAAAACGGCGTAAAAAGCTACAAGAAAACCGAGACACGTTATATTCATCGCTAGGAGGGCTGATATACCGAAAAAACATGAATTACAAAATTCTGAAAGCACCACCATCATCCACACATTCAACTCGATACATTTCCCTTGTTAGGTGGCATAGAACAACCATTTTTTGTGTATCTAATCGCTTCTACCGGAATTCAGGGAAATAGATAGATGGGGGGCTATGGTTAAATTCGGGGTCGGCGAAGGCTGCAGCTTGTTAGACTTCGGGCGAGTGATCCGGTGACGCACTGAAAAACAAAGTTGTACTTTACTGGAGTATCAGAATTTTTCCCGACGCGTAGTTACCTAGCATCCGTATCTATATAAGAATTTTAACAAATTTAATGGTATTTCAACCGGAAAAACTTTAGTATTTTCGCTGGGGTATCCGAATTTTTCCTACAGCTCAAGGATACGTACGTAGTAACGTAACATCCATATTTTAATTGCATTTTAATAAAATTTAACGGTATTTTAACAGGAAAATCGTCTCCAAAAGCAAAACAAGTTTACGAATTTGAAATTTTGGAAAAATGGAGGTACTGGACTATTAGCGATAGGAAAAATGGAGGACTGTGGAAGACAACTTTTCCCAGTAATCTCGTACGACATGATAGAGAAAAATCAACCATTTTTACAGCAATTTGCACAGTTTTCAGATCTTATAAAAAGCTCGTAAAAATTAGAAGCATCTTTGAAAATGTTTGACTGTGGTAAAAGTGTGTGAAAAATCATCGAAAATGATCAAAAGAATTTTTAAATATTTTCCCTAGCTTGCTAGCAAGCAAAAACTACTAAAACAATCTAAAATCCGTTATGTATTGAACTTCCAGAAAAACAAACACACGCCCCCCACCCGCTAACAGACCAGTACCGAAAAACCATATTTTTGCAAAACGTTGATTTTTGGATTTAGTGAGAGTAAAAAAAGACATAAAAATAAGGCGAATAGCTCCAAAAATCACAAGTTTTCTCAAAAATCATGGCTCAAAAAACCGACCCATCCTGCTGTTCGGCTGCATCAGTTTGGGCGACTTGTGAGAGGGCCGTGCACGCCAACATGTCCAACGGGTTCGGCGGGGTCGGCGGCTAAAACGGGGAATAATTGGGACCAAAGTACCGTACCTACCGCCTCCTTGGTGACAGTTGGCGGTGAGATGATCGGGGCATCGTCACAGTCCATATTTTCGGGTCCCCTAATTAGACATCATAATAGAAATCGATAAATTCAGGTACCTAATTTCAGCCGGGTGCTCGGGGGCGACAGGAGATATTCTAGGGCGGGTCGACGCGTCCGTCACCTCGGTCATGGCCATCGACGGATGGGCGGGGATTGGCCCCTCATCGCTGGTCGACGGGCCCTGCAAGGAGTTCAGTTTTTGGTAAAATGCCATATTTCAAAACTGTTTCCCCGAAAACTGTTTTTAATGAAATTTTCCTCGAAAATCGGGTTTTTTACCCAAAAAATCTGTCATTTTTTGTCGAAATCTTATCTAGATTTTTAAATTTTGTCAAAAATCTACCATATTCGATGCCAATCTAAATTTTCTATTTTGTGCTAAAAATTCGTAAATTTTTTAAGGTTTTTAATGACAAAGCACCAAAATTTACAAGTGTTTAGTTAGAATTTGTAAAACACAATATAACGAAAATGACGATAAGTCTCGAGTCTTAAATAAGCAATAAATGATTACCGGCTCCAGCAAAGGCGATGGTAGTCGTGGCACCGGCGCGGGCTGGGCGGCGGCGGCCATCAGCCGATGCGGCGGAATTGGCAGGGGGATCTGGACGAATTGCTGGCGTCCCGTTGACAAAGGGCGTGAGATCGGCATCGGCGAGTTATTCTAAAAACAAATAATGTGATAAGCATGAAGGACAAGAAGCCGGAAATCATAAAATTATGCTCACCTGCGGCATCGATAGGTGCACGTAGTTTGGCTGGGGTCTCGGCTGGCCGGGCAGCGGCTGTGATGATGGGCCTAGCATTTGCTGTTGTTGTTGCTGCTGAAGACGATCAGCGCCGTCGGGTTGGAAGGGGGGCGACGGGTGGGCTTCGCGCATCCCAGGCACCAACATTTCCTAAAAATGGATATTAAAAAAATCTAGAAAAACGACTTCATTAACCCTAAAGATTTTCGATGGCATTTTACTCCGTTTTTGACATAAAAACTATCTAAATAAAATTACAAAAAATTTAGAAAAATCCTAATTTTCGCACCAAGCATCCAAAACTGGTCAGAAAAATGTCAGCTCTATGAGGTGAGTAAACCCCAGAAATTAGTCAATAATAATAAGTAATTTAAAAATTTTTTATTAAAAATTAATTATATTTTAAGTCGAACAAGAATAACAAACTTAGAAAAAAAATAGACGAAATTCTTATCGAAAATTGGTCATTTTTGTCGAAAAATCCATATCCTTGTAATTTTTGCGTTTCGAAAAAGTCAAAATAGTTTAGAATTCGAAATTTTAACGAAAGCGTTACTTGGCTTGGCTGTGATGTTCCGGGTTGCTGACCGGGTGCCATTCCCGGCCGTCGTGGCTGCCCAACGACAACTCGAGTCCCGCCCCCCAATCGTGTTCATCGGCCGTTGCTGGCCAACCTAGGGAAAATTTAAAGGAAACGTCAAATTCTGTGTACAATGACACGTTGTGGTGGTGCATTTGGGTCTTGGGCGGCCAGATAGATTGGGCGACGTTGTTCCACCGGATATCGTTGCTGCTGCTGAAGTTGATTCGCCGAGAGTACACGGTATTGCTGGAAGCGAGGCTGAAAATGTGACAGTAATTTTCGGGATTCTGATAAAATTGGGCATTTCGCCTTAAAAAAATAAAAATTTTAAGATGTTGAAAGTCAATTCAGTTCATTTTTCGTAAAAAATAAACTTTCCTAATTTTATTTCCTTGCAATCAGGCTCATATGACAATTTCACGGCTATCACTTACGTTCAAAAAGCGCAAAAAATGACTTCCAAGTCAGTAAAAAAATTAACGCAGAGAAGATCCGGAAAAATATATTTATGAATTAATTTAGCAAAACGAACGTAAGCCTTTCAATTTGTAGATATTATGGCAAATTGAAAACGGCCTGACCCGGCCTATATCATCGGAAAAATCAAGATTTTGCTCGTTCTAGCTCCTTATGTTCGAGACTACAAAATTCCACAATCTGACAGGAAATCAAATAGTTTGAAAGTTTCGTGATTTTTACCTGTCCAGTCGGAGGACCGCCCGGCACAAACTGTCCTTCTGCCTGACCGGCCGGATGGTTGCGGTAGACGAGGGATTGGTGGGGTGGGCGTTGAATGACGGCACCCTGAAAAAATTATAGAGATAATTAAATCTATATATTTTTCAAGCGGCTAGTAAGTCTATACAAATATTTTCAAAATCTGACTCGTTTTTCGAATATCTTCTTGGGCTGTTTTTTGCGACGAAATGACTTTCTGGCACTCTTGGGAGAAACCGTGTCATTTTCTCGCGTCATAGTATCAATGCCCAAAAAGAATTTTTGCCTTCCGAAAACAGACCTTTGGCATCGGGCCCTGGTATTGGGGTTGTTGGACGGGACGCGGTGGATTTTGGCTGAGGGAGGGGAATTCGGAGGATCCGGGAGGAGGCGCCTGGCCAGGCTGACGGGGTGGGCCCGGCAGTCGAACAGCTTGACCGTCGAATGGTGGTTTTCTAAAAGTGATAATTTTACGTAATTCAATAAAAAAAAGCGAGGACCTGCTGCCTGGTGCCAAAAAGTATAACATTTTTTTGTCAAGCTCAAAAAGTATCATTAAAGTTTTGGAAAAATGTACAAATAGAAAGTAACGAACCCGGGCTGTGGCCGCTGTTGTGGTGCGTAGGGTGCGGCGTAACGTGGCGGGATCTCGTTGTCGCCGGGCATCACCTCGAACGCGTACGGCTGAAAAAAACGGGCTCTCCGGTTTGCGTAGCCGAACGTACCTCGGGATGATGCTGCTGCGGTCTCTGCTCGCCCGGTTGCCCACCATTGCTGCTGCCCTGCTGCATTTCGGTGTAGGTGCGCTGAAAAAAAAAAGAATATTTGTTAAGCTTTTACTGGAGCCTTGGCATTAACGGTGGGGGCAACATTTCCTCAGCATCAATTCTGCTAATATAAATAGTGGAATATCATCTAAACAATGTTTGACTACTCCAAAACGTAAAAAAAGGTTATAAATTTTTCAAACTTGTGAAATGATCGATTTTTCGAACGGAAATGCCAAGTTCTCGAATTTTTAGATAGTTCTCCGTTAAAAAAACAGAGTAAAAATTTGCTAACAACACAGAAAAAAGTGAGGACAACACGAGAAAGGGAAAATTCAGCCCCCCCCCAATAATGCACAAGGCCCGTTTGCAAACCCCCACCTTTTGTGGCAATTGTTTCGGCTGCGGCTTGGCCCTGGGCTGCTTGGTGTTAAAGTTATCGGGATGAAACGGGCGCGTCCGCGCACAGTATTGGGGGTCCTGGTCCTAAAGATTTAGCTTTTGAAAAAAAGCTTGGCAAAGTTACCGTTCGCTTCTTCTTGGGGCTGGGCCGCTTCTGGACGAGCGGCCGGAATTGGTCCTGAAAACAGTGTAAAGGAGTGGCACAAAAATGGCATACCCCAGCTTGGAAGGCGGCCGGGCTGGGCGTGGAATTGGAGTCCTCGTCGGTGGCGGCAAAGTGCTGAAAATGGAAGAATAAAAAAAAATAACAAAGTAAGACAAAATCGACATGTGATGACCAAATTCTAACCCTATCAACTATAATAATTTTGCTGTGGTCTCCGTCCGTCCGTCTGTCCGTCTGAAGCCGAATTCAACTCGAAGGGGAAAGGAGCTAGAGCTTAGCTCTCTTCGGATTCGGATAGAGCGTGGTCAGAAACCCCCAAACTGATAAAAAAACTACGAAAAAGTTTTAGTTTAAATTATTAAAATTAACTTTGAAAGTCTTTTCCTTAGTAAAAGGGGTGGGGGAAGGGGGTTGGGGTGATTTTGGACATAGTGAGCCAGGTCGCGCGCGTTTCGTGGATGAAAATTTTCACGGGGGATTTCATTTCTTTTTTTCTCGCATTCCATCCGGTCGGTCGTTATTTTTGTTTTTTAAGGGGATTTCGGCTAGGGCAGGTATATTAAACCATCGGGAAAGTATTTAGGTAGTTTTTGAAGGGGATTTCAGCCATGGGGGGGTATCTGACGCCATCAGGAAGGTATTTAGGTAGTTTTTGAAGGGGATTTCAGCCATGGGGGGGTATCTGACGCCATCAGGAAGGTATTTAGGTAGTTTTTGAAGGGGTTTTCATCCATGGGGGGTATCTGAAGCCATCAGGAAGGTATTTAGGTAGTTTTTGAAGGGGATTTCAGCCATGGGGGTATCTGACGCCATCAGGAAGGTATTTAGGTAGTTTTTGAAGGGGATTTCAGCCATGGGGGGTATCTAAAGCCATCAGGAAGATATTTAGGTAGTTTTTGAACGGGATTTCGGCTATCGGGGGTATTGATGGAGGTGGGAAAGGATGTGGTGGAGTGGGACATGTAGGGTAGCCCGAAGGCCAGATGGTTGCAGTCGCGAAGCGACTGTAACCATCTGGTTAAAAAATTCCTACGCACCCATTTCTAATAAGCTTTAGACAAGCATAAAAAATTACAAAAGTTAAAATTAACTTTTTTGTCGACAACTTATAAAAATTCACCAGGAATGCGCAACAAATAACCTATATTTTTAAATTTAGCCCTAGAAAAACTACTAGAATGCTATAAAAAACCTACATTACACTTTTAAAGGTAAAAAGGTACGAAATGGCCATCAGAAAAGACTAAAAATACGATGAAAATACGCTAAATTTAATTCCTAGGAAGGTACCGGCATAATACAGCGAAATTTGAGTGTCAACTTAAATTTACTTGAATTTAATAAAAATTAACTATCTTAAATTATTCAATTAAAAACAAAAACGCACCGTCGGGATCTGAATATGCGGCCGAGGCGGCTGCTGCTGCTGAGATTTATATGGTAACGGCTTGGCGATGAGTGAGGGCATTGGCGACGGCCGTGGCAACATCTTCTTCAGGTACGAATTCTCGCCCGACGGCCCGGGCATTTGCTGTAGACCAGGGACCGCGATCGACAGCGGCTGGTGGTAGCTCAGCTTCGGGAATTCACGCTTCGGCACCACTTTTTCGCCTGAAAAAAATGGTATAAGGATCATCGGCAGTATCGGGGGGGGGGGGGGGATCCCGTCGCCAAAAACTTTACAAATCTCTATTTTGAAAAAGCATACAATTTTCGAATTATCCTCGGTTTTCGAGAAAAAGATCAATTTTCAAGCAAATTTCTTCTGATTTATCGTATTTTCTAATTTTCGATACAAATCAAATTGAATTTAGCACTTTTTTGTAATTTTTCAAACTTCATCACCCGTAATACATCCAAATTTGATCAAAACAACTATGAAGAAACATGAAACATGACGTTTTTAGGCCTATAGGAAAAATTCTATCCTCACCCCGGTAATGCAAAAACACCGGCCAACACTCACTTCGATGCCGATTGCAGAGGCCGTCGGCGAAATCGATGGCCGGCTCGCGGCACAGCTTGCACAGCGCGAAGATCTTTTGGCGCGCGTCGAAGCGGACATCTAAAAAAAGTTTAGGGTGAATAATTATTTCCAGTTTTTGCTTGGCAAAAAAGGTATAAAAATCACAAATTTCAGATTTCCTAAACATAATGGGTTTTAACAATAAAACATTGCAGCTATCCAATTTTTATCATCCCTTATTTTTATCTACAAAAACATTCCTGCCGTTCTGATCTATAAAAACGTCTGTTTTCGTCCTCCACGCCCGCTTACATTCAAACACAAATATTCCTTACGTTGCATACAAAACGGGCTTCCCGGCAGCGCAGCACCCCGGCATCCCTCCGACAAACTAAACAGAAATGATCAAGCCACCAATTTTTGCCAACTTGAAATCGATGCGCTGGGAGACAGTGTTGAGCAACGAGACGACAACGCTACGGACGTCCTCCTCGCTAGTGCGCGGGATTGTGTGAGTTTTGCTGGAAATTAACCAAAATTGAAAACAACTAGAAAATCGAACCTTTCAAAGCGGTAATTTCCGTAGAGGCAGAGACGCCGTGGCTTTAGAAGCTCCTTTCTTGCCTTGGTCAACCGCACGGGGCGTCGGTCAGTCTGAAAACGGGAATATATGGTGTTTTTTGGTGCTGATTCGTTGTCAGGGGGAATCTTAACGGGGGGACCAAATAAATCTCCTATTCTGAGTACAAAAGATAAATTTTGCATTGACTTAATAGTTTATTTTAGTGGGTTTATTTCAGTGGGACTTAAGTTTAAAAAATCCAATTTTTGCTGATTATTGCAAATTTTGCTAGCGTTTATAATTAGGTAAAACAGCTAGAATTATCATACAAGCTCGTATTTGGTTAGCTTATCGCTAAGGGACCGTAAAAATGACGATCCAGAACAGTTTTTTAATTTTCAAGACCTAAGACAGCGAAATCAAGCTGACCTCGACGACGTGCTCGACGGCAATGAGCAGCTCCTTGGAGCGCGAGTCGATGGGCAACTTGACGAAATCGCCGTGGGCCATCCGGTTCCGCCTGGCCTTCATGATGTCGTTGAGGTGGCGGCGCTGCTTTTCGACGGTCACTTTTCTAAAGGAAAAGATTTATCGATTTTTATTTAGAAAAAAATCCGATTCTGGACTGTTTACGGAGGCGGAAAGAAGCAGTTTTTGATTGTGGTCTACCGCCCTCAAAAAGTAATAAAAATCTGCAGTAGTTGACCACTTTTGTTTAATTTTCACATAAATTTTTCAGAAAACGTTATTTTTTTAGTGACAACATTTAACCGTAACAGGAAAATTACACTGAAAAACGTACTTTAACAGTTGTGCAGATTCGATGGCCGCCTCCACTTCAGACAGTTGCATTCGGATCAAGTCGGACTCGGTGTAAGCGCCAGCACTTCTAAAAAAAACAGAGCTTTCGCCAATAAAAACAAAATACTTGAGCGGATGGTTGGCCGGAAGTGAGGATATAATGTTGCGTGCCGAGCGATCGAGCGAGACCGACACCGTCGAGGCCAAAGCCGGGTCTTCTTCGCTAAAAAAAGAAGATTAAATCAGTTTCATAGAGGGATCAGAACCCGGAAAAAACGATACAAAGAAAAAGTTACCTGACGACATTGCCATATCGATTGAAGGGCTTATAGGTCAGACGTTCGGATGGGTCATTCTCATAGCGGAGCAGCTCCTCTTGATAATTCTTGCCTATGAACTGCGACTGGAGCTTGTGCTGGAAAAGAGGAATTAGTAAACGATCCGTCCTGCCGAGCCAATCACCTAAAAAAGGCGCTGGTCCCTTAGCGGGGGAGTAACTTTCATAAGCACGCCTTTTTGAATTTGGATCAATTTAGGCGATTTTTCTCACCTGATTTTTACAAAAATCACGTTTTTGTCAAAAATTCTAGTAGTTTTTTGAATAGTAAAAATGCTTTCACTTTGCAGTGGTCGACAACAGCCAAGAAAAACTGATTGAAATACTTCGTTTCGTCCCCCCCCGTCCGCTAACGAACCAGCACCAAAACGCCCAAACATCCAGCCCACCTCCTCGCAGATGCCCTTGTTCTTGGCCAAAATCTCGCGTGGCGTGACGTTGTTGCACTTGAGCAGCGTGCGCTGGCTCACATAGCTGCATTCGGCGTACAGGGTCTTGTCGTACTCTTCTGAAAAGGTTATAATTCGTAAAGAAATTAAAGAAAATAAATTTTAGCAACTTGGAAAGCCTGATTCAGGCTTGTCTAGCCTGTTTTAAAATAGTTTTCTGCAAAACGGGCACTAAGGCCAAAAACAATAGACGAAATATCGATTTTAGGATATCGGAAAGCGTCTAAAAACTAAACACAAGCGTCAGTAGCGTTCCCAGCTGGTTAGACACAAGAAATACATAGTTTTTGGGCTCTTAAAACCAAAAATTAAAGAAATATCGATTCTTAGGGCATCAAACAGCGTCTAGAAACCGGAATCCAAATTCTAGTAACGTTATTACCATGTGATAAACAAGATCTACATAGTTTTCGATGTTTTAAACGACTTCCAGCCATAAAAACAACCACAACGCGCTCAAAAACTCACTTTTCCGAAAGCAGGCGAGCGTTCCGGGGACCCTTTCGAACGAGGGATCCGCATGGAGCATCCCTGAAACGTTTCATACAAGTTTTAATAAGTTTTTTAGCAAAAGAAACAATTTTCACGTGATGTAACGTCAAAAATTCGGAACTCGCGCGATTCCGCGGGGATACAAAGAACGAGCATTTGGGGGGAGGGTGATGGCGGGATCGACGAGGGTGGGCCCCAAGGGCGCAGCATAGCCAACCCGCACGGTTGTATGCTAAACTTTCAAACGTCGAGGGAAATGGCTTTCAAACATAAAAAAGTCATAAAAAATAACATATAATATCGTTAAATGGTATATAAAGTATATTTGTTTTAAAGCTTTACAATTCCCTTCGCGATTATCGATAACATAAGTTTAACAAGCCAATTTTTCTTTTGCGGTTTGTTAAAGGTGTGCACAAAAATGTCATGTCATTTATTTAGATTTAGATATTGATTTATCAAAGAAACATATATTTATTAATTACATCTACAAATACCAAAATATATCTTTTAAGCCTTGAAATTTTCGAGAACTTGAAAACGGGTTTTGCGCATTATCGGGGGTTATCCAGAAATGTCAGAAACATGTTTTAAAAGCGTTTTACTAAAAGTTAACGAACTTTCTAATGGAAAACTATCTAAAAGTTTACAACCTTTTAGCTTCGGTCGAATCGGCTATTTTTGCTCGAAAAATCGATATTTTTTGACCCACCCCGATAATGCAAAAGCACCGAAAAACGGACTAGCGAAGTCAAATTCTTCCGGATCTCTTCTCGCGAGTGGCAATAATATAAAAGCCGCCGATCCTCTTACCGTTTTTAGAATTGTGACATTTATCTCCCAAGGAAACACATAAGATTATTATCTCTTACAAAAAGCATAAATTTCAGCCCTGTGAGCCTTAAAAATTATGCGGAAACGCGAGACAAATCACATTGCCGATTCGCATCTGGCAGAATTGATGGGTGTTGATGTGGTAGGAAAAGTCTTCCGACGAACAAATCACGTCGTACTGTTTGTCCAAAAGTTTTAGGTTTTCGGCCACGCGATCTTTGGACTTTTTGCGCGATGTGCCGTCGATATTCTGAAAGGAGTAATACTGAAAAAAAAATAGATGATATCATTCCTTATTTTTCGAAGACTTTAGGTATTGATGTTTTAATTTTTGAATTTGAGCAAACCAAGCCAATGTTCAGAGGTACTGTGCTGTTAGCGGGGGGGGGGGGGCTATTGGGCCTGTAACGAGCGAAAAGCTGTGGCGTTTTATGGCCTTTTTGTAGTCTTTTTTGCATTTGTGAGGACTTTAAAAACTTCAAAATTGTCAAAATATACTTTTGAAAATTGAAGTTTATGGCTATTTTCGCACCTAAAAAGTTTTACCCCTCCCCGCTAACATTATAATAGCAAAAGTAGATCTTTCAGCAATTTTTCCGTCAATTACCTTCTTCAAAACCGCCGCCAAGTCCTCGTCGGTGCAGTGGGTGTTCAGTTTGACGTCCCTTTTCTGTTGGTAGCCGGTTATTTGCTGAATTTTAGGGCTTGTTTGAAGCTTTTTAGCTCGAATTAAGTTATAAGTATAGTTTTTCTAGCTATTAGAGTAAGTTAATAGTAGAATAGTCATTTTAAATAAGTTTTAAATGTTTAGAAGTAGTTGACTTAAATTTATTTTTTTAACCTCAGGTTTTGGGGGCAACTCGGCGTCGGAATCGGCGCCGTCTTCGAAGAAATTTTTGATGTCCATGGCTGAAAAAGAGGGTTTTGTAGAGCTTTGCTATTAAAAAAATTAAATTAAAATGAATTAGATACGTAATTTTACTATATACGTTTTCAAGCACTTAAAAACCTACGATCTTCATCATGATCCTCTCGGGCCACGGCATCCGAATATCCAGCAGCCGCGGGTTGTTGTACTTCTCCTGCCAGGCATTTTGGCGGGGCTGGGCACTGGCAGACTCCTATAAATTTATTTTTTTAGTTTTTTTCTGGTTCTGACATCTGTTAGCGGGGGGGTCAAAAAATGGAGACATTCAGATCATCTAAAAATTTTCAAAAACATTAAATTTTTGTTTCGGAAGGATGAATTAAAAAACAATGTTTCGGGATCCAGAATCTACCCCGGAAATTTTTGAAAAGCAATGTCTCTTTGAGCGCTGTGAGCCAAAATCTTGTTTAGGCTCTGGAATTCAGTCGGAAAACAAGGATGCGTCCGGAATGGACGTAAAATTCCGGATCCGGGTGGAAACCGAAAATTGGATAGGAAGCGGATTACGCCAACAAATTAATTTTTAGACAAACAAAAAAAATGCTTCTTCGAAGAAAGACTATACTAACGATTTTCAAAAATTAATGCAGTATTGGCTAGCCTGTTAAATTTCACCGCCTGATTTTAAAAAATTGAAGACTTGAATGCACCAATGGCGGAATGGCCCGGAAATCTGGGCTGGCATCTGGCTGTTGACTTTCGCGTTCTCTGCTCGAGGGCTCTACGGAAATGTGCGGTGAGATGGAGGGCGGCTGAAAAACGTATAAATCGGAGGAAATACGAGGACAGGCAGGCTAGCAGAGATTTTTGGTGGAACCGGCGGGTCTCAAATGGTCTCTGCTAGCCTACCAGCTTGGTAGGCATCGCTTTTTTTAAAATTCTGCACAAACTCTCCACCTAGTCGCCATGAGCAGGCAAACGAGCAGAGATCCTTGTGGAATTTTGCGCTAAAATTTTTGGAATTTTGACTCAGGATGGCAGGCTAGCCGAGATTCTTGGGGAAACTGAGGTATAGCGTGAAATAGCGGGTCATATAAACCTGTCCAAAAATTTAGGCCAGGTATCTAGCAGAGATTCTTGGGGAATGCTTGTGATACCGCAAAATGAAAATTGAATTTTTGCGGATTCCGAAACGCTGTCTGCTAGCCTGCCGGCTTGGTAGGTATCGGTTTTTCAAACTTCTTAGCTCCTTAGAACGGATCCAAATTACAGGGAAGCTAACAGAGATTTTTGTGGATTTGTGCCCCAAATTTTTTCGAAATTTTGGTGCGGGCAGGCAGGCTAGCAGAGATTCTTGGGGACTACGGTATTGCAACGCGAAACTGGCAATTCTTGTGTAACTCTCAAATCGTCTTTGCTAGTTGCCCGCCCCTGGCATAGACGATAGACCTGATTTACACCCACTTGAGAAGGTATTTCCGGTGGCCGTCGATAGTAGTCGGTCGGAGGCGGGGGTGGCGGGTAGGGATTTGGGGCGGGTTGCTGATTTATTAAAGTTTATTACATAAAACACCTAAATTACAAAAACTAATATATAAACCTCCCCAAATAGAAATCACGCGAAAATTTCGCACATTGCATAAAACAAAACATTTTTGTTAATACCTACCGGTGGCGGTGGCTGGTAGGAAGGATAGGGTGCCTAAAAACACGATAAAAATTCTATAATTTGTAGTTTAAATGATTTAAATTGGTAATGGATTGTTAGCGGGTGGGGGGTGGGGTGAAAAGCTATCTACCAAAACTATCTAGATTTTTTTTGTAAAGCTTTATCGTGCATTTTTACGTGTTTTTAATAATTTTTGAGTTCTAAAAGGCCATAAAAACCTTTCGAAAATGCTAGATTAATCAAATTTACCCCCCCCTCCCCGCTATCAGCACAGTACCACCAAATTACCTGTTGACTATTGGCGGATTGGGCATAGTTCTGACCACCCTGACAATTCCCATAATTCCCAAAGCAAAAGCTGTAGATCCCCTGATAAAATATAGAAAAGCAGAAAAATAAGGTGCTCAATATCATGGCGTAACCGGTTACTCCCTAATATTTAGTTAGGGGTGAGGTGTCTAGAGGCGCATAGCGTAGTGATTCTTTCTTGAGGATGGGATGCCCTTGGGGGGGGGATGAAAAGAACGACCCCCACGTCCTGTAGATGAGCACTTTTCAGGATGGGCGATGCGATGGCTGTTTAGATAAGTGCTTCTTGGGGGATAGGAGTGAAATGGAAAGTGACGGCGGTACTTATCGCATAACGGAGGGTTATTCAAGGGTTTTTTGGCTTAAAAAAAGCTGAAAACGCACGTTCGGGAATTTTGAGATGACGATGCGGATTCTTTAAAACTGATAACTTAGGAATTTTAAAATACACGACCTGGTATCGCTAACTTTCCAGCCCCTTATTACGATCTTCGCGGCATATTTTTCAGAAACAAAAAGCGCCAATATATCCAGAAAAATTTTGCCTTTGAATGAACCCACTAATTCCTTCTGACACCTGACAAATTGCCCAAAAACTTCTAACTCCGATTTTCTAAAACTCGCAACCGCAAAAAAAACGCTGAACTTTCACCACTGCCGTTCCATCGGAAAATTCCCGTTCAGATAACCTAATTAAATGTACTTGCACAGAGAAAACGGGAGTTATGATGATAACACATTGTTTTCTAGAAATCCAGAATTCTAATACCTAAAAAAAAAGACCTAATAAAGCCTGCATTCGTTGGGAATGCTGAATCCCAGACAAAGATCTTTCAGGAATGTTGACTATGTGCTGGTGGATGCCATTTCGGAAACAAAAAGTGCAACTTATAGCAGAAATTCATTCGAAAATAGAGGGTAAACCAGCCGAGTCAATCATGAAAATGTTGCCCGGTGGTCGGTTTATTGATGCAAAAGGCGATAGTGACAAAAATGTAGCAAAACACGATTTTCAGGCCAGCTAGCAGCGTTTATTTTGGAGCAGGCCGAAACACCGGGTAGGCTGGCACAGATCGCTATTGGAAGTGAAAAAGGAAAAAAATGAGACGGGTTGAGGGAACGCCGCCAGATACTCTGGGAGGCATAGAAAGGCACGATAGTATGTGGAAAAGATCAGGCGAAAAAACAGCGGGCAAGCTAACAGAGATGCAGGCGGAATATCGCTTAGAATTTAAAAAGCGAAACCCCAAGAAAAAAAATATGTTCGACGGTGGTACGAATTGCTCCACCCTCCGTCACCTGTTGTGACCGGAACTGGAGTCTTATCTGGTGCCCCTAGCACTGTATCCGAAACCAGCCGTTACGGTTTTGCGCAATCGTGGCAGGACCCTGGTCGGTGTCGACCTGTTCGCCGCGCCGCTCGTTTTGGCACACTTCCGATTTTTCGTGCATTTTCTGTTTTCCCCATCTATTGCTAGGCTTTTTTTTATTCTTTTTCCCCCTTTTTTTGGGGGTGTTGGAAGTTATCAAATCTGCCGCGCAGTTTTTGGAACAAAACAGATGTTAGCGCAGTGCGTATTTTATATTTAGGCGAATCTTTCACAGGCTTAGATTTTTTCCCAGGATTTTGCCGCTTCTAGCTGATACTTCGCTTGCTGCTTGCCATGGGGGATTATCTTTGTCTCACTATTCCCGCTGATCTTTATCAGGGCTACTCGAATCATTATGACTTGTCTCTTGCTCTCCATACTTTCCATGTTGAGCGTATCCCTTCCATAACTCACTTCTTTAGAACTGAAATGTCTTCAAATTCTGTGCCATCAACTCATGGCGGCGGTACGTCGTCTGGCGGGCGCCACAGGAAGGAGGAGGTCGTCCACAACATGAAGACCATTCAACCGAATCTGATCGACCATGTCATGAGCGAGCGCAACAAGACTGGAAGCGCCGGGGCCGTCGTCAACGCAATGGCCAACTACGTCCGCGTGAAGAGCCATGTCGACTTGCCCATCTACCAATTCCATGTCGCCTTCGACCCGCCAGTCGACAACAAGAGCTGGCGCGAAGAAATTCTACGCGGCTGTGGCATTTTCGATCGCGTCCTTTTCGATGGTGCTATGATGTACTCGCCGGAGCGCATCGAGGACGGCTCGGTGTACCGTGCATCACATCCCGGCGACAACGGCGTCACCGTCCAAGTTACCGTCAAGGTCACTGCCACGTTTGAGCGCAACGATCCGCAGGCCTTGCACGTCTTCGATCTGCTCATCCGCAGGTAATTTTTTTCGCATTCCATAATTTGCTTTTTCAGGGCTATGAGGCAAACGAACCTGGTGTGTGTCGCTCGTCACTACTTCGACCCAAAGGGCAACTTCAGCGTCGAAAACTACCCGCTTGAATGCTGGCCGGGCTATCACACCGCTACGCGCCTTCACGATGACGGAATGATGGTTTGCATCGAGAACAAGTGGAAAGTGCTTCGGTCGGACACGATCCTCAACCAGGTTTGATTTGCTTTTTTTGTGTGCAAATCGCTGTGTTTAGTTCATCAAGATCCTGCGCCGTACCGGGAGCACTACCGAAGCTTTCTGGGCGGAGTCGGAGAGACTCGTGAAGGACCAAACGGTGCTGACGATCTACAACAACCGAATGTATCGTCTGACGGGAATCGACAGGGAACGGACCGCCCGCTCCGAGTTCACAATGGCAAATGGCTCGACTGTCTCGTTTGGAGAGTACTTCACGAAGCAGTATGGCATTGACGAAGTCGACATGGAGCAGCCCTTGCTGGTAAATTTTTTTGTATGCAACCGCAATTATTATTTAGTATTCCGAAGGAAAGCCGAAGCAGCCTGGCGAGCCGCCACAGAGGACTTACCTGCTGCCGCAGCTCTGCCATCTGACTGGCATCACCGACGAGATGCGCAACGACATGCTCTGCATGCGCGCCATGTCCAAGGTCACCCGCTTGACGCCGGACGCACGCCTCGACATGACCCGCAAGTGGCTCCGGAAGGTTCGCGAGATGCCGGATTTGCAAGAATTCTTCCGCCATTGGGGCTTCGAGCTGGACGAGGAGTTCATCCACTTTCCCGCACGTCGTCTTGATGAAGAACTGGTACGTTTATACAATTTTCGCTTTCTTATTGCTGTTTAGTGCTTCGGTCGCCGTCCTGGGGGATACAAAGGTGAAAAGGCAGAATGGGCGCGCCAAGTCAAGTCCAATGGTAACTACAGAAGTGCCGCTGTCAACCATTGGATGGTGGTCGCACCGAACACCCAGCAAGCCATCACTGCGGCCCAAAAGTTCATCGGTGCGACTTGAACCATTAGAAAACTTTTTCATTTTAGCCGAGTGCAAGTCCATTGGCCGTCAAATTAACATGGACCTTCCTGAGCCACATTGTTTCCCCGTTGGAGGCAGTGGAGAGGCAAACGACTACCTTGACGTTATCCGCGAGAAGCTTGCCGAAGCTGCGAACCATGGCATCAAGTTGGACATGCTCGTCGTGATCCTGAAGGACGACAACAAGACACGCTACGACACTGTCAAGAAGGTCGTCTGTGTGGATTTGCCTGGTAAGCTTCTTCCTTGTTCGCCCATTTTCTCTAGTTCCGAGTCAATGCGTCCGTGTGCAGACGTTGATCGGCCGTCCATCTGATGGGGGCGTTAACAAGCAGCTCGGCTCCATTTGTCTGAAGATTCTTCTTCAAATGAATTGCAAGATGGGTGGAGCGCCTTGGATCGTGAAAATGCCGGTAATTACTTTTATAATGTATTAACTTTCATTGCTTATAGCCGAAGCGCGTCATGTTCATCGGATACGACCTCTACGCGGACTCTACCACTCGTGGCAAGTGCGCGGGATCGTGCGTTTCTTCCTTCGACCAAGACATCACCGCCTGGTATTCGCAATGCAAGGCCCACGAGAATCCACAAGAACTGGGAACTAACCTCGGGAATTTCGTCAGAAGTAAGCTTCTATAGTCTAATTAACTCCTTGGTTTTAGAAGCTCTCAAGAAATACATTGATAATAACAACAACCAACTCCCGGAAAAGTTCTTCTTGTACCGTGACGGTGTTGGTGATGGACAAATCCCAAATGTGCGCAAGCAGGAGGTATGATCAATTTTTTTTTGTTCAATGACTCTTCTAGGTCCCACTTGTCCGACAAGCTGCCGAAGAGGTGGCTCAGACAATGGCTCAGACTGTTCCACAGTTCGCCTTCATCTTGGTCACGAAGAAAACCAACACACGCGTCTTCACTGCCTCGGGCAACTCTGCTGCAAACCCACTGCCGGGAACTGTGGTCGACAACTACATCACACGTCCTGAAAGGTTAGCTATTTTGTGTTTTATTTAACCAAAATCGATTAGGTACGACTTCTACATGGTGCCACAAGCGGTGAACCAAGGCACGGTGGCTCCGGTCCACTATTCCATCATCCACGACGACACTGGCTACGATGCGGACCGCCACCATAAGGTAGGAGAGATCTGTTGCTTTTTACATCAGTTTTAGTTGGCCTTTAAATTGTGCCATCTCTACTACAACTGGCAAGGCACGGTCCGCGTCCCAGCTCCATGTCAATACGCCCACAAGCTCGCCTTCCTCTTCGCACAGACGCTCCATCGAGAAGCCAACGAGCAGCTCCGCGACAAACTGTTTTATCTCTAGGCTTATTCATCGTGTACTAATTTTTTGTAATAAAATTTTGTTGTCAAGTACTTTGCTGGAGGGGAAAGGACATCATATGGAGTGGGCGTTTGTGCAATCGATTGGTTTCATACTACAGCAATTTGATCGCGTGGCAGATTCTGAAGGTTATGTCTCTTGTTAGCCGGTTTTGCGTGGTCGTTCGATAGAGTCGTTGTTCTCTGTGTTGCAGTGGGTGAACAGTTTCATGCCAGCTTTTCGTTGATTTGCGCCGAAAGGTGCACTATTTTGCCCTTTCTCCGTCGGTATTGTTCGCTACGAACATTGCAGGCTTACGCCATCTTCTGAGCGTAAAGCGTAAACTAGCGCGTAGACTGTAAAGTAAAGCGCGCCCAGACTTGTCATATATTCATATTCACTTTTCACATATTCATATTCACTAGTCACTTTTTATATTCACTATTCACTTTTCTGACATGCTTGGATTATTTGTATCAACAGATTGGGGCCGTGGCTAGCAGCGATTATTGAGGAAAAGCAAGTCATCATCCTGCTGTCGAATATTAATGAAAAGGCCTGAACTTTGAATATGGTGAGTTGGTGATATGAAATGTAACCTTATTATGCAGGTTTCGGTAAAATAATAAAAAGCTTTATTAAAACACACACGCCAAGATGCTTTGAACTCGTATCAAGGAGGGGCTTGGTGAATAAAAATCGGTCGAAAATCATCATTTTTTAATGTCGTCCATCATTTGATCGTCCAGCCAAATATCCGGGTCCCTGCAACGGAAAATTGAACATAAACGCATAAATACAACCAAAAACGGTTCAGCGACGCCGAAACCTCACAATATTCCATGAGGCTAAAAGTAAACCCAATGCGGGGCTCGAACCCGCGACAACCAGATTAAGAGTGTGCAGCGAGCGAAAAAGCGTTGAATCTCAATTTTCGGGCATGCTAGCGGTGATTATTTAGGAGTCAGCCGGCAAAAAATTCATTTTGGACGATGGGGAGCTGGCCGAGATCGTTTAGGATCTTCAGGGAAGCATGATTTTTCAGGAAATGTCAAAACCCACAGGCCAACTAGCAAATATTCGTTGGGAATGCGAGGGCAACCTAGCTAAAAAATTTGAGACACAAAAAGTCCTCCTAGCAGAGATTCGTCCGGAATTAAGTGGGCAAGCTAGCAGAAACAATTCGAAAAACAGCGTGCCTGGTGGTCAGCATATAAATAGCAAAAGTGATGGTGACGAAAATGTAGACGAACATTATCATTCGATCGATAATGCGCGTCACTTGTTGCCACTCGAATTGGATTCGTTTCGAGTCACGGTCTGCAATTATATTATTATAAACTTTAAGTGAACCAACTCAACAAGGCCTAAGAAGTTTTTGAATTGATCAAAATTAAGTTTTGGAACGAGTGGAAAATTTAGACAAAACTTTACTTTATTAAGGTTTTTGGGAAAGTTAGTAAAAGAATAAAATTTTTTTTGATTAAGATTTAAATCAAAATTTTTAAGCATATTTTGGATATTTTCGGATTTTCGCCTTTTCAACCTTTTAATCCAAAAAACCCCTGCCGGCTAGTCAATTACCGTGTTGCGAGATATCGCGTATATCCTCCACTACCAGCCGCAATCTCTCCGTCATCAAATGGGCGCATTGTGCCGTGTTGCACGACATTATCTGAAATATATTTTTTAAGCATAAGATTCAATGAAAATGGGGGTAAGCTAAGCCGAAGCCTAAGCTAAGCCGATACTCCGCTAATGTAGGCCCAAAGAAAAACCGAAGAAAAGGGACTGGAAATATGCGAAAAAATTTTGCCCCTCCTAGCTTGAATAGTACCGTTCATTTTGTTATATTAACTAATTTGATTACAATATTTTCGCAAGAAAAAGAATCAAAAAAAAGAAGATTTTTTTAAAATAAAACTAAAACGAAGGATTTAAAAACATAACGATAAACTCGATCAAAACAAACAATTCAAATTCTTCTGAATTAAATAGAACAATTGATACTGTAAAATGCGATACCATTTTCCTGGGTTTCTTTTTGACCTCCTCCATCGGCACGCCATTTTCTCCGTTTTGCGTGGCGAATCCTCGATAGTAGCCATTCAGGCAATTACGCAGATTTTCGAAGATAAATGTCTGCTCCTGAAATTTATGGTTTAAAGGGACCGGAAAGCCAGAGAAATCTCAATTCATTACGCTAGATAAATGATTAATGTTTGTTGAAATGTCTATAATACAAAAATTTCCAAATTTCAATCGATTAAGCTGGTAAAACGGCATTTGAATAGACTTGGGTGGCTCCTGCGTTTTGCCAGTGAAAAAATGTTGCAGAAGAAATGTGCAAAAAATCTGGGGCCAACAAATTAATCGTCCGGCCGTTGGTTCTGTTACCAGTTTTCTTTTTTTAAACAATTTAAGATGTACTTTTTATTAGCTTTTAAAAGCAAAAAAGAAATTAAATACAAAATTAAAAATTAATAAAGGGATTGATTACCTTCTCCGGACGAGTGACATATTTCTTGGGCAGCTGAAATGAGAAGGCCCACGATATGTATTTGTTGCCGGCGATCCGGATGAAGAAAAATGAACGCACGTTTGTTGGCAGCTAAAAAAAACTAATCAAAACCCTTCGCAAATGGTCTCTGCTAGCTTGCCCTTAGTTGTCCAAAGAATTTCTGCTAGCCTGCCCGTTGAAGATCTACACATTCCCATGGAATCTTTGCCAGCCTGCCCTTTCCCTAAGGACATTTGCTAGCTCGCCTCTTCTCTCCTGTCCTAAAGAATCTCTGCTAGCCTGCCTCTTCCTTGAACTTTGACAAAGATTTGATCTGGAGGGTTTTTAGCCAGATGAAATTTCCCAACGAAAGCCTGCTTGCATCTCAGACGCCTTTATCAAAGGCTCTCTGCTAGCTGCTTAATACCTGCTATTCCTCAAGAATGTCTGCTAGTCGCCCTCTCTCTCTCTCTCTCTCTCTCTCTCTCTCTCTCTCTCTTCCCATCCCCCAAGAATCTCTGCTCGTTTGCCCACCTCTTCCCCCGAATTCCCCCTCATCTGAAAAGACAGCGTGAGTGTTGTAGTAAATGCCGCAACGAAGATCAGAAAAATTAGGCCGATGTAGTATTTCCCTAAAATTGTAGTTTTTTTATACACTTCGTTACGCGACTGACCTATTAACGGGATGACTTCTGACGTTGCCGGCACTTCATCCGACACCATCATCACTGAAAGTTATCTCTTTAAGGGGCTCTGTAAGCCAAAATCGACAGAAATAATCAAGTCGATTTTCCCAAAATAAAATGTTTCATAGAAATTGGCTGTTGAAACGGGCAATAAAAGATTATTACGTCATTGTAAAACCTCGGGAAGCGCATCCGGGAAACTTACTACAGTAATACCGTACCTATAAAATTTTATAGCTAAAAATGTACGGCAACTTGGAGGTTACTGTAATTTCGAGCTTACGATAAATTCCGAATCCCCGTATTTTCTAAACCCTGGCGTTTGAAAAAGTTTGGAACGTACTGACAGGCCCAAATTTCTAGGCGTACAGTAGCTTGAACCATATATATTTATCAGGGTACGATAGCTGACTACTATACTTTACAAAATTTTTAAAGGTTTTTTACAACTTGTAAAATTATGGAACTTTACCAAATTGCAATATTTCAGTTTAGACAGGTTTAAATAGACGTCTTGCTATAATATCAACGGTAAAACAATGACTTAATATGAACTTACTGATAATAGCCATTGATAAAAGGGCAGTGACGCCGAGGGATACTTTTTCGGTATTCTCTCCAGTTGTCGAATGAGGGGTGAAGAATCCGACGATTGTCACCACCGTGATAAAGGCTGATGGGATCACAAGACTAAAATGGATTTGAAACGTATCGAATTTTATTCTATGAATTTTTTGAGAGCCGATTACGCCATGAAATCAATTTTCGCGCAAATTTTACCGCAGACAACAACTAATAGGCTTTTTTCGTCAAAAACATGTTTTGGCTACATAGATATATTGGCATTTTAATCACGATCTATTAATGCTGAATTACGCCTCTTGGTACTGAACTTTTACCGGGGGGGGGGATTTTTAGAGGAAAGAAACCAAATGTTTCCCAGTAATCTCGGGCGCCCTATGACGAAATATGGACCATTTTTATAGCAATGAAATAGCTTTTAGACAAAACCGCTCTTAAAAAATTATAAGCATTTTGAATTTTTTGATTTTCGTAAAAAATGTATGAAAAATTACCAAAAAAGGGCAGGATCTTGTAAAATATTGTTATACTTTTAACTTATAAAATCAACTAAACTCAAACACTCTTAAACACGACAATACACTATTTATTATTAACAGTGAGGTATGGATGGAAGAATAAAACTTGGTCTCCCCCTGTGAACCCCTCCCCCCCCCCCCTGCTAACAGTCCAGCACCTAAATTTGTTTGCAAAACAATGTTCTAGCTAAAAAGTGCTATAAATGAGATTTCATCTACGTAGTGAATAGATCCTCCATAGCCCAAAATTTTTGCAAAACGGTTTCAAAAAATCTATTTTGATAAAAATTTGCTATTGATGCGGATTATAAACACGGAAGTATGGTATCTGACTCACCTGAAAATGTAGTAACTCGGCGACCTCTTTAGCACCATAAAATAGGTGATATCCGGGAATGGATGGGGGCAACAGTCGTACCGCTTGAAGTAGGCTTTTGCCTGAAATTTTGCACTATTTTTGAAAATGTTTTCCTTAGGTTTTTAGGTATATTGAAGGCCAAAAGATACCTTAAAATCGGTGAGCGACCACTCTGTGTTCCGGATGTACAGCTCCAAGTTGTCGGTGCCCGGATACGGCTCCAGCAACAACTTCGAGCCGTCCATTGACCAGCTGGCGAAGGTTAGGTAGCAGACTTGCTGGAAAAAATAGTTTTCTCTCGCCCGCGCGTTCTCTCTCTCTCTTTCTCTCTCTCTCTCTTTCTCTCTCTCTCGCTCTCTCTCTCTCTCTCTCTCTCCCCTCTTTGGTTTTGCAGATTTTTGAAAAACTGCTCCCAAAAATTCTCCAAAATTCCACTCCGCACCTATGCCCGTCAGCAGCTTCCCACTTGTCATTTTTTCCTTTTTCTAGCCTCAGAATTTTTGAGTGACAGCCCCGGGGCTGGATATTTATATTCGAAGTTCCTTATGGCAGCTTGTCACGAAGCATTCGGAAGCGAGAGAGAGAGAGAGAGAGAGAGAGAGAGAGAGCGAGTGCGTAGGCGCTAGATGAATTTGATTCTCCCGGCTAGACCCTAGGCTAATAAAATTTTTCTCTAGTGGTTTTTGGGAGCGTGATGTTTGTTCTTCTCGGGTTTAGCTGAAAAAAAGATTCTCCAGAAAAGCATGTCTCTCTCTCTCTCTCTCTCTCTCTCTCTCTCTCTCTCTCTTCCTCTCTCTTCCTCTCTCTTTCTCTCTCTCGCTACCTCTCTCTCTCGCCTCCAAATCCCTAATGGCACTTCAGACAGATTCTCAAAATGTCATCGAATTATTTTTAACTCGGAAACCTTACCCAGCTAAAAAGTTGCAACATTCCATTTTTCCAATTTTTCCCCAAATAATCTCTGCTAGCCTGCCCCTGGCCAGTTAGAAGAGACGATTTGCGATTGGTACCTGATCGAACGGAAAATTGGCCAAATTCAGCTGGCACGATATGGAGGTGATGATCGAACGGAAGAGGAGCACCTCAAAATTTTAGATTATCTAGCGTCATCCGAAGAGCAATTAAAAAGATACAGATTTGCGGAAAGCGCTATTTTTTTGAAACTCATTATGTTAAAAAAAAAAACGAAAAATTAATTTTAAACCTTACCCGTCCATCGGATTGTAGAATGGCATTCGTGTCGAGCTCATTCTCAGCGACGTTCATATTTGCGCTGAATTATTTTCTTTTGAGGCAATCTAGCAGAGATTTATTGAGAAAGCGCAGGCCAGCAAAGATTCTTTAGGAAAGGGCAGGCTAGCAGAAATTTTTCAGGAACTCGTGAGACACAGGCTAGCTAGCAAACATTCTTTTTCAAATGGCGGAGAAAAAAAAATTAGGGCATCAGGGCAAGCTAACAGAAATTCTTTGGGAAAACGAGGAACCGGTTAGCCGAGATCCTTTGGGGGAAAAGTCCTGCTAGCCGAGCTTCTTTAGCGCGGGCTTGGCGGGCTAGCAGAGATTCTTAGAGCAAAAGGTTTCTTTTCTTTCTCTGCTATAATTCCAAAAGTTTCAGGTTTTTGGTGCTTGGCGTCTTTAGTTTGTAGCCTAGTACCTCGGGTTGACCGTACGAGAAAGCCCTGCCAGGTAGCCCAAACAAATCCAAGAAATCGTAAAAAATACCTGCTAGCTGACTTGCTTAATTTCTCCGGTTTCAAAAATGCTTCCAATTCTCTTCATAAATCTTTTGAAGCTAGGCATTCTAGCAGAGATCCTTTGGGGTTAAGCTGGTAGAATTGGTTCGATTTTCCGGGTAACTAACAGAGATTCCTTCAGAATAGGTTGTAAAATAATGCTTTTTGTAATTTTTCAGAGTAATTTTTTGCCAATAATTTCGTACTTTCTTGCCTTGCCAATCCCTTTAAAAGGCCCCCGTTTGTTCGTTTTTCCGATGTTTTCGTTTTGAATGGCTTCTCTATTAGGTAAAAAGCTCAAATTTGACGCCCTTTTTTCGAAATCCGCCCCCGCTTCTCCCCGCAAATGTGACAGGCTAAAATCTTTCGGAGGGTCGAGTCTTTCTTGATTCTATTTCGAATCGGGGGGGCAGTAGAAGAAGGAGCAGAAGGAGGGGATACGTGGCCCACTACTCAAAGCAAAAGCCCCGCTATTCACCACAATTTCCGGTCGGAGAGAAGCTTCTCCTAGCCTGCAACGAGAACCCGAGGGTACCGCCTCGTGTTTTCCACGCGGCAACCTAATTACGCGGGTTTAAAGGGAGTGATAAGGCATGGATATGGATTTTGCCCTGATATGCACGCGTAATAATTGGGATATGCAAGAGAGCGACAGAGAGAGAGAGAGAGAGTGTTAGCGAGAGAGAGAGTGAGTGAGCGAGGGAGAGACAGAGTGAGTGTTAGTGCGCGAGAGAGACAGAGATGAAAAAGATAAATAAAGAGAAAAGTTCCCATTCTTTTAAAGGTAACACGGATCAGAATATAGTCACTGGGGAATAATGGGTAAAATTCCCGACAACCGGTGTTAAACCTAAAATTTTTCCATAAATGTGTTTTATAAAAATTCATAGCGTAATTGGTTCCAACATAGGCAATACAATGTGTGCCCAAAATGTTAGCGTAACCAGTTTTTCTCCTAAAGAATCTCTGCTAGTCTGCACCGAGATTCGGTCATTAAAAATGTCAAATCATACTTGTTGTAGACGAGTATATCCGGTTTCCATATCTTGTCGGCGGGCACGTGGATGCGAGTCAGATTCCCGAAAAGCCCCGGGTCCCACGACAGCGTTTCGTCACGCCAGTACTGTAATTTAAGGAAACATATAAACAAGGGTTTAGCAGCTTTATAAATTCCTTTTCCCAACGTTTTCAAGGAAATTTTCAATTTTTTTTCTTTGCATTTTTTGTTTTTGTTTTCAGGTTTTTGAAAAATTGCATGTTTCAATAAAAAACCCATTCTTCGATAAATCATCTTTACAGTTTATCCATCTTTTAGTCTTGGTTGAAAAACTTACCAGAATTTTATTTTTTTAAATACAAGCCACGAAAATTTTTGATGTTGCAACAAAATTTAAGGCGATGGCCAAATTACTATGGCTTTACTAGATAGCGGACATTGTCTTACATAATTATTCCAGCAACTAGGCTTGGATGTGCGACTACTGTAACTTAATAAAATAGATAACTATCGATTCCTGGAGTCCTCAAATTACATTTATTAGGGTTTTTTTAAAGACTTTCAAGTTTTTGTAAAATGTTATTTTTTAAATTTCTGATGTTTTACGAACATTTCAGTTTCCAAGAAAAATATCGTTTCTGATGGGATGAGTGAATAGAAATTATTGCCGTTAAATGTATCTGCCTTAAATTTGTAAATTTTAACCCAGGCAAATGAGCTTAAATTTTTAAAATATTATCTGAAATTAAAAAAATTACTTTTAAACCTTGTACACCTATGCTATTCATTATTTTCGGCTCTCCTAATTACGGTAATACGATTGGTATTTACCACGGGCGCGTAAACAGGAGCCACCCGGAAACTCAAGAATTCCTCCCTCACAAATGAATCGGGCCCCCTTCCACCCAGCCCGGCACACTTCTGCAAGCAGCTCACATTTCAAATTAACACTTTTCGGGGGTGGGGAAGAGGGACATAAAGAGAGAGAGAGGGAGAGAGAGATAGAGATAGACAGAGAGATAGACAGAGAGAGGAATAAAAAGAGTGTTTACCCAATAACCCAATAACCCTTCCAGAGAGACCCCGGATTTTTGAGATTTGGTCGAAACGAGGGAAAGAAATGTTGCTAAAAATTTCTCTTTTCGGTGAATTTAATAAGACATAATAGGCAGGCTTCCGTTCATCTCTTTTTTTCTGTAAGAATAATACTAAAATACTAAAATAGTGAAATCTTTAAGGGCAATCTAGCAGCAATTGCTTGGGCTGTCATGCCACTTCTAAAAAAATTTTGTTTCAGAAAATTCAGCCTTTAGCGAAGTTTTCAAAAGTCTAATCCGTGTGTGTTTTTCCTCACTAATAAAATATTTTTTGGCGTTTTTGAGAGGCGTTACAAAAGTTATTAAAGGCGCTGGCAAGACCCCAAAATGACGCGGCTAACTAGCAGAAACCCTTGGGAAATTGTGAAAATCAGAAAATTCGACTCACCAACTCGAGCCAACAGTATACGGTAACAATCTGATCCCGCTCGTCGACCTTCAGAATCTGCTTCAGCCAGAATTTCAGCTTCACCTGGAAAATGGGGAATTTTTTATTTAATTTAGTAGATTTGGAGCTTTCATATTATCGGGGGGGGGGGGGGGGGTCCTTAGGATGGATTTTTTTTCTAATATAAATAGAACAAGTGTTTCTAAACTCACGTACTTTTATTAAACGTAAAACCTTAGCCAATTTCGATGGAAAAAAAATTAAAAATCTTTCAACGGAATATGGCGAGTTTCGATCAAAATCTAAAATTTTCAATGTTTTGGGATACCATTTCCATTTGAAATATAGTTACATTTTACTAAAACACTTAAAATAATTACTTTTACGGTAGTAGGCATTTCTGAAATTGGAGGAAAAATTAGAGCCCCCCCCCCCCGATAATGCTAAAGAACCCCCGATTTCGTGATCATTAAGGCAGATTTTGTTTCGAAAGCCACTAGAAAATCGGAAACACATTTTTTCCAAGGCTAGGATTCCGGGCTTTAAAAATCGAACTTTCACTTACCACAAAATGCTGAAAAAGACAGAAAATAAATGTTTATTCATCTAAGGCCGGAATTTCATAAGGTCGCAGTATTACCCCGAATCTGTGCCAAAAAAAAGCCGAAAATTTGGAAAACACATTCTTGTAAAGTTACAATGCGTGCGTTTTTTTTCTAAATTTTAAATGCGTGCGTTTTTTCGTGCGTTTTTTGCGTTTTCAAACTTTATTATTTTTCTAAACTTCTATTAAAATTATCACGATAAATAAGGAAAAACAAAATTTTTATAGTGTTTTTTAATTTAAGAGAAATAAATAAATATCGAAGACTTTTAAAGAATAAAAAATGAAGATTTGAAATGAATTGAAGAATTTAAACTTTTAAGCGCCTGAATAGCTTTTAATAACCCCGTTCGGCGGCTTTGGAGATTTTTAAACTTGGATTTTGAGGGTATTGAAAAAATTAATTTTTGAAGCTATTGGTTAAAAACATACATGGACGGGCTCGGCTTCATCAATGACCGGTCTCAATTCCCGTTGATAGCCATCAAATAAATGATCGTAGAGGAGACGCATTGGTGTTTTTTGAAGGGCTGATGGATAGCCCGCTGATGCTAACTGGAATGAACAGTTTTGATCCTAAAGAGTCTCTGCTACCCTGCCCCCTGGCTAAAATCCTCAAAAACCTCTGCTAACCTGCGTTGGGTTCTCAAAGGATCTCCGTTAGATTGCCTTTGCGTGAAAAAATCCGCAAAGAATCTCTGCTAGCTTGCTTGCCAGAGTCTGGAACTCTCCTAAGCTCACTGCTAGCTCGCCCATTCCTCGACGAGATCCTTAAAAACCTTCGCTATCTTGCCTAGGTTCCAACCAATGATCCGGTTTTTGGTCCGGTTTCCTAAGGAAATTCTGCTAGCTTGCCATTGCCCATCGAACAAAGAATCTGTGCTAGCATACCCATCCACAATTCATTGCTGCTAGCTTGCTTGACGGATATCTGACCGATATTATGACGCCCACACCCGCGCAAGGCCTATTAGTGGTCTCGTTTCCGTTCGGATGCGCTATTTTAACGAAATATATAATTTCTAAAAAAATTTCTGCCAGCCTCAATGCAAATTTGGCAAAGGAACGTTGCTAGCCTGCCCGCTCGGGAAAGTAGCGGTCCCAAGGAATCCCTGGTAGCTGGCCCCTGTCCGTCAAGCAAGAAAGCACTGTTAGCCAATTCCGCGAAGTACCTCCCCTCGCCCTTTCTAAAAAATCGCTGCTAGCATCCCATCAAAATCTCAAAGTTCTCTGCTAGCCTGCCCGCTAGAGGTATCCAGCGTCCCTAAAGTTGCTTTCCCGGGTGGCTGCTTAAAGATCTCTGCTAACATGCCCCTCAGCAGTTCCCCAGCGATCTCGGCCAGCCTAGGAGTTTCCAAAGCGCAGGCTTCCTAAAGAATCTCTGCTAGCACGCCCCCATACTTTTCCATTTTTTGGAATTTTTGAAGTAATTAAGAATTTTTTCAAACCTTAAAATGCCGAGCAGCAAGCAATATTCCCAAAAAATGCAGAATAAAGTACATGGATTGGGTTTTTAGGGGGAAAACAGCAGAAATGGGCAGGGTTCTCAGCGAAGATCTCAAATATCTGAAGGGAAACGGGGAAGAAGCGGTGTATCTCTCTCTCTCTCTCTCTCTCTCTCTCTCTCTCTCTCGCTCCCTCGCCAACTCACGGCAACAACTTGATCCATCTGAAGCGAGAGTAGGAGGTGGGCGGGGCCATCTTTGGCCCACACGTCTCGTCAAGTTGCAAGAGGCAGGCTAGCAGAGATCTTTGAGGAAATTGGGAGGGGTAGCAGAGATTATTTGGGAATTGTCGTAGACTAGGAGAGATTTTAAGGGAATCCAGACAGCAAGCAAAGATTATTTGTGGATACCGAGGGGCAAGCTAGCAGAGATGTTTACGGAATTAAGGCAGTCGTAACAGCGTTTTTAGAGGAACGCATACAGGGCAGGCTAGCAGTGATTTTGGGGAAAACGGGTAGCTAGCAAAAATCTTTGGGAAGTGAAGGGCAGACTGGTAGGGGATCTTTGAGGAATTCTGGCAGGCTAGCAGAAATTCTTTGAGAACTCGGAGCGACGGCCAACTAGCAGAAACCTTTGAGCAATCCGGACAGCTAGCAGAGATTCTTTGGGAATGCTTAAGGGATGTCTAGGAGATATCCTTGAGGAATCCAGACCGGATAGCAGCGATTTTTGCGGAACAGATAGGGCATGTTAGCAGAGGTCTTTAAGGAATTCTGGCAGGCGAGCAGAAATCTTTAAGCAAATCAGACGGATTACCAGACCTTCAGAGAAGATAAGAAACATTCAGATTATCAGCGCAAAAAAACGTACAATTCGCGCCAGCTAGCAGAGATTTTTGAGGAATGCACAACAAACGCTGCGAGTTTGCCCGAATAAATTTGCATAGCGATTCGGACTGGAAACACTTCAATTTGCTTAGAAGGTCTGGTATAAAAACCGGAAGAAATGCGCTTCGATTTTGCTAAAAGCTCGACTTTCGACTCGCCAGCCCTCGATTGACTAAATAATGGTAAGTTTTAGGTATGCAAATTAGCAGAAAGATTTTTATAAGGACTGCTCGCTGACGTCGTGTACCCATCCGGATCATTCTCTCGTTGACGCGAATGAGGGGAATAAGGAACAGAAGCAAGAGCAGCAACGGGCCCCGGCTGTTGCTCACAGCGTCGACAGTCTGCCACCCGTTCGGTGGGTTTTGTGGAGGCAAAGAATCTCTGCTAGCTTGCCCTACTCTGCAAAGAATCTATGCTCGCCTTCTTCCTCCTGCCACAAATTCCCCCAAACGTCCCTGCTAGCCTGCCCTTTCCGAAGGATCTCTGCTCGCCTGCCCTCCGATGGTTCCCAAAGAATCCCTGCTGGCTCGCCCTACTCCTTTCCCAAACAAAATCTGCAAGCCCTGGCTCTTCCTGACGTATCTGTGCTAGCCTGCCTGTCTCTTTTCCTAAAGAATCTTTGCTCGTCTGCCCTCCGACGTTTCCCAAAGAACCTTTGCTAGCCTACCCTTTCCCATGGAATCCATGCTAGCTGGCCCTTCCCATCCCGATTCTTCAAAAGTCTCTGCTGGCCTGCCCTTTCCTAAATAATCCCAGCTCCCGCTTTTCCCCAAAGATCTCTGCTAGTCCACCAAAATTTGCAAAAATTCGTTCATTTCCAGTCTCCTCGGCGTTCGTATGATGGATTCGTTGGAATCGGCTCGTCGTGCCCGTTCTCTGGATGGGCTGCCCGCCCAGAAGATGACCACCCCCGTCGGCACGTCCAATGGCCGGTAAATATAGACTTTCGACGTAACCACCGTATTAAAAAAAATGTTAAAAAAAAACTCCTAATCTATACGGTTTCAGCCGCGTGACGACGACCTCGTCGGCGAAGACGCTGCGCGTGGCGAGCATGGAGAATCATTGGGCGGATGAGGATGGGACCCCCATGGCGAAGCGTCCCCGCCTCGCTTCTTCTCTGTTCCGTGATTCTCCTGTTGATGATGATCAATCGATGGCTTCATCAACTGGCCGTGGTGGTGGCAGTCGTCGCAATGGAGGATTCCGAATTCTTCGCCAAGCATCGTCCATCCTTCAACAGCACAGGGGAAGCAACAGTGCTCTCAGGTACATCCGGGCAGGCTAACACAGATCTTTGCGGGAACTGCCGATGATCATTTACTTTTCAGCGCGGCTACCAACTCGACGTGGTGGTCGAAAGAAGCCACCGGTGAGGCGTCAACGACGGCCGACTTGTCGAGCCCGGTCTCATCTCCTTGGGGCGTCTCCCCGAACGTGTTCCAGTTGATGACTGCCGGCCCATCGGCTTCTCTCTCCGTTGCCAACGATTTCCTCATCGACTCGCCGTTGAGCAACGCCAAGCCGCCCGCCGTCCCCATCGACATCAACGAGTGCAAGTGTCCGGGTTGTGTTCAGGCCAGGTGGGACTCTTCATAGAAATAAATCGGGTTAGCCCGAAGGTAAGCCTAAAGCCAAGCCTAAGACGACGCCGCTAAAAATCTAGGCTTCGCATAAGCTAAGCCTAAGCCAAGCTATGTAATACCTAAAGTTAGGCAAGGCCTGATAAGCCCGGTTTTTAAGCCTAATTTTGTAGGCTGATGCTGGCTGCGTGCGCTTCGCGTCGCTTGGTGGCGGCCGCCCTGAACGAGGGCAAGAAGGATGAGAAGGAGGACGAGGACGGCGTGGAGGAGAATGAAGAGGATGAGGAGGGCGAAACCGACGAGGGCGAGGAGGAGGAGCAGCACGAGGAGGATGACGACGACGGCGAGGAGCCCAAGCTCGCCCCGCCGATCCCGGTACTGTCCATAGTACAATCTGGGTCTCCATTCTTTTCCGAGCTTTCCTAGGCGTGCAGCCGGCTTTTGCCCCCCCCCCAAAAAAAACGCCCTTGTTGCAGTTGGCCCCGACGACGTCGTTGGAGAGCAACGGCGACGAGGACAAGAAAGACGACGACGAGGACGAGGAGGAGGAGGGCGAGCAGCCGGGCCCGTGCATCTGCTGCCCCACCCGTGATACCTTGTGTTAGATTCAAGATGGAGGAAAAGCCGCCCAAATACTCGAATACCCCCTATCTGCCCACACTTTTCTTATGATTACTACTCGATCAGTGTCTTCGCCATTTTTGCAATAAATCATGAAGCTTACCTTGGTCCTTTTGAACGCATCGACCTGCTGATCTGCTCCGGTCTCGAAGAAGTCACGAGAATTTTGTAAATCTCCGAGTTCATACGTCTCGCAGAAGCTGACCAGCGGCTGAAACCGGGTTTTCAAGCAGCAACAGCCACCCTCGACATCGTGCAAGCCTGAAAATCAAATCAGCGGAAAGAAAGACATCGTCCATTTATTTCTCTACATTTGCTGAAAGGCCAGAAATGAGATTCATGCTTATCACAATCCCAAAATACAAAAATCACAGTTCAATTCGAGAGGCATCTAACCCGTTGATAACAACCAAACATTTTGACAAATTCTTTGGACTAGGCTCGGGCAATTCGCCTATAGAGATCAAATGCGGCACCAATTTGGAATCTACAAGCGGGATATTCAACGAATCACAAAGTTCAACGAAGGAATCTAGACTATAATGCAGCCACCGGGCCACGAGATCGGCAGGCAACTTGACACCGGGAGCTTTATAGGCCGCCAAAATCACAGACAAAACGCGGATTCTGATACGGGCAACTTGCAGGGAAGCGCAACACTGGATAATTGGTGAAAATAAGGTCACAAGTTTTAGAAAACGAATAACATTCCCGCTACGATAAGCCAACGCAATTTCTAAGAGTCTCTGCGCCAGCTTCTCCGACATCAAACTTCGTCGTTTCCAGTCGATAATGTGTGGGAATAGTTGACGCATTCTCGAGACGTCTGATGAAGTAGGAGGAAATGATGATATTCCTAGCTTCATCTTCTTCAGAGGGCACTGTCGACGGGTAGATCTGAAAATACAGATCATAACTTCTAGCGATCCAATTTCCCTAAGATAAATAGAAGAAATGTTTCTAAACGGTATCGACCTCCCTAAACGTAAAAACATTCTATTACCACACCACTACGTAAATGCCAATTTTTTATTAAAAATACAAAAAGTACGAATTTTCGACCGAAAAATGGCCAGTTTTGGACCAGAATTTCCACTAAAATTTAGTTTGACATTTCTTTGATTGTTTTTCCAGTCGAAATATGTTATATTTTACTCAAAAGGCTATTGCAACACTGACTATTACATTACTAGGGTTTTCTGGACTCATAGGAGCCTAACGAGCCGACTTTCCTCACCTCTGCCCATCTCGAGAAACATTCTTCCAACTGCGTGGAGTGTAGTTTCCAATCATACTCCTTGCACCCTTCCACGATACTTCGATGCTCCGTCACCAGGTAAAAGGGAATCATCTTCTCCAGTAAAAGTTGAAAATCTAGGCAAAGGTTTGGCACGCGTAACGGAAACTACCTCTAGGGGTGGCGTGCTGGACGATCAGGTCTTGGCGCACGGCACGAAGTCGATCACAGACAAAGTGATACACTTGGGTGAACGAGGCGTGGAATAGTTGCTGGGGCGTGAGCGTGTAGGTGTAGAGGCCCAATAAATAGTCGATCGTCTCGGCCAATACGTTCGGCGGCCGTATTTTTCCATATTCGAGGGTCGTCGCAGCCGCAGCTCTGGAAACTGAGGAAATTATGGCTTGAAAAAAATACTTTTAAGGTGATGGGTTCTGGTTGGTCAGCAAAGGGCGGGGGTTTAATGTCGTATGTTTTTCAAAAACTCACTATTTTTTGGGGGTTGCATCACCGCGACCAGTTAGAGCATCAAAAAAAATATATTAAGCGTTTTAGTTCTAGATCAAAACACTATAATTTAAGAAAGCTAAAAAAAGCAAAAATAACCTGAAAATGGGGTTGGTAAGCTATTTTTCGGGATTTTCTAATTTTTCGATTCTATTTTGTTAACGCTCTCCTATAGAGCATCAAAAAACACTCAGAATCTTAAATACGTCTCAAGGTAATTTATATTAAGGGAAAAGAAGCTATTGACAAAAATCCCCCACCCCGCTAACGAACGAGAACCGGATAATGCATTGAAACGTGTGTCTACCTTCTGTATTCTTTCACAAATCTGCTCCGAATCGGCTTTCCACCATCTTGGCCGGGCGGCGTCTTTTCCAGGCAATGCACCAGTCGTTCCCGGCAACGAAATTCATATTCTTCTTTTGAGCAATACTGATTTACAGCCTTCCGGAGGAATGCAGGTTCCATCTGCTCCTCAGCCTGAAAATAGAGATAATTATCCTCGTAAAAAACGAAGGCAAATAACTGGAAATGCATCAGTAAAGTAAGCGGTAGTAAGTAAGAAAAGCAGAAAATAGGCTTTTTATAAAAATTGGATAAAAATTAAAATTGTGCAAACAGGGCGATATTCCGAGGAGCTACTAATAACGGCTTAGCGTAGCGGTTGTCATTTGTAGCATTACAGCGTAAAATGGTCCCACCACGAACATTGTTGCATTTAACCGGCGCGCGGAGAGCTTCGATTTTTCGGCGCGTTTTCGGGCCACTTGTTACTAAATTGTACCCGCAAGGATTATACGATTTATTTCGGAAATTGCATTCAGCGGAGTGCACGCCTTTTTCGTCGGTTTTCGAATTGTTTGAGTTGCCGGCTTGATCGTGTTCTATCTCTCCCTAAACTTTCTTTTAAATGTTTTCCATTTACAACGTTCGTTTTCAGCTCCAACCCAAGATGGCTGTTGGCAAGAGCAAGAAAATGGGCAAAAAGGGCGGCAAGAAGAAGGCCGTCGACCCCTTCACGCGCAAGGACTGGTACGACGTCAAGGCCCCTTCTCTGTTCGCAACGCGTCAAGTCGGCAAGACGCTCGTCAACAAGACCGTCGGCACCAAAATTGCCGCTGATGGCCTTCGCGGCCGCGTGTACGAGGTGTCGCTGGGCGACCTGAACCAATCCGAATCGGACTTCCGAAAGTTCCGTCTCATCTGCGAGGAGGTCCAGGGCAAGAACTGCTTGACGAATTTCCATGGAATGAGCTTCACCCGGGACAAGCTGTCATCCATCGTGAAGAAATGGCATGTAAGTCGCCTATTGCTTTCTGGATTTTGTTTTTAGACTCAAGTTGAAGGCAATGTTGCTGTGAAGACGACAGATGGCTATTTGTTGCGCGTGTTCTGCATCGGCTTCACGAAACGGCGCCCCAGCCAGGCCAGCAAGACCACCTACGCCAAGGCATCAAAGGTGCGGGCCCTGCGCGCCAAGATGATCGAGCATATCCAAAAAGAGGTGCGTATTTTCTGCGGTTTCTAAAATGTTTATTGTTAGGTGACCGCCGCTGATCTGAAGTCCGTGTGCGCCAAATTGATCCCGGACTCGATCGGCAAGGACATTGAGCGGGCTTGCTACCCAATCTACCCGCTTCATGACGTGTACATTCGCAAGGTCAAAATCCTCAAGAAGCCGAAGTTCGAGATGGCGAGGCTCTTGGATGTGCATGGAGACCCCGTCAGCACCGTCGCCGCCGATGGCACCAAGATTGACCGACCGGCCGGATACGAACCCCCAGTCCAAGATGCCGTCTAACCTTTGCAATAAATTGTTGATTGTTATTAATTGTCGTCCAAGCTTGCTTGGGCTTCATATGAATGTTCTAGAATAAAGTTTTCTCATGTTGTTTGCTAGCAAGGATTTTACTGTAACAGGATTTGCCTGTGAAATGTCGAAACTTGATGGATCAATCGGTGTATATTGAACTTTTGAATCCGAAGCGGCTGTTTGCCTGCTACGCTATTTTCGCCCTGCGGTACGCCCGCCTCCGAAATTGCGCGTAGGGTTGCCGCCTCCACAAACCGTTTGAACGTGGGGAAGACTTTCATGCCATACCATATCATTTGAATTGAAGTCTTGCCTATCAGGCGCGGGAACGGGGCTCTTGTCAATATTGTCTTCGGCAATCCGAGGCTTTGTTTTATCGTATTTTGGATTAAGCTAATCGTTGATTTTCAGAATGTCTCGATCGCGGAAAGACAAGACAAAAGCTGAAGTGAGCGCCAACGTTAGGGTGTGCGTCCGCACACGCCCCCTGTTCGACGCCGAGAAGAAGGAGGCGCCATGTGTGAAGACGTCGGTAGCCGAGAAGAATCTAACGATAAGGGGGAAAATTTATGGACCCTTTGATCAAGTAATTTTTCTGGCTATTCTCTCAGCTACTATTAAGGTTTTCAACGAAGGCGCAACCCAACCGGATGTTTACGAGAAAGTGGCCCGCCAGAACGTCGAACTTGTCCTCCAGGGATACAACTGTACGATTTTCGCGTGAGTACTTTGCCCTTTACCGAAAACTCTGTCTAGTTATGGACAGACCGGTACCGGGAAGACGTACTGCATGGAGGGTGGCGCTGACAAGGCTTACAGCGGCAATTGGAAAACTGACCCCCATCTCGGCATCATCCCCAGAGCCATTGAGCAGATCTTCAACAGCTTGGAGACCGAGGTTTTATTTTTCGCTCGGCTAGTATGGTTTCTAGGGCGCAGAAGAATACTGCATCCGCGTGTCATACGTGGAACTCTACAATGAGGAGCTGTACGATCTGCTCGCCGCCACGTATGAAGATTCTCAGCGCATCCGGCTCTACGAGGACCCCGCCAAGAAAGGATCCGTAATCGTCTCTGGGGCTGAGGAGGTGCCCGTGCGCACACGTGAAGAAGTCTTCAAACTACTACAAAGAGGCGCCGCCCGCAAGACGATGGCCGAAACGCTGATGAATAACCGATCCAGGTATGCCCGCTTCTAGTATTAATTCCGGACTTGAATATATTTATTTATCAGCACCGAATTTTGTATTTAGCCGCTCACACTGCGTCTTCGTCGTGAATGTGGTGGTGCGCGAGACAACGCTTGAAGGCCAAGAGCTCGTGCGACAAGGAAAGCTCAACCTCGTTGATCTGGCGGGATCCGAGTCGATCGGTCGGAGCGGTGCATGCGGACAAAGGGCAAAGGAGGCCGGCAACATCAACCAGTCACTGCTTACCCTGGGCCGCTGCATCACCTCCCTTACGACAAACGCTGGGCACATCCCATACAGGTATCGCAGATTATCGGCAGTGTCATTCTTCCATTTAGAGAATCAAAACTGACGCGTCTGCTGCAGGATTCGCTGGGCGGCTCGACAGTGACGACAATCATCGCAACCATTTCTCCATCAGCGGCCAATTTTGAAGTATTTTCTTTGTGTTCAATTTGTAACGGCATTCTTAGGAAACATTGTCGACGCTCGAGTACGCAAGCCGAGCCAAGAACATTCGAAACCATCCGGAAATCAACGAAAAAATGTCTCGGAAGGCGATGCTCAAGGTAGTTTCCCTGTTCTGCACTAAAAATATTGCGTTTTGCAGGAGATGTCGGACGTCATCGAAAAATTGCAACGCGACCTGCGCAATGCTCGCGAGAAGAACGGCATCTTCCTTTCGGAGGAATCGTATGCCGGAATGGAGGATCAGATCAAGGCGCAGCAAAAGACGATCGAGGAGTTGGAGGGCCAACTGGAGGGCATGATGGGCCGACTGCAAGCGCTGGTCGAAGACATGGCCATGATGGATGAGCAATATCGCGCTCTCTACGAACGAAAGCGGCAGGTGGAAGATCGTCTGGCAAAGCGGGTTGAGGAAGTGGAGACGACGAAAAAGGTAGCTATTTTTTTCTTTTACGAATTTGAACTGAAAAAAGCTTTGACAATACTCTCATTTAGGAACTCATCGAATCCAATAAGCGTGGAGTGGCCCTAAAAGCCACGCTGGATGAGATGCATGAGGTGGCGCTCCGACTCCGCTTTCAGTCCCAACAACTGCAGCGTACAGCGTTCGACTCCGTGTCCGACCTCGAAGGCGTCTGGCGAAAGGTCGGCGCCTTGGCTCTCCTCGCCCAACGCAACGTTGAAGGTTTGCTAGCTCGGTTTAATTAATTTATTTCGGTTTTAGCGATGGAATCGATGGTTGGGGAACTGATGGGGAAGGCCTCGACGATCTCTACGCTCAGCACAAACGGTCAAGAATCCCTTGAGTCGGACGGCGGGGCGTTGAAGGCGCTAATAGGTGTGTTTGAACTTTTGCTATTGGGTTGTGAGACATTTGTGGATTTCGCGCTCAAAGTACTGGCTGAAATATTGTCCCATGTGTTCTCCGCGCGTCCAAAGTTTTTTCCAAATTAATGCATTGTTCGCGACAAAATTGACTTGCTTGACGTTTACGCACTAGCTCTTGAGGTTTGCCCAAGAGTTTCGTTTCCAGGAAATTCTGATTTTAGCCTCCTATCCTTTCTAACCCATGATTTTAGAGGACAATGGGCGGTCCATCAACAGCACACTCGAGCAGTGGAGTCAACAATCTGAGGTGCTGGATGCTGACTTTGAGCAATTGCATGCTGCCATTGCGGCCGACAACGATGGACTGCGCGCGAACGGTGAAGCTCACCTCGCCAAATGGGCCGCTGAGGACACCGTGCGCCAGGTAAGAAAATTATTAATATGTTTACGTTTCTTAGACGGAAATGGCCCGCCTCGTTGCCGAGGGGCTCGACAGGCTGCAAGCGTTCAAGGCCGATTCATCAAGAAAGTTTGCCGAGTTAGCCGCTTCCCAAGCCACCGCACGCCAGAAGCTGCAAGATGTTTTGGACGCGGAGAAAAGTCGGGTGGCCGCGGCGACTTCGCAACATGAGGACCGTCGCCAACAAGTCGACGCCATTGTAGCTGCATACACCCAGCAGGTACCAAATTTTGTGCCTATCAATGCGCGTAAAGATTCGATGTTCTTATTGGTTTTAATTGAGCTTTTCTAGGCGATCAAACAAGCCGAAGACGTTGCCTCGCGCGTCGCGTCGCTACTGCGAGAAGAATCCGAGGCGTCAACCATGGAATCTAAAATAAGGTATTAACGATATCGTGCTTCAAAGTTATTTTTAGTGCCCAATTCTTTGACACCACCGCCGCGCAGCTGGATGTCGACGCCACGACGGGTGCTACCAAGATCGACGAGTTTACGAGGGACATGCAAACGTTTGCCGACGAGCGCGCTAGCATAAGGTATTATTCTTTGGCATGCTTTGAACTTCGGTTTAGCGAAAAAATGCGCGCCGATTTGACCCTGGCCAAGAAAACTACTAGCCAACATCTTTCGACCATGGGCCAAATGCTGGTCAATTCCAACGCAGCAATCGGTACAGCGCTGAAGGTACGTTTTTGATCTGTGCCTGGCTTTCCTAATAGACTCGACATTTACCTTTTCAGGGGTCAGGCGAGAAGCACACCGCGCTGCAGCAAGAAGGTGGTCGTGCCCGCGCAGCCGTCGCTGAGGCTCTGGCCAGCTGCAGCCTGGCCGTCGACAAGACGATCTCCGGACAGGTTAGTTTCTTTCTTTACACGTGATGCTAAACTTGTTGTTTTAGGTCGAGTCCGGCGCAGCGAACAGCCGGCAGATCATCGTCGTAGCGTCAGAGATCGAATCCCTGGCCACGCAGCACCGCGATACCGACATCGTGCGGCCTGTCAAATCTGGTAAGGCTTTCATTTCAGCTCAATGCCGTTTTCTAGGCGGAACCCCCGTGAAGAGATCTTACGAGGTGCTCGCAGAGTGCGAGTTTGTGCCAAGAATCGACAAAATGCTCGTGGAACACGGATACGACGCCCCGGCCCGCCGCTCTCTATACATGTAAGGATTTCGGCGGGACTTTCGGTACTGTTAAGTTTTTGGGGGTTGGCCGTTGTTGGTTTTTTGCGGTTTTTTTTTTTTTTTTTTTTTTTTTTTCTTTTTTTTTTGTTTTTTTTTTTTTTTGGGGCTTGTTGTTTTTTTTGTAATTTATGCATATCCTCACCCCAGTACCGCACTTTCTATCGATCTTTCAGGACACGTGATTCCATCCTACTCGCCGACCAAAACGTCATGTCGCCGGCCGCCGTCCAAGCCAACAAGAAGTCGCGGCTCGAGCAACTGAACGAGGTATGCTTTCTCCAGTTACAAAAATATTTTCAATTCCAGGAAGAGGAAGTGCTGGATGCGGCCAGCGGAAGCAAGCCCAAGTTCAGCGACGACGAGGTGGAGACCCTGAGCGCCGTGCGCAACAACGTCACCTCTCGGCGCCCCCTCTCCACGAACAACCAATAGAACAATTCGTGCATATTTGACTAAAACGTTTCTGTGTGTGCTTGTTTTCGTCGAGTTTTCATCATTGCAAATAAATTTTACAAGTGTCGATCACGGACTACTGGCACCTACAAGAAGCCTCCGAGCGAGAGCCTCTACTAAATGCATTGCGGGGGGACGGCGGCGGTGTTGTGCGCTGGGAAACTGCCACTTTTCCGGGTTTCCGGCGGCAATCTTGCATCGACAACCAGGGGGCCCTGTGGCCTATCAAGCGGCGCATAAACATTGGATCAAACAGCCGACGGCGTGACAAAGCATCGACAGTTGTTTTCGGGCCGCCCACTGGTGGGGCATTTCGTGAAGTGGCCGATCGCGAGATATCAAGGGCTCGATCGATGTCGGGAGCTAATTTTGTGGCAATCGATTCGAATGTCTTATTTTAGCCCGGAATTTCAGCCGGAGAACCGAGTTTCGTTATAAAGTTCATTTTTCGATACAAATTGGCTAGGCAAATCCTGCTAAGCGAGCAATAGCTATGAAAACTTATCAAAATCGGCTTAATAATTTTTTAAATTGTCTTTCGGCATCATTTCTTATCGCGTTCTCCTTGTTAGAAGTCTTCTGCCGTGAAGCGTATTTTTTTCAGATGCATTGGCTGAGCGTGGGCGTGCTGGCCGTCTTGGCGTCGAGTGCGCTCGGCTGCCGCTACAAGGGCAACAGCTACGTCAACAACGAGACTTGGGTAAGGTTTTTGGCTTCTTTTGTATTATCGGGGGGACCAGCTTTTTTAGCGGTATCCAGTTTTTCAAATATCAATAGAGAGGTGTTTCGCAATTTTTTACACTCTTCAACCTAAACCCTGCAAAATTTTCATTAAACTTGCAAAAAATATCGGGTTTTGGATCAAAATATAGAATTTCTAAATAATTTAAAAATTTTTAGATAGGTTTTCAACTTGAGTAGATGTTAAACTCCATTAAAAACGTTTATATATTTCAGGAGGAAAAGGGCGCCTTCCGCATGAAGTGCATCATTGAGTCGAACGGCTCGTGGAGGACGGATGTGGTGGGATGTCTGACGCCCGATGGGGTTGAGGTCCGTTCTTGATGGTTTTTGAAGTGCGGATCTTTGCCTGATATACCTTTATTTAAATTGAAAAATGCTTTTTCCATTCAAATCAGTTCTTGCACCGAAAAGAAATTTTTTAAAACGTTGATCCGCCGCTTATTTTTGGCATTTAGCCAATTTTAAGACTAATCGTAAAAACGTGTAAAAAGCTAAAATCCTTTGTATTTTCGCCTGAATTGTCGCCTTCGCCTTCGTGGCTGATTTGCTGCTATTTTTTCGGCAAGAGTTTACTTTACCCCCCCCCCCACAGCCGAAGAGTCTCAAAGTTGTGTACGCATTTTCGGGATTTTTGCAACGCCATTCGATAGAGCGTCGAAAAATATACTAAGAGTTTTAATTTGAGCCTACAATAATGTAAAATAAAAAAGTTATAGCCAAAAACTTCCGGCTGGGGGGTAAAGTAAACCGTAGCCATTTTTTCCGTATAATAATGCAAAAATTTTCAGGTACCCGTGAAGGGGAAGAAGTCTATTGGGGAACACGAGTGGAGCTGCGAGGTAACGCATTTATCTTTTAAGATTGACTACATTTTGTCATTTTAGCAAACCGCCGATGGGCACATCACCCTCAAGCAGGAGCTCGGCAAGAATGCCGATTGCCCGGGTGGACACAAGAGGGGCCAGTTTTTCGCACTTATTTAGTTTCGGGGGGGGGAGGCATTTTAATTCTGGACCGTTTCTACTGGTGTGCGCTTTTAGACGTACGTCTGCAGAAAAACCTTTTTGCAACGATGAAAATTTGGCAATCAAGCCAATCTTTTTCGATTAACACCTCTATTTTTAAATAATTGGAGGATGTAGTTGTACACCGTTTTTAACTGAGCATCAAAACGTTAGAAATTGTCAGTAAAAACTAAATTTTAGCTAAAAAGTTTTGGGTTTACGACCCAGAATCGCGACATTTTCGACTTCTTCAAGAACTTTTCTAGCTTTTTTGAAAGTTTTTCTACTCAAAATATAGTTAGATGTTACTAAAAAATATAAAAATGTTTTATTTTCTAAAAACTAAAATTCAACTACCTAAAAACTTTTTTAAAATGTTAAAGACGAAATTTTGGTTAAAAATCGATATTTTTGCATGTTTTACTAAAGATTTGTAAAGTTTTTACGTTTAGTAATGGTAAGAAATGGTTTTGGAACACTTCCGCTATTTATATTTGAAAAATAGCTCCTGAGAAGAAAGTTGGTCCCCCCCCCGATAACGCAGAAGAACCAAAATTACCCCTAGCCTGTTAAAAAACCTTAAAACCCTTTTAGGCGACACGTGGACGGAGAAATCGTTCGAATTCCGCTGCGACGAGGGTGGCCAGCAAAAGTTTGTGGGCTGCGTGACGAACACGGGTGTCAAAATTGCGAACGGGCAGAGCAAGGAGGTGCCGCTCGAGGATGATCGTGATCAATCGCATCTTTAGCTGCCCGGCGGCATGGTCGTCGAGTGCAAGATGTTCCCCAACGGAACCGTGTCAATGAACGGCGTCGGCAAGAAGGCCGACGCGAACTGCGTCGACACCGAGGGCAAGCAGCACCGTGTTGGTAGGTGGTGCTTTGCGTGAAAATATAAATTTAAGTGGAGCTGTCGCAAGTGTTTTAATAGTGTTTTTCAGTAAAATAAAACTACATATATTTAACTAGAAAAACCATCTAAAAACTGAAAAAGGTCTTCAGAAAGCAGAAATGAAGTCGAAAAATCGAGCTTTTTAATACAATTTTGTAAAGTTTTCCCGTTTCGGAATAGCAAAAAACTATTTAGAAACACTTCCGCTATTTAGATTTGCAAAATTAGGCCCTAAGAGGAAAATTGTGTTCCCCCGTTAATGCGAAAGGACCGAAATTTTGATTAAGAATACCAACGAATTGATTTTTTGCACCAAAAGGCCGATTTTGGCCAACTGCAATCTAGAAGAAAATTAGGTACTAGTATACTTTGGGGGGGGCCAAAAAAATTTTTCGACCAAAATTTCTCATTTTCGATTATTTTGTTCAGTTTTTCGTGCTGAATCCAATGAAAGTGTTTCCAGATTTTTTAGATCATGTTTTCTAGTAATAATTAACTATTTATATTACAAGTAATTTCAATAGTTTTTCAGTAGTATACCGTTGTACAAGCCGCAGAAGCCTAAGCCTAAGCCTAACCTGAGCCAAAGCCAAAGCAGGAGCCAAAGCCTGAGCCTAAGCTTGAGCCTGAGCCTAGGTCAAAGCTTAAGCCTAAGCCTAATCCTAAGCATACGATCCATTCTTCAACTTTTGGTCGCACGTAAAGGAGATCCACCCCTGCTAGTAATTGTTATTGTTGCCTAATTCTTATGTTGTTGCTATAACAAAAACGTCTGGAAATATTTGCATTCGATTCAGCATGAAAAACTGAACAAAATAGTGCAAAATGAGAAATTTTGGCCGAAAAAATTTTTTGGCCCCCCCCCAAAGTATACTAGTACCGAAAATTAATTAAATAAATAGACAATTTCCAGGCGAAAAGTGGGTCCAGGGAAAACACTTCCAAATGGAATGCAAGCCGCACGGCGAGACCAAGATGAGCGGCTGTGTACTGCCCGACGTAAGTCCGGAAGCAGCTGGTTTCTAACCCCCTTACTTCTTCAGGGCGGCGTGATCGCTATTGACTCGGTGCTGACGAAGGGCACAATGGAATACCAGTAAGTCTTCAGAGAAAAAAAAAACCATATTTCTACCTACCGCGTCGTTAGGCGAAATGCCGTATACAAACCTGCAACACTTCACCCATAAACCCACAATTCCAGCTGCGAAATGAAGGGCGGCGCGCTGAAGTTCTACAGCAAGCCGAAGAACAATTAATCGTTCTCCCGGACAGTTGAATAACAATTATCGCGTCAAAATCATGACTATGAATACAGCAAAGCCATGAAATTTATAGATCTTTATTCCTAACAAAGTAAGTGTTAACAACGGGAAGAAATCATCAAACAACGTGCAAAGGGCTAAATTTTCGGGCGATCAGTTAGTTGGCGGCCAATGGAGGAAGCTGGATGCAGATCTCGTCGAAGGCGTCGGGCTGGAACACGCTGAGCACCTCGCCAGACTTGAGCGATTCTAAAAGGACGTTAAAGTAGATGCTCAACTTATTTACCGAGAAGGAGGGCAAAACGGCGAGCGGCCAGCGGGGCGGTGGTGTAGTGCGGGGGCACCAGCTCGGACATGTTGACCTGGCCGTCATCATTAGCCAGTAGATGGGCGTTTCTAAATGGTATAGAAATTAAAAATCGAAAGAAAGGCTCTAGTCTGATTTGAGGTATTTTACCGGTTCGCTGCCGAAATACGGTATCAAATCAAATGCCAGGTACCCTGAGATTTCGATACTTTTTTTCAAAATTAGCGCACTTAACTTTATTCAGATACCTCAAATCAGACTATAGCCCATAAAATAAGCGCGCAAAGCTTACCCCAAGAACGTCTCGCGTGTGTCCAGCCGATCCGCGTGGGTCGAGTCGCGGTCAGAGATGAGTTCGGTGAGCAGCGGCTTGACCCCGTCGTCTTCCTCGAGCCTCGATCCTTCGCCTTGCGGGAACAAGCTGACACGGTTGGCGTGCGCAACTAAACAACGTTCAAATGCCGCCACAAAATAACCAACGCGAGCTGACGCGACGGCGCGCCTCCTCGGGCTCTTCATCCTGTTGCTGTGGCGGCGCCAACTCGTGCATCATGTCGTGGAACATCGGCTGGTCGAACGGATTCATTTGCATCTAAACCTCGGCTTGCACACAACTTAAATTTTATACCTCATCCATTAGATTCAGTTGCTGCAGCTCATCAGCCGGGAGCGGCTCAACTTGCGGAAGTGGCGTCGCCGGTGGCTTTCCAATGTCGATAGCCTCGAGCGGGTCGATTTGAACGTCATCTTCGTCGACGATAAAGCGCTCGTCGCCACGGGTCGGGAAGCAGATGTCCAGATCCTTGTTGTAATCTGAAAAGTAAAAGTTAAAATAGACGTAATGAATTCATCACCATCTTCAAACGTATAAAAAACTTACTGATCGAAGTGAGTGGGCGCTGGGCGAAGAGCTGCTCAGCCAACAGCTGGCCACGTGGGAGATGGCTGGGTTTCGGTGGTACCTTTATAGGACCCTCAGCAATTTCATCCATCAGCCTCTTGATAGCGCGCTAAACGGAAGATGTAAACAAAACAGCGGCATTACCACAGAAAGTTGGATGTCATCATCAATGATGAGTTTTGATGGCTTCTTCTTTTGGTGCTTGCGCTTTGCGCTCAACTCTTCAGCCAAGACATCGGCAGTGTTGAGGCTTTCGAGGTGAAGGCTGTCGATGGCTTTTTGGTCGAGCTCTTCCATCTCTTTGTCCATCTCCTGCAGTTGTTGCTCGATCGGAGGCTGCGTGTCAAGCAGGTCCAGAGCGTTGAACTGCAGGTCTTGCATGAGGTCGTCTTGTTGAAGAGGATCGAGGAATTCGGCTCCGGGAGCCAGCATTTCAGCATCAGTGACCTAAATATGGAGGTAGATGCAAGAAAACCAAATACCTGCTTGATATCTTCGAACGGCAGCTGAGACTCGCGAGCTGGCACCGTCTTTTCGCCCAACGTAGCCTCGCCGTTGTTGTTGTTGGCCAGCTGCGGAACCGCGGTCTAAAAAGAAAGCATATTGGGTGAAATAAAAAAAACCTTGTCCTTGCTATGTTCAGCGGAAAACATAATATCCCCGCTCGCGAGCATTTGGTAGTATTCTTCTGTGGGGGCCGGCAGCTCATCCCGTTCACCGAAGCAGCTCCGCTCCCTCCAATCGAAGATAGCTTCCGGTTCATTGAGGGTGATGCGCTCGATGGCGGCCCGGTTGGCTTGTTGATCCTGCAAAAGGACCTAACAAGACGCACAACAAATCTTGTTCAAAAATGCATCAAAATTTACCAGCTGCTCGAGGCTCAGGTTGGCTCGCGAGCCCTCGCTGTCGCTGAGCTTCTAAATTTCGGAAATTGAATGCGAAGTATGTATTTACGCGCTTCTTCTTGTGAATGGGCGTCTTCTCGATGGTCTGGCGCTTCTTCCTACAAAAAAATAATAGCTAACAGACGAAATATTACTGTTGGAATTGGATGCTGGAGAGTCCGCGCAGGTTCGCCGCAGTCTCCTTCATGTCCACTAAAGCAATATATAAACCTCATCAAAACAACAAACTCTCGAGGAAAAAGAGCTGCTTCTGGTAGAGCAGGACGATGCCATAGGTGAGGCGACCGAGTAGGTAGAGCGAGAACTTCTCTTCGGTTCCCCGTCTCGAGTACTTGGGCTCCGGGATGCGCTCCAGCAGGGTCTTACTAAAATAAGAGTTTTGGAAATGAAGCAAAGAATACCAGGCCGAGGCGACATCCACAGCCAGGAACGCCGCCTTCTGGACGTTGCGCGTCGGACGCGAGTTGGCGAGTCGCCTACAAAAAAATTGTTGCTCAAGGCCAGAAAGTTTACCAGATCAGCGACAAGTTGGAGTCGCGAGAGTTGAGGATGCGCAAGTCGTAGAACATGCTGAAAAAGGTGTTTAAGAACGAAAGAAAAAAGTAAACGAAAACAAAGAAGAAAAGCGCTCAGTGACACTTGTGGACCAAAACTTTTTTCTCTTTATGAGGGCGAAATAAAATATTTTCCAAGTCATTTCATACATTTCATTGACCCGTATGAAACGTATAGTCTTGCTGGTGTCGAAAATTAGCACAAACATCAAAATTTTAGTTATCGGTGAAAAAACCCGGTCCATAAGTCTCACGACACCGAAGAAAAGAGGGGCGATCTCAGAGGCGCAAACGAGTTTTGACGAGCTAAATGAGAACGAGAACGAATTAATCAAGGAGAGGCGCACTTTTTAGTTTATCAAAATGCATTTTGTGCAAAGTTGCTAAAAAATCGTTGGCGCAACTATCATGGCTTCAATAAAAGAAAGCAATCGTCAAAAAGTCAAATTAATTTGAGAAAACTCTCGGATGAAACGAACGAATTTGGAGCAAAAAGAAGAAATGCTGAAAATGTTGACGGGCTTGCGTGCGGGTTTCGCAACGGGACCTTTGCGTTTTCTACAGTATTCACTCGCAATTAAACGGATTAAACACAAACAAACTTTATAATTAAAATGAATTTAATTAATTAACGTTAACTTTTCTTTCTTATTCAAGGACACGTTTTTTTCGGTACAATCGAGTTTCCGTAAGGGACCAAGCCTACCTTGTGCCGAATTGGCGTTAATTTCAAACCAAAATTTGCGAAATAATCAGATTAGAAAATTTATGGAGCTTTTCAGTGCCAAAGAGGCGATCTTTGCCGAAATTGGAGCGCCTATTCGCCATTAAAACCTTCATAACTTTTTGAATCTTGTCGTTGCGCAGCTTTTGAAAACAGGCTCAGAAGCAACGCAAAATCCTGCACGAGATCCCGATAAAAAACGTCGCCTTGTTAGAGTTGCTGAAATCCCCAGTTCCCCAGAAGGCTTTCCATGCTCCTCTTCTCCTCGCCATAATTTTTTATCTGTAACTAGCTTTACCCCACTTTTCAGGCACTTCTGTGTGTTTTTAACCAGCTGTGACGATGGCAGGATCCTCATCCGACCCGGACGCTTTGGTATGGCTTTTTAACGGTATCAAAACGCTGTTTAGGAGCTCGAGTTCTCGAACGAAGGCTTCAAGAAGCACGATGAAATGTACAACAAGACGATCGGACATTCCATCTGGCCGAGCTTGGTCAGTTTTTGGGGGTTTTTTCAAGGAAACCCCGATTATCGATGGCTGTTCGACGGGGTAACCAATGGAGAAGTGACAACGCAATTTTAACGTCTAAAATTACGTTGAAATATTAAATTTCAGACAAACCCGGCGCCGATCCCGTCTCCGATCACCCAGCAATGCGAGGTCGACGACGATTTTTCCGATGAGGATGGCGCTGTGGACTCGAACATTTTACACGAAGCCCACGAGATGTTCGATGAGATGGGATACGGCAGCGAAGATGATGCCGAGGTTTTGGCGCATGTTTTTATGGAAGATCCTTTTTAGATGAAGCACTGGTTGGCGAAACAAACCCCGCCAAAAGTCGTTGACGAGCTGCTGGTGGGCATTGAGGAAGAATCCGAGGATGTGCAAGGCGAACTTGATCCAGTCGTCGGCGAGGAAGTAGAGGTAATGGTCTTTCCGGTTTTTACTATTTGGTGGACCGGGTCGATGTTAACTAGCTTTCGCTTAACTAACTAACCTAATTTTAGCCTAAGGCGCCTTAGGGTAGAATAATGAAAAATAAACTATTAAAATAGAATTTTTACGCCGTTTTTAAGTAGAAAATAAAAAAAGATTGAGGCATTTCTTCGTTTGATTCACAAAAAAGGCAATTCTAAAGAGTAGGCGGTACTGGTCTGTTAGCAGGGAGAATATTTTTGTTTGGGTATCAAGTTTTAGTCATATATTTTTGACCAATTTTCAAAATTTAGAGAATTTTTCTACGGTTTTTATATCCAAAAACTAGGTAATATGCTAGAAAAATTGTTTATATTTTGTTATAGGACCGTACGGGATTACTGTGGGAAAAATCCTTCGTTTAGGTCGGCACATTCGGGTCGAAAGCATTCGAGGAATACGAAGAACCAGCCCAGGATACCGTCAATTCATCTCCTATGGTCACACTGCTCGAAGATGACGCCGAGGATATCTACGACGATGCGGAGGATGGTGATGAAATCGTGATCGTGTCAGGCGAAGAGGAGACTTTTGTCGCAGCAGCCAAGAAGAGGGCCACGATTGTTGAGATCGACGAGGAAGAGGAAATCAACATAGTGGCCGCGCCCAAAGAAGAGACGGTCAAGGTTCTCGAAATCACAGATGCCGAGCAGGCCGTCATCGAGCTTCCTCTGGACAGTGATGATGACGATGAGCAAACGGTAAAATTTCCGATTCTGTTGCATTAACGGGGGGAAGATGCTTTTTTTCGCTTTCCGATTTTTTTCGGGTCTCGCAGTATCGGGGAGGGGCAACGTTTTTCTTAGGCTCGCACGCAAAAACTTCACAAATTTTGTTTAAAACCAAAAACACCTTTTTGAAATTTTTTAGTGATTTTTGCTAGTTGATATATAGTTTATTTTATTAAAAACAATATTAAAGTACGGATGACCTTTTTATGTTGCTAGTATTATTAATGCTCACCTCCCTAGTAGTAACAATTTTTTTCAGGACATCAGCAAAATGATCGAGAAGGTGTTGGCCGTGGACGAAGCCGAGGAGATAGAAACAAACGAAAAAGAACTGGTATTCGTGTTCTCCGAATAATTTTACTGTCTTAGAAATTGATGCTCCCGAGCGAAGTGCCATTCAAGGGCGTCAGTCTGCCATTCGAGCCGTATGTCAACGAATCCAAGGAAGTGGTGGGCATTTGATGGTGGCACTGTGTTCAGTTATTATCTTTTAGAAACCAGACGACCCGAATCTGGCCTGTGACACGTTTGGTCGACTGGTGGAGAAGAAGTACAGTCGTCGGCATTGGTACGCGAAAAATGGCGGGGATTTCGGCGCCAACTTCATGGTGATGTCGGGCGAGCGTCTGGACAATGGTGCCCGTGCCTCGCCTCGGCCGACCTCGAACACAAACTCTGATTCGCTATACGGGAAGGTAAAGTCCTCGGTGCTGGTCTGTTAGCGTGGGAGGCTAGCTTTTCCTACGTTACCGTAGGCCTTCGTTTACCGAAAAACCGTTTACTAGCATTTTTACGCTCTTTTCCGTACAAAAACTGTATGAAGAATTATTAGAATTTTCAAAAAAAAAATTGATTTCTAAGCAAAAATTTCGAACATTTTTACTTTTGAAACCTGTTTTTCTAACTTTTTAGTAAACGGAAACACCTGAAAAACTATAAAAATTTTCATATTTGAAGACTACGTTGACTTAGGTAATTTGCTGCGCCGCCCCCCCCGATAATGCACCAGAACCAACCCCTGCCTACTTAATATTATATCTTTTAAGTGGGCAGCCGCCGACTCGGGCAAGGGCATCAAGGGGCCGAAACTAAATGGCGACTGGATGTACGGCCGAGCACCGCCCAGCCGATCAACAGGACTACTTCTTGAGGTAATAGCAACTTTGGCAGCTTCCAAAGCATTATAATTTAGTGGGGCGCCGAGCGCTTGGACACCTTGGAGACGTTGGACATCCAGAAGAACATCTGCGGCGCCCTCAACTCGCGCCTGACGATGAGCTGGATGATCGGCGTCGATGAGGGCGTGGTATTTGGTTAATTATGAGATTTTTATGGTGTTTAGGTGACCGGCTGCCCGCTGGATCGTGCCTCGATGGATTTGTTTGCCAATGTTTGTCTTTTTCAATTTTTATTAATTTTGTCTGTTTAGGCGTTCAGCCATTCCGTAACCCGCGAATTTGTGCCCGATCTCGATCCGAATCTTCTCTCGCTCGAGTGAGTTTAGCCGCTTGATTTTGATCTAACTTTTTCTTTGCAGTTTCCATCTCCTGGCCGATGACGAACAGCTGGCCTCTGAAGGCGGGCCATGTCGCTACGTCATCGAGATTGGCGTCACGGCTAAATCGAATACGGTATTTGCGGTGCCGTGTCTCTATTCGTTTTTCAGGTCTATCAACTCTCCTCAGGCCGTGTATTTACCTTCCGTGAGGGCGTCCTACAGTGTGAAAACCTCGAGCGCGTACGCTTTGTTGATGTCGAAAAACGAACGCTTTTAGGTGCGACGCATCTACAATGCCGCCGCGTCGTCAAACGCCGGAAAATCTTACAGGTACATTTTAAAATTATCGACCTCTAAATTGTGATTTTCAGTCTTGCTCTTCTACTGGCTGGTGGCGCGTTCGTGCTAGGAGCGGTGATCGCGCGTCGGATGTTGCTCAACAATTGATAATTTTTTGTGTTATTGTTAGTCTTAAATGGGCGTGGCCCCCAATTTTAATTGTTCTCACCAATAAATCTTTGTTCGCTAACTTTATTCTCTCTAAACGAATATACACACACGCGGCAAGGCACTACCACAACAGTTTGACATCGAACACTTCGCGCTGCTTGTGCCGGGGATGTTCATTGCACTCGACGTGGAGTCGCCCCTCGACGCGCAGGAAATAGCAGTGACGGCAGCGGAGCTTCAGCCTCGTTTTGACCTAAAATGAACCTTATTGTCACGCTATTATGGTCAAAGTGGCATTTTGATACGTGAATTTTTGGCTGATTACGCAAGTGTTAGTAACAATTGTGAAAACTTCTTAGTTCAAGAAGTTAAAACCGCATTTTGCGCTCAAAATTGCCGAAAATTTCGGACTTTGAAATCTTCTAAAAAAATCGAGCTTCTTCTCAAACGCGTGGCTTTGAATTCGTAAAAATTCAAAACCGTAACTGTTAGGTCGTTTAGTAATTCATAAACCTTGAGCAAGGTGGAGCTCACCCGAATGAGCAGATTTCCTACCCCAAGAAATTTTCTACTTTCCGAAAAAATGTTTCACTTTTGGGAAGGAGTTCAAGCCGATAATTTGCGGCAATTGGGCGTGCTAGTTCGCAAGCAGTTAGCCAGCGTCGCTCCGAAATTTTTGAAAACGTGCGAATCATCGAAAAATTCTACACAAACTGCGCTACATAGCAAAGTGGGTTTTGTACAAAAGAGCGCAATGCTAAAACACACCTTGAAATTGGCGACAGGCTCGTGAAGTGGCGTGTGCTGGATGCCGAGTATTCGCCGTGACAGCTCCATTCCGCCTCGGGCCACGATTCGCGTCAAATACCCGCTCATTACTGAAAAACAAGGATATTTCATTAAATAGCTCCCGGTAATTTTTTAGAAAATGAGTTCCGTGGAAAATGCTGACATTTCATAATGTCGAAATTGATATAAGCGAATTTCACGGAAAAAAACCCGAATCCTAGCAAAAAGAAATTTTGGCATCATGAAGTTCGAAATTATATAATAATAATAATTTATTTCTCGCACTTAGGTTTACAAGTAAACACTTATTAGTGGAGGTAAGGTTGGAAGTTTGTTGAAGAAAAAGAAAAAAAGGGGGGGGGGGCGAATATAAGCGAATTTCACGGAAAAAAACCCGAATCCTAGCAAAAAGAAATTTTGGCATCATGAAGTTCGAAATTATATAACTTCGAAATCCGAAACAATAATCGATAAGCTCCGGCCAAAAACCGAGATTCCTCAAAACAAAGCCATTAACAGGTTCAGCAATTTATTAGACACAAATTAGACAAGAAAAAGTGAGCGGTACCGGTATAAATGGGGAGGCAATGAGGATCGAAGTATTGAGAGCAATAACAGCAACAAAAACATTAACAACAGGAAAAATTGTACAAATTTTGAGCATACTCAAAAGTACCTCGCTTTTTTTCTATAACAATCAAAGACCAATAAGAAATCTCTATCAATCGCAATCTGATGATGCCTCGGTTTTTCTCTTCTTGGGAGCTGGAGAAGATTCAGCTTTGGCCTCAGCATAGTCCAAGCCGTCAGCGATCAATTCCCGATATTCGTCCGGCAATTTTCCCTGGAAAAATTCATTTCAAAAAAGTTATTTCTCTTCTTTCTAAAAACTCGTTTATTCGTAGTTTTAAATAAAAATTGTGGGTTTTGTCGTGCAAAAAAACTAGCTACTAAAAAAACAACTTAAAAAAAAATTCAGAAACCCCAGGATATTCCAAAACACCTGCAATTGAAAAGTAAAAAATTACCTGGCACCACTCCTCCTCCACATCGCTGCAATCAGACTGGTCGAGTAGTCGGGCAACCTGCTTCATGTGTTCCTGAAAAAGGTTCGTTCCCAGACAGCTAAAAGTATGAAAACGGCCGCCCGAATTTTTTAGCTCTACCCCCCCCACGATAAGAGCCAAGGACCAGTAGTGCCCAGAAATTCACCTTTTTGCTTAGATGCTTCCGACCGTCACTGAAAAGGGCGCGCACCTCGGGATCGGTCACCTGAAAGACGTGATTAAAAAGAAGTCAGTCAAATGTCGGTCCTTCGAAATTTGCTAATTTCCGACCCAACACCGTAGCGCGTGGGTTGCCTGGGACTGGACTGTTAGCGGGCCCTTCAGCAAAATTCTCAGCGTTTCATAGGGTTTTCAATAATTTTTGGTCGCTAAAATGTAATAAAAACCAGCGCTGACCCCCCCGCTACGCGGGGCTTCAGCGCTGGCCCCCCCGCATCCCACAATTTGAATTTGGAATTTGCATGCAAAATTTGGCTGAATTCCCGGTCGGTCGGACGGCGGGCGTACGGACATTAGAAATTTATATATAGTAGATAGCTCCGGAAATCTCAAAATTTTTGAAATTTTTGACGGAAAATCAAAAAAATTTTCAAATACTAAAAGAAAAGTTGATTTGTGAGCTTTATAAAATTAAAAAAACTACTTTATCGTTGGAACCTCACGGGGTGATAGGCGAAATTTAGGCCCTTTTGGCCAGCCGTCCAGTGCCACCGACACAAATCAGCTTACACGTTTCCGGAGTCGTTTCGGCGGCATCCAGCTGGGATCGACCTTCTTGATGATGTATTTGACCTGTAGAAAACGAATTTCGTTAGAACAACCAAAATTCGTACCCCCTCCGTAACTAGCGTCGTCATGGCCAGCCGTTTCTCGTGGCCAGAGACGATACAGGCTCGGATCATCGTCTTCATCACATCTAATACAAACAAAAAAAATAAATAAGTAACAACAGGCAAAGCTCACCTTTTGCCAAGTAGGCGACCGTAACGTGCCTCCAGAGATATTGAACAGCTCTAAGATAGTAGTGGCGGATCTAGAAAATAAACATTTTTCTAAAGCCTAGAAAAGGCTCAAGTATCATGATTAAAAACAATTATTTTAACGCAATTCTTGGTAAATTTCAGCTATGTTTCAAGCGGATAAACCACTTCCTTAGGCCATAGAAAACGTCCAAAATTCAAAATTTTCGTCGAAAATGGATATTTTTTGTTTAACAGATTTTTATCTGTAATTTTAATCGTCTGCTTGGCAAACTTCAGCCATAGTTTCTGCAGGAAATCTGGTTAGGAAACCGTAAAACCTGCCTAAAATATAAAACCATGGTCGAAAATCGATATTTCGTAACCTTAAATAACAAAATGTCTAAAGTTTTACCTATGGAAAAAGTTTTAAATCTTATAAATCCCTTACTATATCAGAAAAATTGAATAAGTAAGAATAACGTTCTTGTCAACAAGAAAGCCGTAAAAACGTTTTTGTAAAAGTTCGGAAATTTTAAATTTTCGAAACTCACAACAAATGAAATTATAATGTTTTTTTATTTTCTACAATTTTCATACCATCCGATAAAAATCAATATAAATAGGAAGTTCTCCAAAAACGAACCGTTTTATAGACTCGATGGATAAAAGGGCGCACAGAGCATCGACTGCGAAGCTCCACCTCGGGCAGCCCCGCTGCGAGCCGTCTAAAATTACGGTTTCAGAATAGAAAATCCAAAAAACCTTCGATCAAATCCCGCAATCGTTGGCCCGTCACGGCTGCGGCCAAACGCCGGCATGTATCGACATTTATCGGGGAGCATCTGCATGGCGATCGAAATGTATTGCGCCAAATCCATCAGGGTCATGCCCATCCTCTTGCGGACGGCCAGGGGCAGCTTCTGAGCGGCCGTGGCCTCACGGTATGCTGTTTCTATGTCTTGGCCACCGGCGACACGCTGTTGAAGATCTTCGCACAACCATTGCCTGAAAAAAAAAGCGGAATTAAACGCCGAAATTAACTATATTGGACTGTTGGCGGGGGCGGGATTTTTAAGGCTTAATTTTTTCCCAGTTATCCCGGCGCTATAACGAATAATTATCCCGGCGCTATCCTACTATATATAAAAAAAAATTGTGTCTGTGTGTGTGTGGACACTTTGCATCCACTTCCGTCTGTCTGTCCGGAGGATATCTCAAGAAGGGACGGGTATTAGGCTACGTATGATACGTCATTAAGTGCGTAATGGTCTAGGGATGACTGCACACATATCAGATTTTTAAAAATTAGCCATTTTCGCTATTAAATTTAGGTTTTTGTAAAAAGCTCTTTATTAGGAAGAATTAGCATAGACCGGATGTGGGCGGTCGCCTATATAAAGAGGCAGAAAGGGTTGTTTTTCATTTTTTTTTGTCTTCTGAATGGAGGACAATTATGCAAAGGGCAGAATAGTATGGGGTCCGAGACGGGGCCAGGGTTGAAAAGTCGCGAAGCGGCTTTTCAACCCTGGTAACGAATAATAAAGATTTTTTCACAGCTTTTAGATATCAAAAAGCTGATAAGTATTCCAAAATGTTTGAATTTTTGGTCAGAAATTTATGAAAAATGAAAAAGGTTAAAGGTTAACCATTTTTTAGAATTTTATAGCGTTTTTAAGATATAAAAAACTCATCACAAATTTTTGACAAAGAGAGCTGACCTTTTTGTCAAAAATGCATGAAAAATGACCAAAAAAGGTAAAAATCTCCAAAATTTGCTAACTATTTTTAAGGTTTTCTAGTAATCAACCACTACCACCCCCGCTAAGAGTACAGTACCAAATAAACAACGGATTAAAATTAAATTAAACGCCAAAAAAGCGCTCACCATGCCTTGCGGACGACATATTCGGGTCGCTGGACTTGGACGGCTAGCCGTGCCCAATCCTGTAACGGAAATATCGGTATTGGTATATTTGCGGGGGGGCGGGGGGTAACTTTTTTCAGCCTATGCCTCTATACACTTTTTAACCATTAAAAAATCACAAGTTTTTGTTATTTCGCCCTAGAGTGTTTCTTTTTGGTCCAAATTTCGAATTTTTCAAACACTTTGTCATGTTTTTTAAAACCTTACTACGGAAAATATATCGCAATTCACCACGGATAAAAACAATAGAAGACAATTTTTGTTTATTTTGGGGCATCCTGAAGACATTAAGATAGTCAGGCCCCACACAACGTACCGGATTGTACTTGCGGCCTATAAAAATCTTTTTGAGCTTCTTCCTGAACGAGCAGTCGTACCATTCATTCGCAATATTGATATCATCTAAAAGCAATTTTCACTAGATTCGCAAAAATAAATACCGATTGCCCGTTGCGTCAGCTTCCCCCACTGAAATTTCGTGAAGCGGCTTCGATTGCCACGGAGTGAATTCCATCGGTTCCACAGGACGATTTGCGGTCGCTTTAGCTGACGCGACATTTCGGCCCAGTTGCCTAGAGCTCAAAATTAGCTCAACATAAAAACGAATCCCTCACGTCCACCCGCATCCAAGAGCTCCAAGAACCGTAGATCATCTTCGTAGGTGAAGTTGGACTCACTAACATTGGTTTTGAGTCAAAAGACGGCGGCTTTCGCAGTATCGGGGGGAGGGCACATTTTTGAAATATAAATAGTGGTAGCGTTTCTAAACTCGTTTTTATATTCTTAAACGTCAAAACGTTACAAAATTTTATTAAAAATACAAAAATCTCGATTTTTCACCCAAAGATGGTAGTTTTTTCGCCAAAATTTCGACTTTTTGAAAATTTTTTGATAGTTTTTAGATAGATTTTCGGCTTGAAATATAGTTAAAAGGCCGTCCGCCAGTCACTCGAACTGTTCCCATTATGGCTTGGCACAGTTTTTTTCGACCCTGTTTTTATGATGCCATCTGAAAGAGCGTTGCCGAATTAGTAGGGTGGCATAGTTTTGAAAGTTTAAAAAGTTGATTTTTGGGGTTTAAAGGGCCGTTAAAGTTGCCGACATCGAAAACCTATCTCGAAAATCACTGGACCAAATTTGCTGAAAACTTGTCACAATACCTAATTTGGGGCGGGGATCATTTCTTTAATACATTTCAAAACCTGAAAATGGCCGGAACATAGGAATATCGCGTACTAAAAACAGTTTTTTAAGATTTTCTACTTAATGGGAAATCGGCGGCATCCTGAAAATAGCATAGAAAGATGCGCCAATTTTTTCTACGTCGAATGATTTGTCTTTTAGGATGCCGCCGTTTTCCCATCATCTAGAAAAGTCGTGATCTCTGGAATCAACAAAAGTGGCCTTAGAAGATCGGGGGCTGCGAATGAAAAATATAAAGGATTGCGGAAAACATATAGAGATCAATGCCACCCATTATCAAAAAAGAGCAAAATTAAATTCTTCATCTACGCGAAGTTGAGTACGGAGGGGAATCGAACCCGCGATGGTCCGCCTGGGGGGCTCTGGGGGACAGAGGCTAGAGGGCGCCGCCACCTCCCAGGCGAACGACCCGAGTTCAATCCCAGCCCCCTTTTAGAAACCGAATTTATTTTTGCTCTTTTTTGAAATTGACTTGGTTACGCTTCTAGAAGCAAGTGGGTGACTTCCCGTTTGAAAACCCGGATACTTTTCTTTTTATCATCAAGAAAATGCCGTTTTTACAGATGATGGGAAAACGGCGGCATCCTAAAAGACACATCATTCGACGTAGAAAAAGTTGGCGCATCTTTTTATGCTATTTTCAGGATGCCGCCGATTTCCCATTAATTAGAAAATCTTAAAAAACTGTTTTTAGTATGCGAGATTCCTATGTTCCGGCCATTTTCAGGTTTCGAAATGTATTAAAGAAATGATCTCCATTCCAAATTAGGTATTGTCACAAATTTTCAGCAAATTTGGTCCAGTAATTTTCGAGATAGGTTTTCGATGTCGGCAACTTTAACGGCCCTTTAAACCCCAAAAATCAACTTTTTAAACTTTCAAAACTATGCCACCCTACTAATTCGAAAAACCCTCTTTCAGATGGCATCATATAAACAGGGTCGAAAAAAACTGTGCCAAGCCTATTTCGGTCCTCCCGCAAACGGCCTTTTAATGCTATTAAAAAATGGTAAAATAATAAGCATGGAAAAAAATTTGCTCCCCCCGATAATGGGAAAGAACCAAAAGGCGAACAAATAGATACCTAAACGCCTCGCGGAGCCGCCCCTTTTCACAGTCCCATCCGTTCTCGTCGAACAATTGCTGCATTCGATAGAAGACTTGACGTGCGCTCCGGCAAATCAGACCTCGGCCTAAAATTTTGCCTGTTCTTTGGAGCAGAAAATACATTGGTGATGTCGCAAGAAAGGGGCCTAACTTTTTTTCTTAGAATCCAATTTTTCAAACAGCGGAACTGTTTCGAAACTAGTTTTTACCATCCCTAAGCGTGAAAACTTCACCAATTTTTATAAAAAAAAAACAAGAAATATCGTTTTCGGCCCTCACGCTGATTTTTTTCGAAAACTTTGAAGTACCTAATAACTTTTTTTAAGTCTTTGAGATTGTATTTCTGGTTGAAACATGGTTATATATTCACTGAAAACAAAAGAACAGTTTCTATTAAGTTACTAGACACTTCTAGACTCATGCTAAAAATTTCGGTCCCCCACGATGCGAAAGAACCCCATTAAATAAATATGTAAATCAAACGCACACATTGTTGGCCAGAAGTCCGTGCCGAACGTGACCGCGCGGTTCCGACTTCGACCCCCCTCATTCTTCTGCCGGCCTCCGACGTAATCTCTAAAACAAAAAAGATCAAACGAAATAACGCCGAGTCTTACAGTGGCCTGCTGTAATCCAGATCCCATTTCCGGGCGACTCGCGCCCAATTTTTGTAGACACGCCCATCCTCTTCGGGGGTGAAACGGTAGAATTTGTACATGATTCCTGAAATCTGAATTTCTTAGGTCCAGGAATGACTACCATTTTCGGCGAGCCGTTGCACTTGCGCCTTGCACACGTGACTGAGGGTGCAGTGGTGGAACGGATATCTGCCGCCAGCATATTCGGCCAAGATACCTGCAAAATGCTGAAGCTCAAGCAATCCCCGAGGTGCTGCTCACCTTCCGATTTCCGAAAGACTTCTGGGGGCAATTTAACGCGATTTGGCCTTGGTGCTCGTTTCGAGGGCTCTCCCGTCATTTGCACTGCATAAACTATAGTGATAGGCGCGGTACCGGACTGCTAGCGGGGGGGGCAAATTTTTCCCATCCAATCCCAATAAAAAACTACTAAAAATAAAACAAACGGTTAGTTGTAGGTCGAAAAAATTTAGTGCTAACGCCCTCCCCCCGCGCTAACAGTCCAGTACCATAATAACCACGATTTGAAAGGCACGATGGATACAGTCGGTGAAAACCGCGGTAAATAAATAGCTATTCTATACTTCAATCAGTAGACAACCGTTTATTGTGAAAACCCGAAAAAAAGAGATCACGAGAGCTGCCGCGTCCGAATTGCCCGAAGGCCCGAAAGTGCCATGGCGGTGAAGATGAACAGGGAGACACGCGAAGAATCTAAAAAAAGTAACGCTGGCTCAAAGCTAGTTACCTTCGCCACAATTCCCAGACGCCGCAGTGAATGGTATCCGGGGGAAGGCGAAAATGTACGAAACTGGGAAGAAGATTTCTGACGGTAGGCAGGCGAAGGTCAGCGACGCGGTCAGCCTAAAAATAAACATTTTTTTTCATAAGGCTGATACGCGAATCATGATACTTTCTTCGGGTTCTTTCGCATTATCGGGGGTGACAAACTTTTTTCTCCCGGTAATTTTTCAGTTATAAATAGTAAAGTCTTTCTGAACTGTTTTTGACTATTCACACGTCAAAACTTCACAAATTCTTGTTGAAAATTACAAAAATATCGATTTTTCGGCTAAAAAATGGCAATTTTCTTCAATATGGTTTTTCTAGTTTAAATATATTTATGACTACTAAAAACACGAATATTTATACCTTCTAGTAAGTTACTAGGCATTTCTAGACTTATGCAAAAACTTTCACCCCCCCGATAATGCGAGGAAGCCGCGTTAAAATGAAAATGAATACAAAGTTACTTACCACATTAAAATGAAAGCCGCGATATTCACGATGGCTTTCGACATCATATCGATCTTCATTTTGTCGGGCATCTTTCCTTCGACACGAGTTTCTAGAAAAAGCCTATTCAACGGTCGCTCAATAAAACCAACTCTCAGCCGTGTATTCCTCTTCAGCCTTGTTCACCTCGCGCTCCTTCCTGATGAACTTTGCGTAGTCGCCGGTTGGCGAGATTTCAGAAAATTCTTTCTAAAACGATTTTACGATCATATCTCCAAGATTACCTTTAATCTGGCCAGCTCCTTGCCTTTTTCGCGCAATTCGGGAGTTTGATGCCGGGCTATCAAGCGGGCTTTTATCTGAAAGGTGGGTCAAAACCATAGCACAAACTTACTATCGTTGCCAAGAAGGTGCCCATGATCTCTTGAAAGACATAGAGGTAGGCAGCGAGGAGGCAGAGAAAAACCTAGAAAAAAGAGTGGCTTTAGAAACGGGGCTTACTTGAATTCCCAGGAAAATCCATGATAAAACGACGTCAGAAGTCAACGTTTGCTCGAGGGGTTCCATGGTGACCTCCATCTGAAAAGAATAAAATTGAATAGAATAGAATAGAATCGAATTATATGTAACAGATAAAAAAGAATTAAAAGGGGAGAAATCCTGGTATAGAGTCAAAAATACGGGTGAAAATGGAAGGTCTATCTTCTTAGAGTTCAAATATTTAGCTATTTTTATAGATAAAAGTCATTCATTAAATTTATATAAGTGAAATTTCATGCAATTTTTATTTCATTTCAACAAAAAAGTGTTTCACATTATTTTCAAGTCGTAACACAAAGGCTACACATGACTCCTATCGACGTCGCTTGTTGCAGAAAAGTCGCCCCACTATTCGTCGCCACTCCATTTTTCGCCGAAAAGTATCAAAAACTTTCGGAAACTTTTGTTACTAATCTAAATCTTTATCAATTTACTTTTATCCTCTTCTTGAATCTTATTTCTGTCGCTTTGCCTGCAAAACACTGCCCCGCACTTCATCTTACGATTATTGATCGACTCTTCGCTTTCTCTCAATTTTGGCCATCTGTCTTTATCAGTTATACCTCTTTTTGCAGGTAATATGTTCCGCCGCGCCGCCTCCACCTTCGGCAAGGTTGCCACCGGTCTGGCTGGAGCCCAGCTGGCCGCCACGGCCGCCGTTGCCCTCTCCGACAAGGAGCTCGGCAAGAAGCCCGAGTGGTGAGTGAATTTTCTTTTTTTGGAGATCAGTTCGTTTCTCTGCACAAAATAGTCGATTTCGCGTCTATCGTGACAAACAAAATGAAGAGAAACCGGAAGGCCTGATGAAAATTTTCAGTTTTTTATTTTTAAACTGGTTATTGATTTAAACTGACAATATAAACTGTTTTTCAGGTACCAGAACGCCGTGCACTCGTTGGAGAACTCCCTGAAGCGTCTGTCGAAGAAGGGCTTCATCGAGAGCGAGTCGTGCCTAAACGAGGCCCAGGATGCCCTTGGCCGGTAATCAAGCGTATTTTATCATTCACCATCTGTTTTAGTGTGTCCGACATCCACAACTGCGAGATCCAGTGGCGTTTGGCTCGCGTCTACGCCGAGAAGGCCCAGCTGTCCAAGTGCCCCAAGGAGAAGATTCATCTCCTCCACGACGTAGGGAATTCTCCTCGGAAGTACTCTTCTTTTTAGGCAAAGACTGCTGCCAAGCGTGCCCTCGCCGTCGAGCCAGCCCGTGGATCTGCAGGAGCCCACAAATGGTGCGTTTATTGGCTCGGCAAGAAGTAGAAGTAGCTGATGCAGAAAATTTTCGCCTTTCTTTGGCATGACAATTCTTCCCGTTTTAGGTACGCCATCACCGTTATCCGACTTGCCGAGTTGGAGCCCAAGACCACTGACCTGGGGGATGCCATCAAGCACCTCGAACAGGCCGCCCAGAAGGACAGCTCTGACCCCTACATCCTCACTCTCCTTGGTGAGTTTGCGCGGTGTCGCTGTGTGCCTTTTTCTGGTTTGACAGTCTCTGACCAACTGCTTTTCCAGGCATCCAGCAGTACCAACGCAAGGACTACAAGGAAGCCCTGGACAACTTCAAGAAGGCCGAATCTATCAAGGTAATTCGAAGAATTTTGCCTCAAATCTTTGTTTTTAGCAAGGATTCTCCGCCAACAACAAGTACTACATCGGAGCTGCGCTAAAGGCCCTGGGAAAGAAGGTATAATCATTTTCCTTGCTCACTAAATATTCCGTATTTTAGGAAGAGGCAATCAAGGTCCTGAAGGAGGTGCTCGAGGCCGTGCCCCATGGTGAATTCGACGGAAAGGTAATAGTTATTTGTTGGCTATTTTTACCAATCTACTCCTTTAGTCGAAGTTCTTGGCGAAGGGTGCCCTGGCGCAGCTCGGACTCAAGCCCGAAGAGTACGAAGTCGGAGAATTTTAGAAAGGTCGCCGCCCATTCCCGGTATACTAGCTTACCTTGTAGTGTTCATTTATTTGTATTTATTAGTCTGAATTTCTCTGGCTCACCCATCTTTAATCGTCTGGTATTTTGTGTTTTTGCCCCCACACGCCCATCCCTTTTCACCCTTCACCCACTGTGGGATTCTCGCTGTTTGTAAGCTAAAAAAAATGTTCTAATGAAGGTGTTTCTACAATGCGTCGCATGTTAAATTGGTTTATCTTATTCATTTTCTTCGTTTCCCGTTTGCATAGGCGACGGCGCCAAAGTTGCGGACCATGCCGCAGAAGTTGCGCCCGTGTGCCTGAAGAGATGTATGTTGATGGTGGTGCGCAACTACCTGGCATTGCATATTCACGTTGCCCGCCTGTTGGATGCAATCACAAAAGATGTCATCGCATCTGGCTCGACCGCCTTTTGCTGCGTAGCATCTGTCGTGTGCCGAGCAGCAATTATTGAAGGCTCCTGAAAAGGTTTGGCATAGATGAAGTTTTCATGTGCCGTGTGGGCTGTCCAGTTTTTTTTGAAATATAGGTTTAGCGAAGCGCTCTACGGATCGTTCTTTTCAATTCGGCCTGAAATGAAGACCGCACCACTGCCCACCTAACCTGGCCGGGCAGTCGACCTTGACGACCATCTCGGCCAGCGCGTTCTGCACCGGATCCGAGCCGCAGTCGAACGCTTGCGTGAAACGGAGGCAAAGCACGAGCAGCAGCGTCAACAACCGGCTCTGCGACATGCACGGCACTTTGTAGATAGCTGCAAGTATAGATTTACTTCATGAAATGGATTAGATCTTTAGGAAAAGAATTTTCGGCTTAAATTTTCGTACTAACAGTAGATGTCAAAAAGGGAAAATAGAAGGATACGGCAGCGTAGTGCGGGCGGATGTGTGGTGGAAGGGAAATGACTGGAGGGCATTGGTCCGGGGCGAACCAGCCCTGATCCAGATTCTCCCCTCACTGAAACGACTTGGCAGATATCGTGTGGGTGATCTGCCGATCGACACGGGCAATGAAGGAGAAGCTGCCCCCAACCGCCAGACGACACCCGCCATTTTTTGGCAACACCAAATCGTGGGAACTTAGGATGCCTGCAATGGATTTGAGTGGACAAAGGATGCGAATTAAAGCCGATAGGATAGCGGGCACGGGGTTTTGGTACTGGACTGCTAGCAGGGGGAACTAATTTTTGTTTTTTCCGCCTATAGCACAAAAAAAATCGTGAATCTTAAATAAAGTTTTGAGTAGTTTTTGACTGCTAGAAAGTTGCAAAAATATTGTAAACACTTTGGTCAATTTGGTTGGCGATCTTTTTGCACAAATTTTGGAGCTATTGATGTTGGGGGCATCTTTTTTTTTTGAGGTTTTTTCCGGTCTAAGCTTGTCTCCACGTCTAAGCTAACCAAGCCAAGCCCAGCCTAAGCGCAACTTAAGCCAAGCCTAGGCTTAAGCCCAATCCTAAGCTAAGTCTAGAACAAGCCTAAGCTAGGGCTGGGCCAAGCATAAGCCAGGCCGAGAGTAAGCCTAGACTAAGCCTAAGCTAAGCCAAAACCAAGCCTAAGTTAAGCCTAAGCCTAAGCCTAAGCCAAAACCTATGCCCAAGCTAAGTATAAGCCAAGCGTACGCAAAGTTAAAGCTAAGCCTAGGCCTAAGACTGGGAGCCAAAAAAAAGATGCCCCCCAACATCAATAGCTCCCAAATTTTGGTCTTTTTGCTCATTTTCGTCGGAATCAAGGAAAATATATGCATCCTGCATACAAGCAAGGTTTACTGGGGAAATCTTTTAACATATTTTGGTCTTTTTGCTCGTTTTTCATCGAAGATTCATAAAAAAATAGACGCCCCGGGCAGGCAAACCAGGTTTGTTGTGGAAATTCTGCCCCAAAGTGGCCAAGGAATTCTAATTATTGAGAAGGTTCAGGGCGGAACAACCTAGAGACAAAATGCGAGTCGCTGTGCCTGTCAGATAGGCCAGGGGTGTGCAAATAGAATGTGTACGCCCAAGACAATTCATCCATTCATTGACTGACTGATTGTTTGCTTGTTTGTTTGTGTGTTTGTCCGTATGAATTGACAGGCAGGCTGGCAGGGCACACGCAAAAACGGGTTTAGTTTTTGAATTGTGACACGAAATTAACGCCTCGTATAAATTACAGTAATGATATTTAAAAAGTAGAATCGTATTTGGCACCAGGCCAACAACAGTGGTCTGTTAACGCCAAAAAAAACAGACCGTACACAGCGTTTATGTGCTCGCCAATAGGGGCATTTCCAAAAACGCGCGGGAATAACCGGATCCACGCGCGAATCCCGAACCCCGCGCTCCACTCGATTCCGCGTGAATGGCCAGCGCAGCGCTTTAGCCCCGCGAAACTGCGTTCCGGCAAAGTTCCACAAACGGTCACTGCTCACCTGCTTCTATTAAAGGGATGCCGACGGCATAGTCAATCGGTTACGCGCTGGAAAGAAATTGTCTCTGCGCCTCTCCCCAGGGCGCTCTCTCTGCCCTGTTGGCTACTTGCCAATTTGTTGATGGGGGATCGACACATGCCGTCGGCAGCCCTTTAAGCGTCTTAGAAATTTCTGGGGCTTTTTTCGGTATTGGGCTGTTAGCAGGGGGAAGACTACTTTTTTCCGCCTATACCTGCTTGTCAATAAAAAGGTGCATTTTATAATGTTTTTTTTTGTAGTTTCTGGTTGCTTGAAATTTACAAAAATACTCTACACATTGAAAATTCAAAAATTTTTACCTTTTTGGGTCCTTCTTCATCCATTTTTTATTAAGATCTTTTAATCAACTACCTTTGAATTTTTTTTGAGCTATTTATATAAAAAAACCGTGTAAAATTCTATGAAAAACGTCAATATTTTGTTATAGAAGCTTCCTTACAGGGTAAAATTAGCCCCCTGCTAACAGAACAGTACCACGCCAAGATGAAAAAGTCTCTCGATTCATTTCGGGGGATCGTAGCCCATTGAAAATTTTGAAAAATGGTAAGAATTGCGAAAGTGTGCTTTATGACCCGTGACAGGGATACAGTGTAAACGGCATTAGTGCAAGAAAGAATTGAAGCGCCACAAACACTCACAAAAGAAAAGCACGGTGTGGATTTGAAAAATAAAAGGCATGCTCGCAAATGAGAAATCAGTCAGGGGGTATCACAGCGAGTGGCAAGGCACAAAACAATAAGGGACCCGCTTGAAAAAGATGAATTCCTTCTGTCTGGCCGACTATCCGATTCGGTGGCACTGATGGCAGCGATCGTGGACGGCACACGGGATGCAGAGGAGGAACAGCAGACCGAACGGGAACGTGCACAACATCAGGATGATCAGCAGCACCACGCAACAAGTGTCCGACTCGCGCACGATCTGAAAAATGGGCCGGTACAATAGGAATTCTAGACACATCGCCCAATTTCTTCCAAAATTGTTTCGCCTACAATCCAGATTTTATGTATAATAAAAATCGACAAAATTGCAGAATTCTTCAATGTTGGAAAATATGAAACACTGTTTACTGTTTCCGAAGACATCTTTCACATTTTTAGCCCGATCCGCAGATCGAAAAGTGCATAATCGGCTATCAGACGTTATTTTTATGGTTATACATGGGATCGGAATCGATAATCGCTGCGGAACGAATTTTAAAACAATTTTCGCGGGGGGCGCGGTAGCCAGCTCTTTCATATAATCTACTGGCGGTCCAATAATGAAGTATAAACTGTTTTCCTAGCTTTCCACGCATTTGTAAGCAGTAAAACGCTACAAAGCCTAAATATTTTTGCGATAAAGCCGTATAAAACCAACCACTCCGTTGGGACAGTAGGCGCACCGAGGGACGCCCTGTCCCTGCCCGACGACTTGAACAACGACGGGCGGTTGAACAGGGCCAGCCGGAGGCGGAGGAGGGCCGCCGCTTTGCTGCTGGTAACCTGAATACGGAATAAAATGTCGACCGAAACCGAGCTCACCTCCACTGTAGATAAGATGCGGGAGCGGGGCATTTTGAGTGGTGTACGAGGGTGCAGGATACGCGGAGGGCTGTTGTGTCTGGAAGGGTAAGAATTTCAAAGGAAAAAACCAGGCTACCTGCCGAAGATGGCATTTTTTTTCGGAATCCAATTCATACGCGGTAGTTTGGTGTGCTGATTTCGAAAAACACTACCGCACATCGGCAACACTGGCCAAGTTCAATTTTGAAATTGGTTTAATTTGGCGGGTTTCATTGCCAATTTTTTTCTATATCTCGCCGGAGGCCAACACCAAATCTTTGATTGGTTTTACAGTTTACACAGCTTTTTATGATAAAAACATCATAAAATAGACAAAAAACTTTCCTTTTCGAATTCCGTCGGAAATTACCAAACTTCACTTGTTATAAAATTTCTATAAACGTTTTCATAATTTTTAATTATCAGAAGCTATTAGAACTCAGTTAAAACATCACACCTTTCCACTAGGCAGATATACGCTAAACAAATCAGAGTAGACTACCACCTTCGGCTAAAATTAAGTCCTACTTGTAATCGGAAATTTTAGCCCAGTGTTTGGGCTAAAGTTTCTGATGATACGTACAGAATCCGAAATAGCACCAAAAACGACGTCAAACCAGCACAAGCGAAACAACTCAACCCGCGCAAGCAGTGCAAAAATATACCGGATACGGCGGCTTGTCCTGTGCGCGACTCGATTGTTGCTGTGGTTGATAATTGGGCACCGTCGGGTAGTTGTGGGCAGCCTTAAAAAAAATTTTCTGAAGGCAAATAAAATTCCTTACACTATAAGCGGGTGGCGGCTCGTGATACTGTGGCGCGGGTGGGTAGCCGGGCTGTCCAGGAGCGGCCTGAAAAACGAGGTCTTACTTCAAACTCAGGTTGACCTGAAGATTGGCCTGTCGTGGCGAAGTGGGCGGCGAGCTGGACGACCTAAACAACGGGTATTTCGAAGTCAAAACGAATCCTACGGATGTGCGGGGGCTGATGGCTGTTTCGCGTGCGGATTGGCCATGACGTACTGAAAATGCAAAATCAAAATGCCCACAATATCTTAACATTCATTAAAATATATTTTTCCACTAAATTAGCCGATCTTTGAAGAAACTTATAATCCAATTTTTTAGCGAAATGATATTACAGTCTATTCAACCAATTCCAATGACGTTTTTACCAACAACTACAAAAAAAAAATCGATATTTCTACTAAACCAGCCGATTTTTGAAGCAAATTTGAAAGTTTTACATAAATAAGGGCAATGGTAGCATACTGAAAATCTACTAGAAATCTATTTCAACTATTTCTATACTATAACTATTTTAAGAGTCCGATATTGTACGCAAACAACCATTGGAAAACCTGCTCCGAAAAAGCAAACTTGCACAAAAGGCAAAATCTTTATTATACCCGTACAGTAGCTAGCAGGATAGAGCGACAGACAAAGTGACAAATTAGTACAAACTAGGCAATCACGTAGGCACAGCAAAAAAAGATCTATCCAGATACACAAAATGGGGGCACACTAGATGTAAAAATTCACAGTGCAAATGGGGGAATAGAGAGTGGAATGCAAAAAATTCACAGTGTTATTACATACGAGATCTCACGACGGTCAAGCTTTTCGCTGCGTGTCGTGGTTGCGGACGGCGCTGGCGAAACGGGCCCGTTGCAGCTTGTGGAGAACGGCGTCGCGTCCGGCGCCCGCTTCTCGCGTGTAGCCGGCCCCTCCATGGGCACGCCAGTAGTCCGACGTGGCGAGTAGGGAACGGGCTGAAAAAGACGAGAAATAGGAAAAATATTAAATTTGATTAAATTATACTCAGAATCTGCGGTACTAGACTATTTGCGGGGGACCGGATTGTAGACGGTTTTTAACTAGCCAGCCCACAAACTTATTCAGATTTTTGCTCCGAAATTGAAATTTTTCAAACGTTTAGAAACTGCTTTACGGCTTTTTAGCAACAAAATTCAGGCCCTTTGAAAAGTATAGAAAATAGTTGTCCAAAACTTCGGAAAATGTAATGTTTGCTCCGCAATCTAAATCCGCAGAAATGTTGTAAAATATTTTTCTGACCTTTATTAATTAAAAAAAGGCTAGACACACAATAAAACATTACAAAAATGATAATTGATAATAAAACAAAATTTACCAGCTTCTAGCACATCGTCGTCATCAGCCTTCTTCCCTGTCGTCGTCGACACAAAGTCGCCCATCGCCTTGATTTCTTGGAAGGCGCCGACCATAGTGTTCAGCCGATGGAAGAACAATCCTGGGAGCGGAAATAGGAAGAAAAGGAGGAAAATCCCTACCGATCGTCTGCACGACAAGGATGCCGAAAAGTGCAAAGATGATTGTCAGGCCGAGCAGCTCGACCTTCAACGGCACAGGTTCCATGGTCCATTCTTGCACCGTCCCGTTCCAGCGGTACTGCGTGAAGTTTTCTGGAAAAATATAAGATCGGTAAAGTACTGGTTCGTGAGCGGGGGGATCCTAATAGGCCTACTTCCCCCGCTATAGTTGTAAAATAAAATACCATGTGGCATCCAGGAAAAGGCGAGCACATCCTTGTGGCTCTGCGTCAAGTAGATGGCCAGCACCATCAACGCGTTCAGCAGGATCAGCGAGAAGGCGATGTGGTTCCGGAGCTCACGCAACGCATCCGCATGTGCCAACGTCTCGGCGGCTGTCGTTTGGAGAGGCTAAAAAGAAAGTTTTTGCGGAGCCGTAACAAATCACCTTCAAGTAAGTGTCGATTAGCTGATCCCAGAATTGCTGTTCGCTGGCCTTCAGCCGTCCCTTTTCGCAGGTCTAAAGATAGAAATAGGCCAAAAAAAGGATGATAATACCTGCAAGTATTCGGCATCCATCCACAAATCACGCGTCGACGTTCGGACTTCCATATCCGAGCCGTCGTCACTGTCCTCAGACTAAAAATAAAGGCGATTTGAAAGCCGATTCTGCAACTTATCATGGGCGAAACCAGGTACTGGACTGTTAACGGAAGGAAGTGCTTTTTAGAAGGGGCCTAACGCCCTTTAGTGCTCCAATAATGAAACATTCGCAATTTTCATACCTTCCACTCCGTTTTTAAAGCTAGAAAATGCATACAAATTTGAGAAAATAGATTTTAAAGAAACCTAAAGTTTTAAAATCTTTTATGAACTTTTCGCAATGAAAGCCCGCTAAAAATTCTGCTAGATAGGGATAGGTTAGCTGATTCTCCCTCGTTTACAGTCCAGGATCCCTAATAAAACCAAGCAGCCAAAAATCTTACATCGCTCAAAGACAGATCCTTCAGCTCGCTTTCTGGCTTCGTCGACTCGCCTTCGTTGTTTCCATTCGGCTCCTTGTTGAGCGCGACGTGGATCTCCTCCAGCCGCTTCTCGAGCTCCTCCATCCGTTTCGATTCTTCGGGGCCGTCGCGTTTGAAGAGACGCCCCAACGGTCCACCGGCCAGCTTGTCGAAGAATTTGTCGACGGCCGAGGCCTTCTTTACTTCCTAGGTCCCAATTTTCAATAGATGTCCCGAATTTACCTTTCCAGTCGCCTTCGCCACAGCTTCTCGTGTTCCCCAGTTGATGACGTTGAGATTGATGAGAGAATAGAAGGACAGCACCACATACGTTGACGGAATCATCAGGAAAAAGATCTAAAAAGAAGTTTACGAGTTGAGCAAGCAGTACACACCGTTCCATAAAGGATGTTCGTGAATTCGCGAGGATGTAAGCAGGCAGCGACGAAGAAGATTCCAATCATTCCGACCACGAACATTGAAGTAGGGGAAAACATGGCTGGAAAAAAAGTAAGATTAGAGAGCAAAGATACTCACTTTCCAGCACAATCTGACTACTCGTCGCGACGATGACGGCCAACATCACGAAGGCGTAGCATACGGATAGAATCTTGGCCAGGAACAGCTGCACGCTGCTCTCCATCAGGAAACACGAGGCGATGAAGCCGCCGATGGGGACGGCGTTGTACAGCATGATTCGATCCATCGGCACGTGGAAGGCGGCCACCTAATGCAAAAAGGGATTAGTCTAAATCATATGTTTACCTGGGCATAGACCAACATGGAAAAGATGATGGCCGGGCCGAGCATCGAGAATCCGATAACGCCGAACTGGTAAAGGATGTAGAGGCGAGAGATGCAGGCGTTGTTCGCGCAGGCTCGCTAAAACACGAGTTTGAGATATCGTACGAAAAAAATAATAGACAGTGTATAAAACAGACCTTATAATCGGCCAGCAGATCGATGGTGTTGGCCACGGATGAAGGTGTCCAGCGACGGCGTTGGTTGAAGAATTCGTCAAAGCCCTCCGGTGCATATGTTTCGGCGTCCGAGGCGGCGGCATACTCGATACGATAACCCTGAAAATAACAGTTAGCTGAAAGATCCGTGCAAATAAAATTGGAGTCAGTTCGTTAGTGGAGGTCAGCAGGCTCTAATAAAAAAAACGCATTTTACGCCCATTTTTAGCTCACAAATTTGTAAAAATGCTTAGTTTTGGGTTTTTGGTCAACTAATATATGAAAACTGATTAAAAATATGAAACATTGTAGCCTTTTAGAAATCAAAAACCAGTAAAAAAGCTATAAACATATTTTTTTCTATTAGGCCGAATAAAAGATCAGAGATCTGATCAAAAATTACTTTTATGATCTTCTTATCGACGTAAAAAGCTACAAAAATGGTTTTTAATTATTTGGACCCTACGGGACGATACGCCTAGTTAGTAAGACCAAGTCCAAACGCGATACCTGCTTGAGCAACAATGTCGACAGCCAGCGGTCCTCTCCTTGATCGTACTGAACAAAATGCCGGGGTTCGACGGCCGTCGTCGTGTACTTGTGCATCACGTTGTCGTCCATCAGAGCGGAGGCGCGGAACAGTGAGAAGCATCCGGGCGCGCAGAGCACACAGCCAAACACGTGCTCGGCGGCTTTCTATGAAAATAATGAATATTTAATGCAGAAAACAAAATCGTACCTGGAACCAATGGGCGATGGCGTATTCGAACTTTTGGTAGGCGACCATGATCCCTCGGCCAATCGGATGGATCCGACCACACGCGCAACCAATGTCCGATTTGGCACTCATCAGATTGAGTAACCTAGAAAAGACAGTGAAAAAAATCGCCCAAGATCAGCCGACAAGCATACTTTTCAAGGGTTATTATTGTTTCTACTATACCAATTATCATTTGCAGTTTTTTGCAGCAATAAGTAAAACGCATGGTAGTTTTGATGCGATTTCGCATGGCGTCATCCCTCATCATCATCAAAAATTCGCATGAAAATCACCTCAAAAACGCCTCCGGTTCAAACTTGGAATCTCCGTCAATGGCTAGGATGTAGGTGTTCTCGGCGATGAGCTGCTTATCCTCGATGGACATGTGCGATTCCATGATGCGATGGCCAAGTAGGTAGTACATGTACATCACCTAAGCAGTCGAAAATTGTGGCAAAATTAGGCCCTCACCTGACTCCAACGCTTCTTGTGACGAATCAATTTCTTGTCCTTCAGATGCACAAAAAGCAGCGTGCCGGCAGGGAGTCGAACGACCAGCCGCCCACCATAGGCCGTGCTGACGAGGATTTTTGTTGGGTCGCCGTTGGTTGCGTCTTCTTTGCCACTAAAAGAAAAGTTAAATGACTTTCTAAAATTCTTACTGGATCATCGTGTTCATCAGCTGGAAGAAGGTGCGGAAGAAATCGTTGGGGGCACGCCCAAATTCGGGTTGATCCTCCCAGGCGTCGTCGAAGAAGATATGGGCTGAAAAGGACTTCGGATCACAAGGAAGGGCTTCGCTATTAGAATTCCGAAACTCGTAATTTAGAACCGCCACATTTCGAAAAGTAGGTTTAGTTGAAATTCTATTCGAAAAACCATGATTTCTAGCTCGAAACATCCATATTTTTTTCTAACGTAAAGTACTTTTCACAAATGGCACTAGAAAAAAAAAGTGAAAAAGTAGATATTAGAAAAAGAAAAATTTGATCCTTATTAAAAAGTTGATCCCCCGATAATTCCAAATACTATGCAAAAATAGCATTTCGAAAATAAGCTCAAGGAGATACCTTCCAGTCGGAACTTCTGTGCATCGCCTCCAGCCGTTGTGCCAGCCTTCTTTGCGGCCAGTTGCGCTTGCTCCTCGTCGAGCTTCAGGATACTGCTAAACATCTGCCGCATCTCGTTGTCGGTTTCGTGCCACATTGTCGCGCAGATGTACACGTTCGCCATCCTGAAAAAAGATAATAAAAATCGAGACTAAAACTAGAAGGATTTCGCGAAAAAACGCACTTATCAGCCTCATATCGCATGGAGCTTGGCCTCTCCGAGCTCTCGTCAAAGATCGAGTCAAAGTCGAGCTTCATTTGCTTGGATTCCTAAGGAAAAAGTGTTGGAAAAGTAAGAAAACGCATACATCTCGGGCCAGTGCAAACTCGAAGACGAGCAGACTTTGCTCCACGCATAGTCCGTTCAGGAAAGCTGGCGAAGAGCGTATGCTAAAAAAGAATATCTTAAAACAAAAATTAGGCGTTACATTTCATCTTGTTTCTCGAAGGTCGGCTGGCTGGCCAGCTCGTATGCCTTGTACATGGAGATGATCAACCAGATGACGGCGATGTAGAGATCGCTGAACGGCTTCGGGTCGCTGCTCCACTGCGAGCATCGAATTGAGAGGCCGTAGCTAAAAGAAATAGAATAGAACCAGTACCATATCAAGAACATACCTGGCCAAGGTACGAGCAAAGCTGCAATCCGGAGAAATGTGGCACGTGATGACGATTGCGGTGAGCAGCAACGGAGCCGTCAAGAAGAGCGGATGGAAGATGGGCAACGTGCGGAGCTCCAAGCCCGCCAGCAGCCGGGCGCACATTCGGACTAGTAGATGAAGGGCACAGATCGATAGCGAGATGGAGAGAACGCTAAAGATACAATTTCGAGCAGTAAATATGGACTTACTGTTGCGCTTCACCAGATCCCCAATGGAGCACGAGATCGAGCATGTCGGAGAAGACAACGCCGCCACGCTGAGCAGCGACGGCGAAGACGGAAAGCGTGATGATGGTCCGCAAACTGGAGGCGATTAGTCGAGTCGGCGAGTTCAGCTTGCGGATGCCGTATTTCAACTGAAAAGACCATTAAACAAAAAAAGGAACAATCATACTTGGTAGAGGTGGTGGAAGAAGGTGCCAGCATGTCCGGTGGTGATCCAAGCTTCCCAAAAGCCAAGCGAAGAGAGAACGATGGCCAACGGCAACGTTACGTAGTTCTAAAAGGAAATATCCGGAACTGTTCAATAGAAATTGCGGTTCTTTTGCAATATCCGGGGGACCAACCTTTTTTACAAACACAGAAATGCCTATTAACGTAATACGAAGTGTTTTTATAACCGTTTTAGCAAAATTTAGTTTAGCTGGATTGCAACTGGAAAAACCACCAATCAAAAAAAACATTTTTGTACTTTTTTAATCAAAATTTGTACGGCTTTTACGTTTCGGAATAGTAAAAAAAGTTTAGAAATACGCCCGCTATTTTTATTAGAAAAATTGTATCCTCAAAAAAGGTAGTCCCCCGCCCCGATAGCGCGAAAGAACCAAACTTACATCAAACGGCGTCTCCAAAATCGACCACCAGTAACAGCCGGTCAGCAAGGTGAGGAAGACGATACATGTTGGCAGGGACATTAGCGTCAGACCCATTCGCCTCACAAGCGTGCTATCCCGGCGCAGCGAGCGCGACATTTTGGCCACCATGCGTTGTGCCTAAATCAAAGTAAGTTGGAATTAAACAATTCGGGCGTACCACAGGGATAAGCGGAAGGCATGATAGCAAAAGCAGCGCGCGGGTCATGTCCAACTTCGGGAAGACGAGGAAGAACATCGTGGATAGTCCGGCAGCCCGACAGCATTCCAGGATTATTACCTAAAGAAAAGGGTATATAAATACAGCAATCTCAAACCGTAATGTTGAGTCCACCAGTACCGCGGCCCTCTGTGATGAGCCGGAAGATGGACTGGATGATCGCGCAGAGGTCCGGGTCGATTTGTATGAAGAGTAGCGTCAGGTAGATGGCCGCGTGTTGTTTTTCCGTGCGCGTAGCTAGAAAAAAATCATGAAATACGAAGGACTCAATAGAGGCCAAAGCCGAGGCAGGGGGAAAGTCGAGGGTATAAAAAAAGAATATAGTTTACGCCGCGTTTCGACGATCAGCTAAGCACTGTGTCAGAGGGTTGTAAAGTAAAATTTAGTGCAATTCAAGTTAGAGGCCGGTGGCGAATAATTTGGGGGATCATTTTTTGGACACTTGGTCAGTTTTTCGCGGCTAATCTAGCGCATTACTTAACTCACAAGCTGAGCTAAGCCGAAACTCAGTTAGCTAAGTTTAAACGAAGCAAAGCCAAATTCAAAAGCAGTGAATCAATGGCAAAACCAGGCTAGAGAGTAAACGGGGGGCAATTTAGGTTAACCGTAGCTCAACCTAAGCTACCCAAACCTAAGCCAAACCAAGCTGGAGCGCACAGAAAACGAGAAAGAGTGACCTACAATAAGAAAAAAAAAATGTGGCTCGCTTTGAATAGTACCAGAAATTTGGGGGCTAAAAGGTAGCAATCTCCTAGGCGTCAGTTTTAAGAGCCGAAAATAGAGTTTAGCCAAACAAACCCACCATCAACCGGGCACTTCTTCGTAAACTCAGTCCCTACAGCATGCGCTGGCGGACCATCAAAGTTGGTGGCGAGCAGAATGACGACGGCCTTCGAGCAGGCTGTCCCGACGACGAGCAGGGCATGGAGCAGGATGAAGATGGCGAGCTTGACTGTCTGAAGCGCCGTCACCATCCATGGCGCATAAGGGGCCGTGTAGCCGGCGGCACGCTTCTGGGAGCGAAACGCGTCCCAGCCCGGGTCCATCTCCTGCATCCGGGGTACCCTGAAAAGAATAGTTTGTAGGAGAAAGAAAAAGATTAAAAGTTCCACAAAGGTGAATGCGAAAAGATAGAAATTGTTCTTCTCGGATTTTTTGCCGCAAGTTCTGCAAAAAAAGGAAACTTTGTTTTCCGTTCTGTTTTTGTCCAAAAATATTAAAAACAAAAAGTTTGAACCACTGGCCAATTAAAGCGGCAGAAAAAGAAAAAAGCATGCAACCGAGACGACGCCAAGCGCGCAGATTGAAAAAAGTGTTATCAAAAAATACCCGGTTTTCAAAGAGTTTTCGCGCATAATACAGAGTAGAGGTGGGAGTAGAGGATAATTTACAAAATCCGAGATGAAAACTTGTTTTTGTGAAGGAGCTTACGATATCTCGATATTTTCGGGATTTTTTGCAGAACTTGCGGCAAAAATCCGAACGGAGAAAAGGAGCCGTGGTCCCGGCGCTATCAGCTCGATTACGGTACTTGGCGCAGTTTAGAATGCGGCGTGACGCCGTTGCCGGGCCCATCGTACTTTCTGAGACGCAATTCCTTCGAAATCCGCCAAATAAAGTAAAACTCGTAAACTACGGTAGCATTTTAGTATTTTTGGTTCTTTAATAAATTTAGCGAAAAAGAGAAATGACCGGAACATGGTTGAATCGCGTGCTAGAAACGGTTGTTCGGTTTTCGGAATGTTTCTCTCTTCCACTCGCTCTCTCTCTCTCTCTCTCTCTCTCTCTCTCGCTCTCTCTCTCTCTCTCTGTCACTCTCTGTTTTTCCGATGCACCAATGTGTTTTTGACAATTTATTCCACAAAAAAATTCCTTGGGCTACGTATTTTGGCGTCTAATTTCGGGACCTGAGTATCACAATTCGGGGGGTAAAAGAAGAATGAAGAATGAAGAGGGAAGAACTGTTTTTAATGAGGTTCATAAAATGCTTTGCTCCACACGATACTTTATTAATAGGTACATGCCTTAAAGTACGCTAAAATCGATAGAGTAGATTTGAAAAGGCATAGAATATAATTTGGCCGCTATTTTGGAATAATGAAAATTATTTTGAAGGTATCACAAATGCAAATCGTCACTAGAAAGGGGGTCCAAAGGACACAGGAAGGAGGGATTTGGGGTGCTGGTTTGTTAACGGGGGGGGGACCTGCAATTATTTTTTTGGAATTTTTTATATTAGCTACGGCGAAATCCCGTTAACCTAAAAAATGCAAAATTAACGATTTTGAAAATTTTTTCCGCAAAAACTAACCATTTTTCGAAACCTATAGTAATTTTTAGAAATTTTGATGTCTGAAAACGTCGTAAAATCCTATTAAAATAGTCTATTTTTCATTATAGAGCGCCGGCGTAAAGATTGAAAAATTCAATTTAAATATCCCCCCGCTAACGCACCAGCGCAGAATTTTGTAAAGCATAAAATTTTTATAAATTTATCCGTGTATCCAGGCAAGTCTGCCGTCGACCGCCTTCTTCCAGTTGATGACGTGCATTATCTCGTGGACTTGCATGTTGGAGAATGAGAAGTGCGTCATACACTGAAAAGCAAATAAAACTATTCATTTAATTCGTTTAATCGGGACTTTGGCATTAGCGGTGGGAGCTTCTTTAGGTTTTAATTTTTCTAATATAAATAGCTGAAGTGTTTCTACACTTTTGGACCATTCCTAAGCGCAAAAACCTTACAAATTTTCCTGAAAATCCAAAAAATAGACATTTTGCGCATAAAAATGCCAAAATTTCGACATGTTCAACTTTTAAAAGATGGTTTTTTTCACTTGAAATGAACTAAAATTTACTAGAAACGCTAGTAAAATCCTTTCTATTACGGTAGTAGGCATTTCTGGACTTACACAGAAGATTAGGTGCGCCCGACATGGCTAAAGCTCCGTACCAACCCAGTTGCATTGCGGTCAAAATTTAGGATTTGGGCATGTAATTTTTTGCAACACATTTTTTCCAGAAATAATTTTCGGCTTGAAAAGGAGTCTCAGTAATTTATAAAATCCCCACGCCCCGATAATGCACAAGCTCCACTGAATCCAATAAAAATATCCTAGTATATATAAAAAAATAGTGTTTGTGTGTTTGTGTGTGTGTGTGCCACTTTGCATCCACTTCCGTCTGTCTGTCCGGAGGATATCTCAAGAAGGGACGGGTATTAGACTAAGTATGATACGTCATTAGGTGCGTAATGGTCTAGGGATGACTGCACACATATCAGATTTTTAAAAATTAGCCATTTTCGCTATTAAATTTAAGTTTTTGTAAAAACCTCTTTGTTAGGAATAATTAGCATAGACCGGAAGTGGGCCGTCGCCTATATAAAGAGGCAGAAAGGGTTGTTTTTCATTTTTTTTTTGTCTTCTGAATGGAGGACAATTATGCAAAAGGCAGAATAGTATGGGGTCCGAGACGGGGCCAGGGTTGAAAGTCGCGAAGCGGCTTTTCAACCCTGGTCAAGTATTAAAACTGTAATAAAATGTTTCGTTGGGTACGCTTAGAAAGATTCTGTTTTCAAGACACGCTCAAAGTAGCGTTGCGGTCAAGATTTTGGCGTTAAGCCTACAATTTTTTGTAACACATTTTTTGCAGGGAGGTAATTTTTGGCTTAAAAAGGAATAACTTAAGGTAAAAATTACTTACTTACTATAACTTACCGTAAGATCGTTGACGAAGAGCATGATTCGGCTCATACGGATCGCCAGCTTATCGTAGTCGACGGGACCGTCTTTACGTCGCATATGGTAGTGGAGGACCTGGTGATAGATAGTTTATCTTTCCCTGTCTCTCTGTCTCTCTGTCTCTCTCTCACTCACTCTCTCTCACTTCATTTATCTCTTACCTTCAAAAACAGTTGCCCGACAGCTCGGGCCTTTACCCGACCACCTGCTGACAGATCGGGTACGCCTAAAAACCGGGTAAAATTGGGATATTTGAAAACAATTTAATGGTATTATGGTAATTCTGAATCAGTAGTTTGTAACACATAAGTTGTTTTTGCATTAAAAAGGTAAATTATGTCTGAAAAAGTAAATGAGATCACCACATGCTTGATCTGTACTAGCGATGCAAAAAGTCAGCAACCCCGACAGAACTATAAAACATTAATTCTTTCAGCGCCACATTTTATTTAGTTCAAAGTTGAACCTGATTTAATTTAAACCCCTGATTTAATTAGTTTAAATTGTAGTGTGTAGTAATTGCTTAGTGGTTTATGAAAGTGGGGCAAGGCTGAAACAAAGAAAAGTTTCTTAGAAAACTGATTGATTAACTTAATGTGTTTCAAAGAATCTTTGAGAAATAGGTTGACGCTCATTAGTAGGATTGCCTTCGAGTTCAAGCTAAAATCGAATGAAATATATTTTTTTCAAAATTATAAAAACGCACCATTATGCCTAGAAGACAGAAAGAAAAATCACGGAATACGCCGCTGGGAACTAGCTACGCAAAAACTTCGGAAGCCCAATAGGATTTTGAAACATTCATTTTTCAACATCACATTTTTTAGCTAATAGTTTGTTTTGTACTTAAATTAAATTTAATTTAATTGCTTGCTTTAATGGCTTCCTCTAATTGCTAATATTACAAGAACGTTGTCAAAAGTTTGGAGAATACTCTCAATAAATTTTTCTTCTTTGTACTTTTGAACCTCAAATATCATTAAGAGGCATTACCAGTATTCCTTTCAAATTCAAGCTAGCATGGGACGGCACATATTTTTTTCAAAATTCGCCAAATAACGTATCGTGCTCATAAAGAAATGAATAAATACCCTAGTGCCAGGTTTTATTAGCCGTGAAAAATACTAGCAACCACAACATAACTTTGAAACACCGATTTTCGGGACGTCATGTTATTTAACTAAAAGTTTAATTATTTTGAAGTGTTTAATAGTTTTGAATTTTATTTAATGGTTTAATTAAAACCGCCTTAATTTTCCGGTGCTATTAAAAAATTTTTTACGGAAAATTTAGAATTTTTAGATATAAACGAAATGAATGTTTTTCGTTCCTTTTTGAATGAATACTAGGACCACGAGAAATTATATAAAATGCTTTTGCGATTAATCCACGGTGTAACGAAACATAATTTTTCAAAAAATAGTAATAAACGTACCATCGTGGAAAAGGATGATAAAAGTGAGGAGTGCCATCTCTTTTTCGTCCAACCGTAGCCAGCTGTAGATGGGGAGGAGCGTGTCGAAACGGGACACCAGACGTCTGGAATTATATCGAAAACTAAAGGTATTGTTCTTTATTTTACTTCTTTTTAATAGATATACTGTACAAACTTTTTATTGAAACATACAAAAAAAAAATAGGTTTTGCTTTGATAAATGGCGTGACGTCGAAAAAAAACGTACGTAACATCGGGACATGGCTGGTGCTCAAGACTGCCGGGATAAAAGCTGCCATTTGCTAGACATATCCCGGCACACTTTGTCTTCCACGTGTACTGCGTCAACTTGAGCCAGTAGAAGGGCAGGAACCGTCGTTGCGCTAGTTGTTCCTGTAAATGTTCAAATAGGAAAAACCTATGTCACCAATTAAATTAATTAAGGGGATCAAGACGAAACAGAATAATAATTTTGTAATGTTCTAAGGTTTGAGAATTGTTGAAACACTTTTTCAAATAACTGGGCTGCTGGCAGGGATACCAAAATGAACCAAATTTGGTGCTTTTGCGTTATGGGGGAAATCACTTTTCGCCTAGAATTTTGAAATTTTTTAGGTGTAGGATACAAAAATTTGTAGAGTTTTTTTGGTAAAATAGGCCGATTTTTCCCAAAATTTATTATTTTTGAAATTTTTGAAAACTATTTTCTACTTCAAAAAAAGTTATAGGTGTAGGATACAAAAAATAGTGGTTTTTGCCAAAACTGGCCGATTTTTCCCAAAATTTGTCATTTTTGGAATTTTTGAAAACTATTTTCTACTTAAAAAATAGTTAAGTTTTCTAAAAAAGCTATTAAAATAATTAAAATTGTGTTGCTAACCATTTCTGGAATTGTAGGCAAAAAGTCAATGTCACCCTCCCCCGATCATGCAAAAGAACACCCGAGACTCTATGTCTTAACTTTAATGATACTAAAAACGTGCAGATTTTTTAAAGTAATTTGGAATTAAGAAATACAACAACTGAAAATGCTAATAGCTAATGAGTTGATTTTTGCTCTCATATGATGCGTGAAACCTTTTTTTTCTAAATCCGGGTTTGTCTATCTTCGCAATTGGTACCGTTATCAAATCCTCGGGATATGCTATATTTTTCAGGGCTTTAACAATTTGCAACCAACCATTTTCACAAAAATATAAGCCGTCAATTGGAAAAAAAATATTTTGTAGAAGGCGGGGATCCCGATCAAAATCGAATTCACTTAATGCTTCGTTGAGCCATGTGCATGGAGTTATCCCGACCCTCATTTTGCCCCGATCGCTTATTATAAAAATCAGTATTTTATAAAAGTCAAAATAATCCGCCGCGTAAATAACCCAAATATAAAAACCGGCATTTCTTGGTCCAGAAAAAAATACGTTGCGTAATTTTTAAAAATAAAACTTTGTGGAGCCTGAAATACATGTGGACTATAGGGCGTAATTAATGAAGTTATTTTATTAAGCTTTGACGATAGTTAAAATGACAGGAGTAATCATTAAAAAAAGTTGTAATAACTGGACTGAACTAGATAATACTATCTTCACAAATTTTTGGGTTTTAGGGATTTATGAAACATTTTTTGAGCAAAAACCGGATTTTGGTTTTGCGCTTCTGAAGTGGTACCATTATAAAAGTAGCTTAAAAACACACTTCTTTACAACAAAAAAATGCCAAAAATACCTGATCCGGGAGGGACATTTCGGTGAATTCGGGCACACCCCTCAAATAATCGACCATGAGGAGGTAGTGACGCTCGAGATCTTGGACCATATCGTCTTGAGTCGCACTCCGTTCGGCCGTCACGAGGAGCTGAAAGGCGATGGTCAAATAATGGTTAGAAATAGGATTTAGGAAATAGAAGGTCTCAATAAAGTGGCTTTTATTAAGAAAATGTCAATCTACCAAAGTACTCTTCTACCGATAAAACACATTTTTTGGCAATGGAAGTTTATTTACACTTTTTTTGCTGAATTGAATGGGAAATGCTGGTCTTAGCGTGATAAATGTTTTAGTACAATTTTATCCACGATTTTTTATTTTACAAAGTACCATATATTATTCTCCATTCGGAAAAACTCGAGTTTACCCAAAAAAGCTCGGTTTTTAGCCATTTTTCCCGTCCTTTTTTGCGCGGTTCTATTGTGCACCAAAAATATACGACGGGTGTCAATTTTAGCCCGGAATAGTCCATTATAAAAAAGTAATAACAAAGACGAAAGGCTAGTTTTCGGCTTTCGGCGTTTTCGTTATTTTTTAATATTTTGAAAGCACCATTCGTCAGAGTATCAAAAAAATATACCACGAATTTTAATTGTAGCTAGAAATTCGGTAAAATAAAATATTCATGGGAAATACAAGCAAAATTCGGTAGTGCTGTTAAACAATAATTTGCTTTTATAAATTTTCATATTAATTTTTCGCGATTTCCGGCCAGTGGACAATAGTTGGGCCCTAGGACCATCCTTTGACGGTGCTAAAAATTTTTTGGGAGCTTTCTTTTTAACGGGGGAGGGGTAAACGTGAGATTTACAACCAATTAATTTTTTACTCATTTTAAAACCGAGCACAGTAATAAACTATAAGGAAAATTAATACAGTACTGTAATCAGTAAACGTACCGGTGTTCGGGTCGCATGGTTCATCGGACCAATCGGGGGCCCTGGTGGTTGTTCCGGATTGTCGACGAGTTGATCGACGTGTACGGTAAGTCGCAGCAGCTGGGCAATTACTCTGGAAATGTCGTAAAAATTGTTTGAGCGTATTTAACCTGATTGCTAATTGTTACGAAGTGGAGCTCAATGGTCAATATTCCACTTAGAAATTAAATGTTTCAAAAAAGTGATGAGCTGAAAAATTTTTAAGACGAGACGATTCATTTCGCACGGCAACCTAATTTTAAGCAATAGCAAAAAATCAATTATCAAATCAATATTTTTAATTAGGAATTAATGTTTCGAATACGCAATGCCCAGAAAATTTTTTGGGCTGTACGATGCTCGGTCTGCTTACGATATTGATACGACACGACTACAGCCTGTGTTTCAGGTAGCGATTTTGATTTAAATTAAAAACAGGTAAATTTTTTGGCCCGGATACCTAATTTTAAGCAACCACGTTAACAGCAATTATCAATATTTCTATAGTCCAAAATTGTAGGTTTCAAAAAAAGTCATATGGCACATTTTTGAACCGCATAATCGGCACAAGCCGCTAATCGCCCCTAGCAGTTTTGGATATCTTTTTTGCTCGAAATATCGTTAATTTTACTAAGACCGTATTAAAATACTTGTTATTACGCTACTAGGCAGTTCGGGACTGATACAGCAAATAAAATGTTTCAAAAAATTTATATGCAAAAATTTTTTTAGCTTTATGATCGTGGGACACTGTGCCTGGTTACAAATCTGGAAAGGCATGGAAAGGAAAACTACCGCCTGTGCTTCGGGTGCTGAAGTTAAATTTAAAAATGCACCCCATGTCGATTGATTTCGCGCGGAAACCTAATTTTAAGCATAGCAAAAAAACAATTGCCAATAGTTTTACGTAAAAATTAAATGTTTGTAGAAAAATCATAGGCCGAAGCTATTAGAGCTCTATAATCCGGTTGAATATAGGTTTCCTCACGAATGCCGAAAGGCGTCAGCTTGTGGTCCAGGTTCAAATTGAATGTAAATTATATTTACAAAAATGGGCAACTATGCCCGTACCTTGTTTTAAACCGCGCGACAAGCAGTTCTCAATATTTTATTTGAAAATTTTTTGTTTCAAAAAAAATCAAATGTTACGTTTTTTGGGCTGTCCAATCAACTCATTTTTCCTTGGCGATGTTCGTTTCCTCTCCCTTACGATAAACGGCTTTTTACAGTATAACAAGCTGTAAAAAACAAAAGCTCTTTTGGCTTGTCACATAGCTGTCGAGACCTAGCGGATTTAAGGGGTAGATTTTGGCGGCTTCCAGGTCCCTTAAAACGCAGACTCACTTTTCGAATTGTGGATCGACAGCCGGTATAGTGTCGAGCATTCGATGATCATTCGAATTCCTCATCCTCTTCCGCTTCTCCTTCTCCTTCTCCCTTCCAGATGAGGAGGACGTTGTGTGTATTCGCTCGGAACTCTTTTGCTTGTCGATGTTTCGTAGGAGGAATTCTGTTGTGCCGAGTCCGCTCGGTCCCGGTAGTTCACTGTAAAAATATGATTTTGTATAATTATTCAAAATACACAGTACAACCAGCAATTTTTAAAAATATTTTTTTAGATTTTCGTGTTTCATTTTCGAACAAATAGCCAGAACAAAAAATCGAGTTAATACCATGAATGTATGGTTGCGGAAGTGCTTTTAACAGGCGGTTTTTTACGATTCTGAAACGTAAAACTTACAAATTTTATCAAAAATCCAAAAATAACAATTTTTCGACAACAAAATGCCGATTTTCGACCAAAATTTCAAATTCCTAAAGGTTTTCAGAGAGTTTTGAGTTGAAATATAGTAAATTTACTAAATATTCTATGAAAATACCTATTATTACATTACAGGACATTTCTGGACTTATAGAAAAAATTCGGGGTTTTCCCCTGATAATGTGAAAGAACCGAAAACGCCCCAAATCCCATTTAAGTTGTATAATGGTTTGGTATTATCTTTTAGACTTAATTATATTACATACATATGTAAATGTTATAATTATATCTAACACTACGTCTGAACCTATATTTTTAACCGTATCAAGCTAAGCGCTGGTATGGAATAAAACAGGATCAATAAGGGCGATTTCCCGAAACATTTTGTTGCTCAAAAAGCACTATTTGCTTTCTTTTGAACACGCCAAATCCACATTTTGGTGGTGAGAACGACTCCAATAAGACATACAATAAAGCGCAAATGCCATACTAATACAGCTTCGACGTATCGAATATACACCGGATCAAAAGAGGCGATTGTTCGAAACATTTTTTTGCTCAAAATAGAGCAACCGTTTTCGTTCGAAAACCTAGATTTTCGTGAGTTAAAATCGCACAAAGTTAAACTAAATCTATTATGAATTAATCGCCACCCTAATTTAAGTTTCAAATTCAATTAAAAACCGACCCCTCGCTGGCCATCCCCGGCTCTATCGATTGGAAAAAGTGGGAATGGCGGCCGAGTCGAGTGGTGTTTCTGAAATTGCGGCCGTTGAATTTAATTTAAAAGTTCTGGAAAGTTGCTCCAGAGGAAAACATATGAAACATCATAATAAAAATAAAAAATTATTTTAGTAAATACTTTCAAAAACCATCTGGTTTACGGTACTGGACTGTTAGCAGGGGGGGGGGCCTAGCAGTGTTAGGCTAAATTTTTCCAATGATCCCGGACGGCTCCAGAACAAAATATAAACGATTTTTATAGCATTTTACACAGACTTTAGATATCAAAAGCTCTGGAAAAACAATAACTTCGAAAATTTTTTACTCTGGTCAAAAAACATGAAAAATGACGGAAATCGAATTTTTCGAATGAAAAATTTCAATATTTTTTGCAAACTTTTGGCAATTAACAAATGGTAGAAACACTATAAGATTACGCGATTAATGATTAGCCGAAAAACTGTACCCCCCTGCTAACAATCCAGTACCAGCGTTTAAATTTCAAAGTTCTATGCAGGAATCTGGATTTTATTTAGCCTGAAGCCACATGATGACAGCGAACATCAATAATTTTTTGCAACATTTCGCAAGAAAGAAACATAAAATTTTTGAAAAGTCTGAAAATTAAAGCTAGGCCCTTTTCGTGACGAAAAAGAAAATATGTCAAGAATTATAAGCATTAAAAGCCATGAAAGTTATAGTGGCTAAATTAACTAAAAAGGCTGATTCCTGCAAAATGCTATAGAAAAGAAGTCTATCTCGTTTCGTTCGATGGGCGATCAATTTGATCAATTTTTCGGAGGTACACAAAAACTTGTAACATTTAAATATTTTACAAAAATCGGAAGTAACTGGAATTTTCACTTTTTTCTTATTGCATACATGGTCGGCAGTCGAATCTATTTTTTTTTTTTTTTTTTTTTTTTTTTTTTTTTTTTTTTTTAAAAAAAAATTTTTTTTTTTTTTTTTTTTTTTTTTTTTTTTTTTTTTTTTTTTTAAAATTTTTTTTTTTTTTTTTTTTTTTTTTTTTTTTTTTTTTTTTTTTTTTTTTAATTTTAATTTAATTTAAATTTTTTTTTTTTTTTTTTTTTTTTTTTTTTTTTTTTTTTTTTTTTTTTATAAAAGGCGATTTTCCGCAGAATGCTGTAGAAAAGCCATCATAGTATTTCCCAAAGAAAATTCCCTGAAAATAGTTAATTCCGCTGGAGCGTTCCCAAAAATTAAGACACTGATTTTTAAAGACCTCCTATTAAAGCTACGGCATTTTCATAGAACAAACAAACATTTAGACGCTACGAGCCTTGAGTTATAGCTGATTAAAGGGATAACGACGGCATAATTAATCGGTGACGCGAGGGAAAGAAAATGTCTCTGCGTCTCCCCCTGTTGGCTACGTACCAAAAAGTCGATCAGGGGTGATCGACCTATGCCGTCGGTATCCCTTTAAGAGGTTTAAAATCGGTAAAAACATGCTGGTCAACAAGATTCGATACAAGTGAAGGGTCCTCTCCCAGCTGACGACCACCGGGACTCCCCGTAGTGAATCAGAAATCGTCTGGACCGCCGGGGGGTTAGAGAGTGGCCAAAAAGTGAGACTACAGACGAGAGAGAAAGAGAGACGCAGAGAAGAGGGGCCCCCGAAATGAAGAGGTGGATGTCAGTGTGTGTTGTATTTGTTGTAGATTGTGTCCTCGGGGGTGCTCTGGCATGTCTGGGTTCTCTTCAGACACCCACTCTCTCACCTTCATCCCGTGTTTCTGGGACAGAGAGGCGAGAGAACAGGGAGACGGGCGAGACGCAAAGATGCCAGAGAACACGGGAAAGGGGAGAACGCAGAGTCCAGACAGGGCGGTCAGAGACGCAGAGTGAGGCCAAAGTTCTGGGTGGCTACGGGGGCGGCACTAAATTGCTTCCGCTTCCAGCCCTCCCTGCGAAAAGAGAGTTTTTGGAATATGCGCAGAGGTCAAAAATGGGGCAGCAGAAGGGGGGCTATTTTTAGCAAAGACGGTTCTGCGGCGGGAGTTTGGGGGTCAGAAAACGGGAGTGGTCTTAAAAGAGCAGCAACATTGGGGGGGGGGGTTTGGTTCTTGTTCATTATCGCGGGGGGGTTCCTGTTAGTCTAGAAATGCCTAATAATGTAATAGAAGTATTTTAATACGTTTTTAGCAAAAATTTAACCATATTTTGCCGGAAAAGAATCTAACGTGGAAGTTTAAAAACCTCGAATTTTTTGTCGAAAATCGCTTTTTTTGAAAAAGTCCCCCCCCCCCATAATGCGAAAGCACCGTAATTTGTATAGATAAAATAAAAGGGCAGAGTAAAAGAGATTTTTAGGAAGTTGAAGAAGAGATAATTCGCGGGGATGATTTGGGAAGTTTAGACAGGGGCAAGCTAGCAGTGATTCTTCAGGAAGCCGAAGCCGGAGAGCTAGCAGAGGATCAGGACGGTAGAAATTTAGCCTGTTGTCATATTTGGGGAACAGCTAGTCGAGAACATTAGAGAGGCTAACGAGCAGAGACCC